TCAACATACTACAAAGTAGTAAATAATACGAAAGTACAATAACAATAATAATAATAATAATGACGGAACATTTAGACGTCTGTCCCTAGTTAGCCTGAAAAGCATAGAAAGTGTGTGTGTGTTTGACGGGAGAAGATTCAAGAAAAAATAGAGAACAAGTACAACAGTGCATTGCAGAATATTGGATTAATCCATAAAAACTCAATAGGTTTCAAGTTCAAACTACTTAACTTTCTTTAAATTGGTTGATCTGGTAAGTAGTATTATGAACAGAGGGAGAAGTTGCACTAATGACTGTACTGAGGTGTGACGGAAGTAAGGTGTTTCTTTCAGGCAACCAGGATCTACAACAATCATACCTAACCACAACGGAAGGACGGGGCTAGAAAAAGTCGGCCCTAAGAATGTCACACCTTAATTTACCCTACAGATTTACGTCACTGGGTTGCTGCGACCACTAGTAATAAAGTTTCCTTTCCAGAACTCTCAAGAAAAAATTCCTTCCACAGTGTAGGAAACTGGGAAGTGACAACCGCTATCATACCTTCAACGGAAAAACATTATCATGAGTGCCTGACATTATTAATATGTGGCTTAAAACCGCCAACATACGATGGATCCACCAACCTAAATTGAGTTTTCGGGAAGAAAAAATCAATTGGATGTAACATAAATAAGAATATTGGGCGTCCCTAACTCGAATTATCAGTAAATCATCGCTACTGGACACGAAAGTTTCTATTCTGTCCACAACTACATGGGCACTTAAAGGAATACACCACTTAGCGTAGACGACCCATAAATCCGAAGTTCGAACATCGTTTTACATAATTTAAACTCCGGCGGATGTTATCTATTATTAATTGAAAACAAATACTGGTACCAAAGGGCACCAGATATATATGCGCCACAAAAATCCCATTTTGATTTGTGTGAGGGCTGTGATACTGCCCGGGTGCCTAAACTGAAGCAGGTGGTTTCCTTAGGGGGTCAATCCCGGCGGATATGACTAGCCATCATATATATATATATATATATATATAATTCTTCCCAACGAATTATACAACTACAAAGAGGGTAATGAGTTTTACTGCAGTCAGGGGTCCATGGTACCTAAACTCTCATTCGAAAAATTCTCTTGTATCGTAACATGTTTCTAGATTCCATCGCTCCGTTAAGTCAGCAGCTATGGCAAACTGTCAATAGGACGGGCAATATCAAATGATGCTTGCTGTTTTGCATTTTTATCTCACTCAGTCATTGAGACAACGCCTTTTTTATTTGACTTCCTATTAGTAGATTCACTTATCGTAGTTATATTTAGTGGAGACGCTTACAATGCTTGGTCTCCTGAATGTTTAGTGACAATATAAGCACGCTGGGGATGCGTTTAGTCCGGCATAAGTGAAACATAGTGCTGTAAGACCGGTGTTAGTTAAATAGTCAGCTACAAAGTAGGACCAGGCACATATGTGCATCGGTCCAAGATGCCATACCTCTTTAGCACAACAAGATGAACACCGAATTCATAGAAGTAGTTAGTTCAGTGGTGGTAATCAGTCAGTCGTATGTACATACATCAGTTCAAGTTGCCATACCAAATTACCACACAGATACAATTGTCCATTCAAATCCCATACTGGTAGATGTAGTCAAAGTATAAGCAGTAATCGGAAACATTAGGGTTTGAAGATGTTACTCAATGAGTATAATCCGGTGAAATAAATTTGGAAAGAGACAAAAAGAAAGGGACATGAACAATTCAGAAGATTAGAATTTAGGAGAACACAAAGAATTGATGCACCTGCACTATTGCAAACGATTTCCAGCTATGTCACTTTCAAGGTCTCTAACCATCGGTTGCTATCACTTCACGGATCTCAACCAGGTAGTCTACACCTACTAACATGGTTCAGCCCACTTGTCAGTGAGTGACTTCATGGATTTGTGCCATGTTTCGGTCTGGCCACCCCTAGCTTTCTTCCAACCTACTCCTACAACATGAAACATCGCACGTCGAAGCAGTCGGTGGTTGGGCATACGTGACACATGTTCCAGCCATCTCAACTGATGAAGTTTCACTAATTCATCAATTGATTTGCCATCCTTACCTAGTACCCGTTTCTTAACAACTCCATTACTTACTCAGTGGTCTTAGGATATATGAGCAATGCTTCGAAGACACCTAAGAACGAATACTAGTAACCTATGAATATCCTTTACTCTTACCGGTCATGTTTCACTGCCATAAAGTAGGACGGAACGAACTACTGTGCAGTAAACCCGTCCTTTGGTTGGTAGACCAACGCCATAAATGACGCAAGTTGTCAGAAGCTATTCGAGCCCTCTGTCTCCGTGCTGAGATTTTGTCACACCAGACTAAAGCGGTGGTAATATGCAAAAGAAAGATTGCATATAAGGACATAGTACAGGAAGAAAGAATTAGTTCGTAGAAAAAAAGATATGAAGCGATTTTAATCTCATAGTTTAAGGGAAGACAAAGAGTGTATACACCTACGCCATTGTGGTCGATTCTGAGCCATGTCACACAAAGTCTCCTATCATTGGTTACGATGGTCACGCGGACCCCAACCAGATAGTCTGCATCAACCAACATGGCTCAAACTAGCAGTTAATTAATTTAAGCACTGATGCCACGTTTTGGTTTGGCCGTCGCTAACTTCCACACACGAATATCCGTCTCCGGCGGTAAGTTCTCAACATGTACGAAAATTACCCATAAAAGAGTCGTGTGTGACCTACCTCAAGCAGTTGTCCTATGGATACTGCGGTCACGCTCTCAGGTCACTAAGACCACCTTTAATTCAATTTCCTTTTCAGGTATTTCCAGAAGAACCCTTCCACAGTGTGGGCAACCGGGAAGTGATGAGCACCCTCATACTTCTAACAGCACTCAAGACCACTGTGTTATTCGATGCCTAGTTTGCGTTAGTCGTCACTCCTAAACTTCTAATGCAACAGTGTATTTGTTCCTTTAGAATATGCACTTATGTTTAACTTTCAACATTTATTTCGCCTTATTACTGTGAATTGAGATTTAACAACTTGGTGATGACTGTCTGAGATTCTATTAAGTGTTAGAGTTAGTGCCTTTAAAAAACTAGTATGTTTCTAACAAAATGGATAACCAAAAATTGGGAATTCAATTCCAGTAGACCGGAGGATTAGTCTATATTAATCGAAAAAACTGATTAGACAATTAATGAACTCTTGCCCCAACATATATAAGGGATAAATTGCATCAAATCCCCCTGATCAACAAATTTTAAGACGTAGATTCCTACTATAATGTATGTTGCAGGGAACTGACTCATGAGACATCAACAATATTTTTATTAACCTCCACTAATAATCCTTTCGGCTCCCCCTCTTAAGATATAGTCAGATGTAGAGTAGGACAGAAGTTGCTGTAATTCTTAATGGCAGGAACGTGTTATGAGACTGTCAATGACAGATGGTTTTCTGAGAAGTACATCAATATCTTCAGAGCTCTGTGAAAATGCGCCCGACTAGAAACTAACAGTGAGGACAGAAAAAGTTATTTGATCGCACCGTTTCTATTCGCAAATTTATCCAGTCATTATTTAATCAATGATCTCATTTTGGAATAATGAATTGGAAGATTCATGCACGTTTTGTGTCTAACATCTCAACGGTCTCTATACTAAGTACCACATTCAGACGTCTGAACTGCGCGAAACAAGTGGAAGTAACACACTTCCATAATGTTACACTGTGAGACGTAAGATAACTTATTAGACTTCTATTTACCAAGAAATCTGAGTCTTAAAGATATGACTGATTGAATTGATAGCGTCATCGAATAGGATCCAAAATCAAAGTCAGTTGGAGTCCTACGGAGCATTTAATTGGTTCTTTTTTTTAAATCCAATTATAAGGACAATTAACTTCTTGAATACATCTAACCGTAGTTGTGTTCTCTCACTTTTTCTGGTAAGTCAGACTTTATTTCTCCTACTCTACATATGTTATACACCTTTCGAGATAGATTTTTTAGTGCTCATGTTGTACCGGATTTGTGCTTAAATAAAAAAACACCACATCTAACAAACTTTAAAATTTAAGTTTCAATAACTTTGCCAATTTGAATTATCTGTAGCATTTGAGAATCTGAATCTGTTATGATTCATATAGTGACATGCACCACAAAGCACTAAAGTACAATGTCATTACTATTAGAAATTGGTGGACATGCAAAGCGGTTCATTTATATACTATGAATCATCAATTTATTTTATTTGTTTTAGTAATAAAAGCAAGACAAAACCCAGGGGCAAAGAAATCCAGAAGATATTTATTTGTTATAGCAGAACAATCTATCGATATGTAAAAATGATTGCCGGTTGACTCATCACCTGACTATAATTGCGTCTATTATTTGACTGGGGAATCGATTCCTAACTTTCAACCAAATGAATAGTACAGGGTGATAAAACATTTAGGTACAACTTATCCAACCGTTATGACATTTACTAATGTTTCTAAGGGTTCGTATTTTCTCGTAATAAATGTAGATGGGCTTGCAAATATATATATCTACATGAATTATCTAAGATACCGAATACAATGGCTGAATTCTTACACTAAAACTATTAAAAAAGCGGAGAAATAGAACAAATGTGTTAAGATGAAATCTGGATTATCTTACAAACGAGTGTGGGTAAACGATCAGATAATCTTTCGAACTTTACATAAATATGACCTAGGGTTTCCACACCTCCGAAGAGCACAGAGAAATCAAGTCAACTTGAAATGTGTCGACTGAAAGCGATACACATAATATCGTAAGTATCACACAAAGTGTAACCCGAAACCAGAATCAATCATTCGTTGTAACGTAGATTATAGGCAGCCCGTATTAAGACTTCTAGGGCTGAATACACATATCCTTACAAATGATTGAGACCAATTATGACGAATTGCATTTCATTAAAAGACAAAATGGGGATGGAACTTACTGTGTTAAATGTAGGAGTATTAGCGTTCGCATGTTTGGTTGCTTCAGTAAAATTATGCCAGGGCAGACGTGCCCTTATGTCTGGAAACAGATGCAGAACTATGCATATTAAGGCAAGGAAGATGACCAAGATTAGATATCCGTATAAACCAAAAAGCTGGCCTTCATTTAACGGTATCATCCCCCTGACCTTGAAAGACAATGTTTGGTCTTACCGCTATACCGATAAATAGACAAACAAACATCTTAGTAAAAACATTGTAAGTGGATTTGTTTCGGAACTTCCACTTCTTCGAACTTCAGTATAAAATGAAAAATGATGTGTGCTCATGTCAATTTTTTAAAGTGCTGTACTTCAGGTTTCGAACGCACGATGTACAATATGCATTTTCACCCTGTCCCAAAATGTGACGAGCTAATATTCTGCCAATCGGAGACTGTGATATTTCGACAGACTGGTCGGTTGATGCGGATAGACGGATTGAGGACTAATTGGACAAGTTAAAGGCCACATTCGAGTCCTTAACTTCACCGTTTATCCCATGTTCAACGAGTAAGCTATCTCATTTCCTCTATGGATCTACAAGAAATCGAGTTTTTGCAACAATGCAACCCATTGTCATGGATGATGGCCATCTCGTCTCCTATCCCATCCACTCATGTTTGACAGCTGTAGGTCAAGGTAAAGGGTCCCACTAAAGTGGTGGGCCGATGTGGTTCGAACATGCAGCCCTCTGATAATTACCATAAGCTTGTTTTGTGATCAGTTATTGTTATTACTCACACCTTCTACAGAGGGGCTTTGTAGTGACTGATACTGTGTCAAGCCTACATAGGCTATTCTAGTTTGCGGACAGTTCGGTTTATTCATTCTTCTCGAGCCACAATCTCACCTTGCCACTTGTTGGCTTATTAACCTTGACTGATTTTACATGATGGTATCCGTGTTAATCACTTGCCCTTTTCATTAAGTATCTGCAATTTCTTTTTGCCTGATTATAAGTACTGAGTCACGTGTTCAAACTTCATTCTCATATTCGACTTATTTTAAGTTCGTTATTCACTAACGTGATTTAAGTCTATAATTACATTCGACGGTTTGCGGGATGCATATTCTGACAAAAATCAGCATACGGTCCAATTGGAGCCAGATAGGGGGCCACACTAAACAGCTGAAAGAATTCTAGTATACATGAGTATACATATATATAGATATATAGGAGTGTTATTTGATATTGTTAACTAGTCCTGGAATAGGTACTGCGAAGTTTATGTACCCGACGTCTAGTCTGTTCTTTAGATCGAGCCAAACGGTTGGTTTCTGAACGTTCTCGATCATAAAGGTATTCCTTCATCATTTGTGAAATATGATAGTAGAGAATTCCCATTATTTTGTTTAAAACTTTTCAATCTATCTATGGAACATGGGCTCTATTCATCTCTATAAAAAACATCTATTATCACCCTTGGACTCAAAATGGGATCACGTAGTGATATTGTTAACTATAGGCCAATTAATTTGACATCCGTGTTATCAAGAACCATGGAAAAAATCATCCATGAACAACTATTATCATTTTTGCTTTCGGCTAGTCTGATTAGCCCATCCCAACACGGGTTTATGACTAAAAGCTCATGCTTTACATCGTAACTGGAATTTTTTGATCAAATTACCCAGAAAAAAAGTGTTTGCCAGTCAGTGATAATTCTGTACTTCAATTTTAATAAAGCTTTCGACAGTGTCTCACATAAACTTTTTCTTCTGAAACTTTCTCCATTCGGCATACGGAATGAGCTGCATAAACCTAAATCTGGTTATATGCAAACATATACTGAAACCTCCCAACACTGTTCGTGACTTGAGTTTGAGATATAGCAACAGACTGAACTTTTCCGAGCACATTGCATCTCAAGTATGCAAAGCTAGAAAGCTTATTGGATTCATAATGATATGCTTCAATAATATCAAATCGAGATTAGAATCATACAGAAAATGTATTTACCCATTCTTGAATATAGTATTTTAGTTTACAGTAATTGCAAGCAATAATGACCTGATTAAAACTGAAGATGTGTAGAATTATGGTCTACTATGATATTAGTACTGCTCTAATAATAGACCTAATCCTAAGTTTGTAGATTTGTCATGATATAACTGCCTAATCTATAAGATCTTACGTGGAAGTCACACCATCGACTACACCAACTCACTGTATCGTATCAATTACCAATACATGATGAGGAACAAGGTTAGGCTAGAGAAAGAACAATATATTTAATATGAATAGAAGATATAAAGTAACACTGAGATGGACCACGCCTGCATGGACGAGCCATGCCACTCGATCAACTCCAGTCCAATCAATTCATTGTTCGCGCCTTCTCCATTGTTAGGTATTTCTCCGCGTTAAATATTGAATATCTATTTTCTGAGTAGTCTCGTATTCAGCTTTGTGGATTGTGTGGCTATTGTCCAATGCCACTACAGATGTTCAAAGACGGTTCATTAAAGCTGTTTCGTGGTTTTCCGACAACAAGGACTATCACCAAAGATATCAACAACTCAAATTAGAACTTCTGTGGATCAGGTGTATCAAATTAAACCTTGTCGTTATCTACCGGCTTATCAACGGTATTTCTTACTCTTCGGTATCCACTCTCTCATACTCTATGATGTCATCCTGTTAGATCCAAACTAAGGTTTGAGCTAAAGAATAGCTGTCTAGGTGGGTTAGATACGCTCCCTTGCCCGGTTGAAGCCAAAAAAGTGATTGGGTAAAATGAAGGTTCTGAAATTCACTATAAATTTAAATGTACATTGTTACGTAAACAAATATGACCATCCGGCTATCCAATCAATAATTGTTCAATTAATCAAATATAAACTACAATAAATAAGAAAGTTGATAAAGGATGCGAGAAAATTACCAATCACAACGAATAAACGTTATTCTATCCTTTCTCTATACATCACGTACAGATTTGTTCAAAAGATAATATTTGGTTGCTTTGTAACACAGTGTTTCCAATTCTGGAAGAGTGCCTCAATTCACAATAAAAATATGCACAATTCCAGTCAATACAAGCAACACGATCAAAAGGAGGAACAAACCAATATGGCTACCACCAAGACTAAGCATTAAGTGAAACAACATAAATGCAGTTCAGGAAGAAACATGAAAACTTGGTGAAGGCGTAAGAAAAATAAAAACTATAATAAAATACAGATATTACCAACTCAAATGGAATCAAAAGACTAACAAAATGTACAAATGAATGAATCAATAGGAACAAACTGCAAGTGTATACATGAAGGGACTTTCACACACAAAACATTCAAAATGGATCTTACAATCACACAACTTACGCAATAAGAAAAATGTTCTAGCGATCTAAAGAACCTACACAAACTTACGCAAGAATTTTTTCATTATTCGCTAATCAACTATGCAGAACAGACTGTTAGTGAGCCTCCGTTGCAGTGAAACTGCAATACAGTTCAGAAGTCTCCTTGATGATTTTCTTTCCGAAAATGGATTGTAACACCTATTGAATATCATTATGTTTAATAATGATTTATATAAAAATGGTCCGTCATCTATCCAATGGACTGAAAAGCAAAGTGTAACCTCTGAAACGTTTCACGTTTATTCTACTTTCTTTCTATTTATTCTACTATATGAAGTCTGTTTATGTTCATATTTATGACTATTACTGTTATTGTTACCATGATAGGTCTCTCGACACATAAGATGTTCTGTTCGTCTCTTTTATTCCTTCTGAGCATACTTTATTCTTAAACATCTGAAGTCCATAACTAATTAATTTTGACTTTCATGTCATCATTCTAACGTGCAATTGCATAACAGTGTTACCAAGTTTTACTCTGCATCCTAATAATGTATTTATCCGAGTGCACTAATAGATATTTTTTAAAATTGTTGGTTTACTTTGGAGGTCGATATTCATCGCACAATTGTTATTATCATGGTTGAATCCTTTCACTATGTGTTCACTTCCATTGTCGCTTTTTTCCTTCTAAATAAATATTATTCTTAAGATTCCGAAGTTTGTAATTAAGACATTACCTTTTGCCACACTGAAAATAACTTCTCAGACACGTTTTATCTTCACCATGTATACATGACTCATACATATTGATATTTGGTTAACATCTGCAATCAGTTGAGACCTTCACTTCAAAATATGACTACACAAACACTAAATATAACGTCAAGTCTTGCTGCAATAATAAGTTATGTTTCCTATTTATTTTGTTTTATTTCATTTTTGTTACTCATTTGACGATACATACATAGTCGTCTATTCTTGTTCCATGTTCGCAAACACGCCTATTAAACTAGTTACGTATTTCGTGTCTCCTTTATTTCTGTTCCCTTATTTTCCCTTTTTCCTACCTTAAAGTCAACTCAATATTCTTCACCACTATATGGAGTCTGATTTGTTAATATTCTATTATACTTATTATCATTATTTTCTTCTCTTTTTCAAACATGGCAAATAAAATTCCAACATTATTGAAACTTGTGTGTTATTACATTTTTGAAGAAACTCGGAATGGTTTCTTCACTTACCTTATGTACACATAAGATAATAATTTAAGGTTTTCGGAGGTTTAGACAATTAACATTGTAAATTATTTCTTGTTGATTTATAAATTTGCTATTCACAGTGTGCAGACTGGTTGTATTTGTGTTGACAATATCTTGTGTCTGTTGTATAATTCGCAGTTGTTGGATATTGATCGTGTGTCTGAGTGTGATGAGACCTACGATATAAGTGTAATCATTCCTTTTCCTGTATCTCGTGTCTTCATCGAGTAATAAGTCCAGCTGTTTAGTATTATAGTAAAGACGACAAAAAAATTTAATCCCTCCGGTATTTTAGTATATCCATAGACAGTTATAATTGAAGGTGATAGACTCCTCATATACTCACAGAATTCTTTGAGTTTGTTTCCAGCTCGTCTCGATTTTATACTCTCGCTAACCTATAAATTTAGTTAAATGTAGTTTCAGTGCAAAACAAATTAAAAGTTGGCTATCTTTCCTCTTTTGTTTTATATATGTTTTTATATATGCACTGTTATACAAAGAAATTAACTACTTATCTAGTTATTATCAATTAATATCTGTTAGTCAAAGAAGAATCACTATTCCTTCGTTAACTAACAAAGAATACGATTGTAAAGATAATAAACAAAATGTTCATCATTTTATGTGGCATACCAGACGGTTGTTTTTTCAGTTTTTCATCCTCATTGTGTTTGAGCAAGTAGGATAAATAACAATACTGAATGTAGAGTATGTGTTAAAAATCTCCGAATCTGTCTGGACCGTATTATAATAGATATGGGCGGACTACGGAATACTTAATCAGTAAAACTGTGTATATAAGTGAAAATGCTATGTTGTTATAAGGATGAAGCTGGTTATAACAAACCCGAATGTGTTCTTCAAAAACACGAGAAGTTATATAGCAAATTTTTATGGTATGATTAGTCAGTGTAGACAATGATGAAACTTCCACATAAAATCTCGTAGATTACGTGATTACATTAATATAAATCTACGCTTTCAGGGTTAGGTTTATTATTATAATAGTACTAATACCGAACTAGGCCATAATTCCACAGCCCAACCAACAGTGACCGTGGTGCCGTGGGACTTCCTGAAACTCAATAGGACTCTCAGAAGTGAACATAGGAACACTTCTCTTAAAACTAACGAGACGTATGGAGTCCCTGGCATGCGATGGTTTGCGTAACTGCTAGTTATCTGTGGCCTTATCACATCAACAGCACGGGTTCAGGAGAGGTCACTCTTACGTGACCAACATGCCGACCACAATGGACAGTCGGACAATCATCCTTGATCACAAGGGGAAGATTGATGTGACATACCATGACCTCTCCAAAGCTTTCGATAGGGCTAGGCATATATGTCATATCAATAAGCTCAAACGACCAGCTTACTCCATATCTAAGCAATCGACGCTTTAGGATCAAGGTAAACTTCACTTTTTCACAGCCCACGGAATGTTTTAGTGGGTTCCCTCGGGGCTCAGTGCTAGGACCTCTTCTTTCCTTAACCTATATAAATGACCTCCCCCAGCATGTATCGTCTAGTTTACTACTTTTCGCTAACGATTGGTAAACCTGGTGATAAGTTTTTGCGACCAAGATGATAAGTTGGCACTTCAGGAAGATCTGTAGAATCATGGTCTACCATGATATCAGTACCGCTTCAATAATAGACCTAATCCTAAAATTGTACATTTGTCATGATGTAACTGCCTCGTCTATAAGACCTTACGTGGAAGTCATATCATTGTCGAAACTGACTCATCGTATCGTAACAATTACCAATATATGATGGAGAAGAAATTCAGGTTGGAGATAGGGCAATATATTTAATATGAGCAGAAGCATGTTGTACAGATCGACCACGCCTGCAAGGCCGAGCCATGCCATCCGACCACTTCGAATCAGTTCGATTCATTGTTCCCGCTTTCTCCATTGTTGGGTTTTCCTCTGCGTTAAATGTTGCACATCTATTTTCCCAAGTGTCTCGTGTCCAGCTTTGAGGATTGTGTGGTTAAGGCCAAATGACACTACAGATCCGTCTCGAATCCAAAGTTGGGCAGACAGCAACAAATTTACTCTTAACAACGAAATGCGAAGTTATCTATCGGAGATATGTAGCGGAATACACATATAACTTAGGCAATTCCCCCATAAAGGTATCCAAAATTAGAAAAGAATTCAGAGTTTTTCACAGTTAAGTTCACGAGTCGGTCTACGCTAGATCAAAGCATGAGACGACTGTGTCACACGGCCGTCCAGTGCTTCCAGGTTTTCAATGATTTAGTAGCACGGTTTGACTAGTGAATTCAATTGTTAATATACTGCAACCTTAACAAATCCCTGTACACATGGATTTAAGAGCGTTGTAACCATATGACGTTTGTCTTACGCTAACTGAGACATAATGCCTTCCGAGAAAAACCTCGCACCGGCAAGGTTAGAACACATTTTTAAGCAGTGCGATCGCAGAAATTTCCGCCTAATCTTTTAAACCTCTCTTCAGTCTCAGAGCATGAGAATATCATCTTTCTCCTTCACTCCAAAATGGGTAAAAAGACACTGAAGCTTATCAAAAAGCGAGCCACAAAATCAATTCAAACCTTATGAGGAGCTCATGGAATCACTAAAACTTTACATATTAGAGCATAAGCGCCTTTGAGGTGACCTCAGATTGACCTAAAGCGTCCTAAACACCCCGAAGCATCCCATCAAACACTTGTTCAAGATCAATCACGAATCAAACATTAGGAGTAACACCCAGAAATCAGATACGCAAAATGGAAGAATGGACCGTAGACTCAACGTTTAATCTTTAAAATTAGTTAAATTATGAAATTCGCTGCCGGCTGAGGTAGTTCAAGCGACTTCCTAGGAATTCTCTAGAGGAAAACCTACCATACTTTTAAAGACTTAGAACACAGTCTTACTATATTCTGGTAATATTTCTCCTTTTATCGTTAAAAATATACCTAGGTTCCTACCTGGAGACATCGGTGATCCACTGCTACTAAATACGGAGATCCACTCAGAACCATTTAGGATGACTTAGATATCCCGAAAAACGTACGGGGGGCAGCTGCCTATGCAATTCCAGAACTCCGAGGTTTACCATACAAAAAACTGCTTGAAAAAATAGACCTCTTTACTCTGTCCTACCACAGAATAAGTGGTTATCTGATTTCGATGTAATAAATACTAAGAAGTGGTTTTGAACGTCATATCTTTCTTTTTTTCTTCCCACTGGATCGCGACATCTCAGAGGACATAGAAGACGAGTAGAAAAGCCGAGAACGAACAAAATATCTGCGGCATGCGAGTTTTCACCAAGTCTTGTAACTTGTTACGCGAGTCATTAATGTCTGCACCTTTGATTGACCCATTCAAGAGAGTACTAGATACTCACAGAAACATACTAGCAAAGTAACAACACAGGCCATAGGCCTTCTGTCTTCACTACACAATTATGAAATTTGAAATATTTGGAATTCTCTGCCAGAGCACGTAGTATCAACACTGTCTGTCGATTCATTCAAAGTGGAATCAGACACCCACAGTTCAACTAATCGCAAGGATTAGACTTATTCTTACTACAGAAGAGTGGATTATATACTGTTTAACGTTCAAACTGGCACCTTTTTAAGCCTGACGTTACGAAGCCGCACATGCCAGAAAACGATTCAGTGAGATTGTATATTTTGCTTGACCAGGCTTCACTAGAGTCAGTTAAGGCATCTAGTGGAAAAGAGTTCCAACTACTTAATCCTGATAGACATAAAGATCGGATTTTAAAGGCCGGTGTTGATGTTGCCACAGTTCGTCCAGATATTACCCATCAATGTCTACTCATGCTACTTGATAGCCCATTAAACCGAGTTGGCAAACTGCAGGTTAGTTTAGCCTTTTCAGTATGATGGCGCGTTTGATCTCAGGCTTTATTATAAGGTCCTACTTGTTGCTTATTTCAATATAATTGTTTCATCAAAGGCTAACTGGAACTTCTGAAATGTTTCCTTTACCGAACTGTCTATTTTAACGATTATGCTTAAAATCCTACTAATTTATCTGCCTCTAGAAGGAACAGAGACATTACCTCTTTAAAAATAATGTACAGTATATCGTACTTGTGATAAAAGTCTTACAGCTGTTCTAGAACATAACATTTAGGTTAAACAAACAATAGTTACCTTTATAGTGCAAGTCTATTACCTCGCTATTTTCGTTCCCTTATTAATGATTAACCTCAACTTTGAATGTAATTTGCATCTGTCATGTGAAAGTGTTTTCGGTTTGCATGACCCAAAAAAATTGCACAAATTTTACGTCAGTGATTCTGAATTCTAGGTTGTGTCTGGACACAGTACTTCTCCGTTACAGCCTCATTGTGACTTAGATTTTAGTCCTTGAACTGCTAGATGCCGTTTGACACTAAACGAATTAAATTTTCGTTCTGCCTTTATGGCAGTGAAACATGGTCGGTAAGAGTAAAGGATATTCGTAGGTTACTAGTATTCGTTCTTAGGTGTCTTCGAAGCATTGCTCATATATCCTAAGACCACTGAGTAAGTAATGGAGTTGTTAAGAAACGGGTACTAGGTAAGGATGGCAAATCAATTGATGAATTAGTGAAACTTCATCAGTTGAGATGGCTGGAACATGTGTCACGTATGCCCAACCACCGACTGCTTCGACGTGCGATGTTTCATGTTGTAGGAGTAGGTTGGAAGAAAGCTAGGGGTGGCCAGACCGAAACATGGCACAAATCCATGAAGTCACTCACTGACAAGTGGGCTGAACCATGTTAGTAGGTGTAGACTACCTGGTTGAGATCCGTGAAGTGATAGCAACCGATGGTTAGAGACCTTGAAAGTGACATAGCTGGAAATCGTTTGCAATAGTGCAGGTGCATCAATTCTTTGTGTTCTCCTAAATTCTAATCTTCTGAATTGTTCATGTCCCTTTCTTTTTGTCTCTTTCCAAATTTATTTCACCGGATTATACTCATTGAGTAACATCTTCAAACCCTAATGTTTCCGATTACTGCTTATACTTTGACTACATCTACCAGTATGGGATTTGAATGGACAATTGTATCTGTGTGGTAATTTGGTATGGCAACTTGAACTGATGTATGTACATACGACTGACTGATTACCACCACTGAACTAACTACTTCTATGAATTCGGTGTTCATCTTGTTGTGCTAAAGAGGTATGGCATCTTGGACCGATGCACATATGTGCCTGGTCCTACTTTGTAGCTGACTATTTAACTAACACCGGTCTTACAGCACTATGTTTCACTTATGCCGGACTAAACGCATCCCCAGCGTGCTTATATTGTCACTAAACATTCAGGAGACCAAGCATTGTAAGCGTCTCCACTAAATATAACTACGATAAGTGAATCTACTAATAGGAAGTCAAATAAAAAAGGCGTTGTCTCAATGACTGAGTGAGATAAAAATGCAAAACAGCAAGCATCATTTGATATTGCCCGTCCTATTGACAGTTTGCCATAGCTGCTGACTTAACGGAGCGATGGAATCTAGAAACATGTTACGATACAAGAGAATTTTTCGAATGAGAGTTTAGGTACCATGGACCCCTGACTGCAGTAAAACTCATTACCCTCTTTGTAGTTGTATAATTCGTTGGGAAGAATTATATATATATATATATATATATATATGATGGCTAGTCATATCCGCCGGGATTGACCCCCTAAGGAAACCACCTGCTTCAGTTTAGGCACCCGGGCAGTATCACAGCCCTCACACAAATCAAAATGGGATTTTTGTGGCGCATATATATCTGGTGCCCCTTTGTCCATTTACAGGAATAAGTAGACTACCGGGTAAGTAACTGATGCCGAGCAAGCGGCAGCCCGAATTAGACGAGTCATTTGCACACAGCAATACAATCTGGCGTAAAAAAGTCAAATAAAAAACTTCCTGCTGACTACTATCATCAAGTAGAAATGCAGTTATTATTTTACTAGAATAAGTTTTTCAGGGATATTTAATACTGGATTTTTTCTTCGTATTGACTGTAGTTTTAAACTGCAGGATATTTATCACCTTAACTGAGAATATTTAATTTAATTATACTGACAAATTTGTTTTAATTTTCTCAAAGGTTTTTATTCGAACAAGAAAAAATGTGATAATTGAAGTGAATCCTAAAACAAGAATACCACGTACATTCGATCGATTTTGTGGGCTTATGGTGCAACTTTTACACAAACTCTCAATACATGCTGAAGGTGGCAATCGTGAGAAACTATTAAAGGTATGTACAGTATTCTTGTTAATTTTATTTAGTTTTTTATATAGATCGTCAAAAACCCTGTAACACGACACTTTCCAATCGGTGCTCCAGTTATTACAATGTCGTTTTCATCAAAGGAACAAATTAAACCAATTCAACTAGCTGAAGAGACACAGAAACCTAACCCTCAATCAGTTGTTATTGTTATTGGTGCATTAGCCCATGGTTCAGTTGTTGATACTTGTAAAGAGTTTACACAACGTACAGTCAGTATTAGTAACTTTCCTTTATCGGCCGCTCAGACATGCGCTCGAATATGTACTGCATTCGAAGAAGTATGGTGTGTTGAAGATATTTTAAGTGGAGTAGAAACGCAAATAGAAACCTGATACATTAAAATGACACCGGTGATATGTATGATAATATTTATTTGTAAATAAAAGACTTGCACCTGTTATTGTATTGCAAAATGAAGTACATGTAATTAATTGGGAGATTTAACTGTTTGTTATCATTTTCAATAGTCACCAGAAACACCCTCAAATATGAAAAATAAGCTATGATAAAAGAATAATGTAAACCAAACACACCGTTCACAGGTTAATAAATACGCTTCATCACAAAGAAAAAGTCATGTAAACTCTGATCACATAGTTAAATGACTGAAAGTCAACAAAATAATTATTATTAGGAGATGTACTTAATTTATTCGTTGACAGGCATATAACCAAAATTAAATAATGCCACTATTTGAATTTGTTTGATTTCATCAGCTGGGGGTAAAACACGTTCTAATGTTGTAGAGGCAGTGGCAGTTGTTGTTGACAATATCGATGTTTCAGTGGTTGCAGTTGTTTCTGGAATCTTTCCTTGTGTTTTGGTAGTGTCAGTTGCCACTGTTTTATTACTCGCTGCACTTAACAGAGTAGTGGATGTGTTTTTGTAGTCGAAATTCATGTAAATTGCAGCTTGTAAAGGGATCAGTTGTTCAGATTTGTGAAATTGATCAACTATTTGATCTTCGCTAACCGGAACTAAACTTGAATTTCGCAATGTCGGTAACTTATTGGTTTTTGGTATTAAAGTAACATTAATACCTAGTTTGTTACCACGACGGAAGGCCACTATCCTAGATAGGAATTAACAAAAGAAGAGGAAACAAAAGTTATTGAGGTTACAGGGGTATTAAAGTCACGGTATGGTTTTAGTAACGCAAGGAGGTCTTATACTCCGATTGTTCGACCACAGTTTGGTGTTAATTATCAAAAGTTCCACCACTGTTGTAGGATTACCTGCAATAGTCTGATCGATTCGAAAAGGTGTAATTATAATATAAGCATTAAATATAGAGACTGCCATTTTTAGTGATTTAGTCACTTAACATTTTTATGAAATGATATAAATTCAGAAAGCTCGGTTGGTCTTTGCCAATGTGAGTCACTTGTAGCGTAGGCAAGGTATTCGTTTGCCAACCGATGAACAAGTTTACTGTACAACAGTTCGCTCCTTTGTATTTATTTATTATTATTTTAACACATAGATATTGGTACAAGCAGGCACCAAATACATATGCGCCACACAAATTTTATTCGATATGTGTGAGGGATGTAGGACTTCCCTGTCAGAGGCTATATACGCGTGGCCATGTGAAAGCATTTCGAGAGGAAGAGCGGACTCTCCCCACTCTCGGCCGTACCAGGGCATTCGGGGCCCCCGCTCCTTTGATGGGTGTGAAACGTGGCTGATAGATATGCAGACTATGTGTATAGGGTCCATGTACGATCACATAATAGGTGATATAAACCAGAATCGGTTACAATAATGCAGACAGATTCACTCTTAACTTTTGGTATCATCTGAGTCCCATTGATACTACTGTTATCTCAATTCTTTTTCTGTGCTGATGTTGTAGTATGTGTATTTGAGGCGATGTACATTTATTTCGGATTCTACGTTAATTATAACTAGTACAAAATAACTTTATTTCGTGGCGAGACTATAATTTATGGACGAACCAAGCAGATATAAGATAACGAGTTATGAATTTTGGCGCGAAATTCGTTCATTCATTTGGCTAAATAGAGTTTTGGCATTATAGCTGATATCAGTTCGTGATGAAAACCCTAAATCTAATTTTTGACTTTAACCATCAACCGTAAACCATAATTCTAACTGGTTTATAACTCTCACATTCAGTACTAATCAGTAGGTGTCTATTCTCAAGGTCACTCCAGCGTCGCTCAAAGGTCGTCCATAAATTGTAGTCTCGCCTATTTTGTTACGGAATTACATTGATCATGGTAAGACTGATGATACTGTCTGTCTCTTTCACTATGTAGATAAGAAATGTGGAAATCTGGACTGATATACGCTCATATTAGATCTTAAGCCTTCTATCCCTTTCAATTATTAGATGTACATGTAGAATTACAAAATAGCCATGAGTTAATTTCAATCACTGTTACGTTAGAATTGAAATAACACATTCGACAGTTTTACCTACTGTATACATGTGAGTATACATTAGTTCAATAGAAACCAGATGATCTTTTACGCATTATGTATCAGAAAATTGATTTAATATCAAAAAGGACTATATGTCACGAGGTTGGTCGGTAGGAAACTCTGCTTGATCTAGATTTTGTGCTAGTTGCTACTCATTACTGGTACTCCCTGTAGGATCACTCGATTACTTTCAACTAATTAAATATAGTCCATACAACTAGTTAAACATAATATTGGTCACTATTTATGTATCAATTCACATGGAATGGTTAGTGTAATTTCATCAATAGTTCAACAGTATTATCTTAAACTTACTTAGGATCATCTTTGTAATCGCCAGAACTTTGACCTGGAGTTACATCACAATCCATAATGTCATTACGGGGTGCAAGTTTTAACTCTTCGGTTGGTAAAATGAGCTAGTCAATACCAAAAGAACGGGGAAAAGTAACTATGCAATAAAACTGTGCTTATTCAACAATAAATGATTAATGTTGAGGATGTTTCAAATCAATCTAAAATCCAATTATTTATTTGCTATTCTGTTTAGGTTTTTATTTCTATAAAATTTGAAGTTCTTGTTTTTTTTCTTAGTCGAAACTCTCTCATCCTTTGTTGACTCGTCGCTCTTTAAATAAGCTTATTATCCACCACACATTTAAGAAAGATGTAAATACGTTTATACATTAAAGCATTCTGCTTTGATCTAATTAATTGAATAAGCTAGGACTATGATAAAGAAAAGCGGAGTGCAGTATCGATTGTCTAATCGAACAGAAACTAGGAATTACTCAATATACAGACATTTCGTATCAATTTTATAAAAATGTCAGCTGAACGACACAGTAACCAATCCTGAAAGATAATCAATTACCCTCAACATCGAGCGTAGTACAAATAGGAGTTAGCCTAAGTTGCTGTACCACAGTGGCACGACGACAGTAGGCTTCGCTATTAAGGCAGTAGTTGGGCTTGCATATAGTGTTGATCTAACCAAACTATATTGGTTGGAATATTCATTCTCTTACGTTCGACCATCTTCTTGTGACTATGTCCGGCTTTTTATCACCTGATTTATCCACCAGTCAAAATACAACTTATACAATCTTAGCACTGTACCAAACCAATGACGTTCGACCTGTATGAGCAGCCTAGCGTCCTTATTGGTCCTATGTCCGCCTAGCCCGTCCACTTGAGTCCAGAACAACAATACCAGCTTCCACTATGCGAATCGAATCGTTTATTTCAGACATACTGGGTTTATATATCAACCGAACAGACTGCAACGCAGCATAAAATAGGAAATAACATTTGTACACAATAAAGCCAAAAAGTGACTGTGAACGTGGGAGGCAGTAGTTAATGAACTGAACATAGCTTAAGAACAGTAAATCGTACAATAATAAAATATAGGTCAAAATAAAGCTTATCATAAAAGGGATATAAATATACATAATCTAATTATTGAATAGTTATACCATAAGAATATATAAATAATATTAGTCAATTAATATGTCTCAGACGTTACTCGTGATTTAATCTTCGCTCGGATATAACACATCCTTGATAGACCAATACAACTATAAGCAACAAACCTGAGGGTTTAAGGGAGAAAACGTACGGCCAACTGTAATGGAGCATACAGATAGACAGTAAAATGTTGCTCTTACATTCAGAATTGCTGCTTCCTACAATGGAAGCAGGGCTGGAAAATCCCAATCATAAACAGTAGTAAATATCAATTTGTTCTACAGATTTCTATTGATGGTGGTAAAGTCTGAAAAGTACAGAGCCAACGACAAATGAAGAAATACTCACCAAAAAGTTGTGTATGATTGGGCTTCAAACAGTTATCCCTTTATCTCTGTAGTCAACCTGTCAGATTGCCAAGTTTACCTCTAATCCAGTTTCGTTTTATAGTCCCCTCAAGCAGAATTATCTTTGTATGATGTATGCAATTGACAAGTGATAACCACCCTCATATAACTAATAGCAATCAATATGAACAATCATAAAGATAGAAATATCTAAATCCTGCCAGCGAATTCTTTTAGTATAATATAAAGTATCGCATAGAGACAAATATACAGGATAAGTTATATACACCAACAGTTGCTATATGGTAACTTACATTTACAGTTGAAAAACATGTTAATTGATCATCAGACAATAATGATGCTGTGTCACTACTGATAGTAGTAGGATCCTTTTTTGATTCATTGGCATTATCAATAGATTGAATTTCGATTGTAGATGAAAGTGAATTTAGTTCATGCTTATTGCTGTTAATTAAATGCCCAAGATGTTCTATTTCTTCTTGTGAAGTCAATTGACGTAATGAAACAGTTGTAATCCGATGCATAGGATTACTTATGGTTAAAATTATATTTATTTTCTGAGAAAGGATAAAACGAAAACGTATTGATCATAATAATACTAAATTTCAAAGATGGTTTGATGATAACATAAGTGAAAAAAATTGGGCGTCTCATCATGGCGATCTGTACACTGTCTTGTAGCCAGCCAAATATGTATTAGCAGACTATCATTTTATGTAAAACGCATTAGTTGAAAGTACTTACATCCTTGTGTGAACTTTAGTGGTTGATAGTATGCTAAGCTCACATAAGCTATTCTAATTTCTGGATAGATCAATTTGTTCATTCTTCTCAAGCCACATTTTGATCTTGTCAATTATTCACTTATTAACCCTGATTATTTTTATATGATCGTATGTGTGTTAATTGCTCACCCTATTCATTAGGTGTCTGTAATTTATTTTTGTCTGAATGTAAATATTGAGTCATGTTCGATCGAAACGAGTTGGCCCACTCGCCTTCTCGGCTGAGTGTCACTTCGTTTCTCTGATTGCCTGTCTGGATTAACGAGTGTATGAAATATACGCATCGAAATTCATTCTCGTGTTTGGTTTATTTTATTCCGTTAATCTCTAACGTGAATAAAGTCGATAATTATATATGAGGGTAGTTGGGATGTATATTTCGATAACAATCACTTGTGCGATCTAACTGGAGTCAGACATAGAGAACCAAATGGAGTAGTATCATGTAGACAGATTCAATTGAGGAGTCGTCCGTGAGATCAAACAGGTGTATCGGATTTCACTGTTAGCCACTATTCAAAACTACACTAAACCTTGCAACTATAAACAAAATATCAAGATTTTTGTTCAGGAAACCCAAATATCAACAAAGACTGATCATAATTTAGTTCGTGAATACTGACCAATAACCTCACCATAAAGTTAGTGAATGGGACTATTCTGGAAGAGGCTATAAACACATGGCAGTAAGAGAGCATGTTACAAGAGAGAACTATCCCCACCGTTATATGTATAGAAGAGTTTGGGACGACTATATAACATTGCGGTAATAAGCAGATTTGACCACCTACACTGATATTCTTCAAAACAACCATGAAATAGTTATGTTACTCTTATAACGCGATAGTATTGGAAAGGCTGGAACATTCAGAACTATTTCTTCGAGTTATTGTTGTTACTATTCCCTAATTATTGTTAATTAGTTATGGACTATTTGATTAGCTAAACTGTCACTTATAACTTGATTGTGTTTAAAGTATGGATTCTTTATTTGATGTAATGTGTGCTCAAGCATTTTAAATATATTAGTGCATACATTTTGAGTGATGACTAAATAGGGTACAATGGAGAACTAATGCGCTTCCTATCTGGGTCTTCTGACTAGACACTTATCTATATTTATTTGAACACATAAATATTGGTAAAAGGAGGCACCAAATGCATATGCGTCACACAATCCACTTGATTTCTGTGTGGGCCATGATACTGCCTGGGTGCCCAGACTGAAGCAGGTGGTTTTGTTAGAGGGCCACAACCGGAGCCTTCGACCTAAAGGTCTGATCAATAAGGCAATGGGGTAACGTCAGGAGAGGCAGTCCCATGGTAGCCGGTGACCGAAAATTGGTTCATACGCCATTTGTTCACTCAGGATACTGGAGCCCATGTGCACCATTAGTTTGGAATGAGGGTTTTCCAACTCCCCTAGGTGGACTCCCTGTGTCCACCGACCCTGTTAGAGCGTCGAATATTCACTTTTCGTCCTCTCAATTCCGTAAACAACACCCCCAGTGAGAGAAGGCTGTAAGTAGGAATTCCCTGGCTTCTTCCAGGGAAGTCCTGCTCACGATCAATAAGAGTTAAGGTCTTGGCTGGTGTTCAGTGGTCGGTGTGTCGATTAATACTTAGATCACCAGTCTTGTTGACAATATAGGCGAACTTATCGATAATCAAAATCTCGATTGGTAGGTGACTTTAGCACATGATATCAACTAACATCTCAAATTATAACAATTATAAGCACTTACTTGACCAGGTGTAGCATTAGAATGAATGACAGGTTCATATTTCATAGAAACTAATGTCGATGAAGTACGACGTTCCAATGTTAAGTTAGTTTTACTCATAGTCTGTTTTAAATCAAATGTTGATCCTTTATTAATTGTTGGTGGAATAATAAATCGTAATTCTGGAACATGATATAATGCATTTAAATTAATTCGAAATTTAATAGAACTTGGACTAAAATCCGCTTTGCATAGATTATGTTCACAGACACGACAACGCATTGATCGTTTAACAACTAAACTTTTTGGTCGTGGTTCTAAATTCGATGTATATCTTGGTTGAATTTGAGGAGCTAAATGACGTTGATGAATATTGGTAACTTGAGATAAAAGAAATAAGTATGAAAATTATGGATTAATTTTAAATCAATTTTTAGAAGTAGTGAAAACAGAGTACATTTTAATGACTCTCAAGAACCAATCAAGTTCTGGTTACTTTTTACTCACACTTACCTACATGGCAGTTTGGTCTTATTTACTTAATGGGAATATTCTAAAATGTAGCTTAATTATAGGTTTATATACTGACTAATTGAATCATACCTAGCAAAGGTCGATCATACTCTGATTAGCTATGACCAAACTGAAGTTCAGAAGATCAGGGTTCGGACCGAGAACTATATGGATTTAATCACCATTTTTCATGGAAATAAGATAGAGAGGAAAAACTATTCTGGACTAAATAACTGTCCAACCGTAGTGTAAAATCAATCGTAATGAACGAGGAAACTGACACAAATGTATGTTACCTAAAGTTGCTATATCACATCAGCAGGAATAGGTAAATAAAAAGCAATGGAAAACATGTTATTACCAATGATAATAAGACACAACAAATACTAAGAATATAAGCACAGATATATGGTGAATAGTAGTGGAATCTAGGACGCGCGTTTCGTGCTGCTGTATCCCAGAGTTGATGTTCGCTTCAGAACTCGAACCCCAATTGCAATTCCAAACGTCAATAGGAAGACTCAAACAACCAGTACAAGATGAATTAAGAATGCAGTTATTATCAAAATGCATGTATTATAGAATACTGGAACTAAACATTTAAGGGAAAATAAAGAGTCAACCTATCTATCTCGTTGTGACCTAACCATTGATCTTAGTTGTTACCTGAACGATTCTAATCAGATAGTCTATATCTCTATCAAACAGTCAGTGAATTCGCGAAATAATGCTAGATTTTGGTTTAGTCGCTTCTAGCTTCCTTCTCGTACACTAGCTAATGTATCATGAAGGTATATTGACGAATGAATGATACTCATAATTCAAGAATAATTGAAAATTAACAGAATTAAATATACCGACTAAATCATAGTGATATGTAGGAAAGGATACACATACTGGTATTGAGTGTATAAGAGGGAGGCAGTACCAGACTTACTTTTATCAATGTTAATTGGTTGATTGATGTATTCATCAACGTTGAATGGTGGGATTTCAGAAGATGCTTCAGCAGCGGGAATAGTTACCTTTTTACTAGGAGTAGTTTCTCTGCTATTATTATAAACACAGTGGAAAAAATTGGATTTTAACAAATCATCCTTAACAGTATTGTTTTAATCTATGACAAACAGAAACATGTATACATTAGTATATTCAGCTCATTTACTAGGTGTACAGATTTGTGTACTTGACTTTGAGCTATACTCTGTGAGGGCAGAAGATAGCATTTAACCGGTTACCCAAACCGTAGTAGGTGGAGAAGGGATTTCGAACCTAAAACTTAACGACAGAAAGCCGAATACTTTAACCACTGAGCTACACCTTTTCATAGTTTTACGATTAGAAATATACTCTACAAAGTGTCAATTTTACGCAGCATTTTTCATGAAAACTAGATCCCGTTCAGGTTCATTTAATATCTAAACAGCACAGTTCTTCATTCGGTGGCGCAACCAAACAGGCACTAAGAGCCTAGTGGATTTAGTTAATTAACCATATATATGCACAAAATAACAGATTTTTCTCGAACTAAAAAGCGGAAGAAGCCTAAATACTCACAGATACTGGATCAAATATTACTCATAGTCTCTAAATCACGAACTAACCACCATTGGAAACTGTGAACAGGACAGCTGTTTAGATCTAGCACGGGACCCCTCAAAGGTGAGCATCCACAACCTCGCCATGGAAATTCTATAATAAATGGAATAACCTGTACTGACAGCAATTATTTGCTCACTAGTAACTAGCTTCAAGATCCATTTCCTGGAGTTCTAGTGAGAAACCTTGACCACTGAAGTTTAGTAGTGTCGGCTAAGAGGCAGTTACCTATCGAAGACCATGGAACATAGTTGAACAATATCGCGAATCGGTTAATGTTAAATATATGCACCATCAGATTCTGTTTAAGAATTTGTGAGCAAGACCGAAGGTCTTAGGATCGACTCCCTATGGTGGGGTAGTGAATATGCACTACTAAGAAGTCCTATAATAAGATGAAACAGACGTTTAATGCTATCCGGTTTTTATTGATAATCTAGTCTGAGATTAGGTTATGATTTAAAAACTATAAAGATCCTATAATCCCCACAAAATTCTTTACTGATAAATATTACCGAAAAAAAGAAACATAACTTACTTGGGTGTTGTCCAAGAAGATGAACAATAGCGTCTTAGGCGTGGATTTAAAACAGGGTAACGTTCCTAAAAAATATGTAGATTGTTCTGTTATTTAAATATACGTAGTAAGGAAATAAAAAATTTAGTTCCATGTAAGTAGACGGCTGTAAATCAGTGTCAAACAACTGACTTTAGTTACGGTGATTTATTTGAACACATAAATATTGGTACAAGAGAGCGCCAATATATATGCGCCACACAAAACAATGAGAATGCGAAGAGAAATAGAAAGAAAAAAAACTAAGGAGCGCAAAAGAAAAAGAGAACAATAACGAGGAGATTGGTGTAAGGTAGTGTGGTAGTAACGAGGTACAATCAGAAGAAATCTTTCAGGTAAGGGAGACACAACCACCTTTTATGAAGAAAGTAAAAGAAGGTTACAGCAGGATCGCCACTGGCTTCTATTCTGAGCCATATCTGATAACGTCTCTAGCCACTGTGTAGCACCATCTCTCGGACCCCAGCCAGGGAGTCGTGAAGGACCAACACAAGCCAGTCCTTTGCAGCTTTCTTTCATACCACGACACCATTTCATGCACTGACCACCTCTCCGCTTCTTCCAACCAGTCCCAGAGTCGGCAAATAATGCACGACGTGGAATTCTCTGGGACGACGTTCGGAGAACATGTCCAAGCCACCGAAGTCGGTGGTGACACCAATTGAGTTATCATCTCTGTGCCCGAACACACGATGCCGAACCTCTGCATTACTGACATGGTGTTGCCACTGAATGTCAGCAATCCTTCGGAGACAGCGATGATCGAACACAGAGAGTCGTCTAACGTCCTCAACTCGGAGAGACCAGGTTTCACAAGCATAGAGCAAAACTGCTCTCACCGACGCGTTGTAGATCCGACCTTTTACAGCCAGACTAACATCACGAAGGCGCCAAAGGTGGCCCAGATTGGCATAAGCCGCTCTGGCTTTCACTATTCGTGTATTGATCTCATCACTCACACCCCCCACCAGCACTTATGCAGCTACCCAGATACACGAACTTCTCAACTACGTCTATCTGCTCACCATCCAGGGTGAGTACAGGATTGGAATCCTGCCAGTCTTGTAGAAGTACTTTGCACTTCGAAGGTGCGAAGCACATACCATACCTACGGACACTGATTGCCAACTGATTAAGTGCGGATTGCATGCCTTGGGCATTATCGCACAGTAAGACAATATCGTCCGCATACTCAAGGTCGAGAAGTCTTTCTCCAGGCAACAGATCCACACCACCATTACTTACATTCATCAGAGCTGTTTCTAGAATGTCATCGATGGCAAAGTTGGACGCAACTAATTTTTATAACACGAACATAATTTATTGTATGTCCTCCATATTGAATTAGACAGAAGCTGTGACTCTACATTGTAAAAGGACATTTCCCATTCACAAAATACATTATCTGTTCGATAAGTATGGGGGACTAAAACTCAGGAAGTGTTCCCAATAAATCTATGAAATACTGAGTGTTATTTGCAGGAGATAACGAGTGTTGTAACAAATGACCCCTATTAAGTTCATCAAGTTTTAGTGAAAACTGTGCTAACTGCAGTGATGATGGACAGGACAGGACAGGACAGCAATAAACTTATTATACTAAAATAGGTTATCGAACGTATATAGTCTCTTGTGATATTTGATTAGTGATTCTCTACTTGGGTTATGTTTAATGAACTGAATGGAAAAAAAAATCGACCGTGTACCGAATTTCATAAAAGCATTCTTAGGGACGTTGAAATGTTAAACGATGAAATAACTAAGAAAAAACTTTAGCTTCTGAAGACTTCTAGAGATGTTTTGGACAATGGCAACGAAGAGGTTACAAGTATCTTGCCTTAAATGAGAAATACTTTGAAGGGTGGAAATAAGATTGATCTACAATAAATTTTGCAAGAATAAACCCAATTTTGATAAACGGAGCTCGCATATTTATTGAACAGACTACGGAATCATGTTGTTCCATCTTCTAAACCCAACAACAATCAGGAAATTATATGACAAGATAATAACTGACTACTTACCACCCGATCGTAGCTATTGCCCTGACGTGGTGATCGAGCTTGCCTATAGTGATTACTCAACCGAGTTGTATTGCCTAGAACACATGTTACTTTAGGTCCTACCATGTCATGCAGGTCGATTCGAGAACGGTAAAACTAAAGGAAGCAAGTTAAGGTCCGAGAGCGAAGTCATACTGCCAACTGTAGAGGAGTGTGATAGAAGTAAGGTGTTTCCTTTGGACAGCCAGCATCTGCAGGGATGCTGCCTTCTCACAACGAAAGGAAGGGGTTAGAAAAGGTCGACCCTAAAAATTTCATATTTGTCTCCGACGGTAAGGTCTTTTGAAGTGCGGAGCTTACAACATTAAAATTTTCCCGAAAGAAGACCGTGCACAACCTGCCTCAAGCATTTTTCTCTTGAGATGTGATCACCCTCCCAGGTCAATAACTCAGCTCTCTTTTAAGGTCTCTCAAGAAGAAATATCTTTCCATAGTGTGGGCTACCGGGAGGTGACAACTGCCCTCACCTCATACCTCCTCTATCAGCATTTGAGACCACCTTGTTGTGACTGACTGACTTACCATTAAAATCATATAATTTCGTTTACGTGCAAATTTATTCCATTCTTGATCTTCTTTCTCTTGTACTGCTAAATGATGATAATTATCGATTAGTTCCGAGATCTAAAAGAGGGGAAAATGAAGAAAAGCATCTAAAATAATTCGAAAATGAAAAGAATGTCTATATACACAAAAGTTATAAACAAATATTTCAATAAGTTGGTTACCTATTCTGTACAGATAAATACAGTTGTACATTACAACACAGTGGATAAGACAAATGTTATGTAACACGTTCAACAATAAGTAACCTACTGGTTGAAATCATGAGTCAATTGAAGCTAGACCACCATGGAAAACCTGGAAGCACTGAACGGCAGTTTCGTCCTAGTATGGGACTCCTCGGCAGTGCGCATTCACAATCCCGCCCCCCGCGAGATTCGAACCCAGGACCTATCAGTCTAAAAATCTCCACAAAACCAATTCTGATAATAGTAGGTAACTTACTTCAATATCAGTTAGTTAATCATAATCGATATCAGTCAGTCATAAGCAACATAGAATGTAACACATATGTGTATCGATTCAAGTTGCCACACTATATCAGCATATTGAAATGAAATCACCAAGATAAAAGATAGAACAGCAGAAGTAGTATAAATAACAGTTATAGTATAAGACATTAGACACAGATAATATTAATCAGAGTGAATATATGTGTGTCAACACAGTCGAATCTAAGCCATATCACACAATGTTTCTAACCATTGTTCACAACAATTGCGAGGAGTCCAATTAAGTACTCTGCACACAACATCATGACTCATTTCAACAGTCAATGAATTCTTGCAACTTACGCGTACACCAACAAATATTGACCGTCTAGATAGCCGATAGTTAAGCATATGCAACATATGTCTCAGGCAATATATCGATCCAGACTATCGTACTTCATATTAACACAGTGATAAAGGAAACATAACACGATGTTAAGAAAAAGGAGAGAAAATAATTATCAAATACAGTGAAAATCTAGGCATGACAAGTATAGTTCAAAAGGAACAAATGAGATCGAAAAATGAGAAAAACTAAGAGCAAAAATTAACTTCAGATTTATAGAAAAATAGACAATGAAAGTAACGGCACCGCCACAAACAGCTTCGAAAGATGTATTTTAACGTGAGCCTCAATTAAAGAGTCTTCATTTTCCGACATCCAGGATCACATCGGCAGTTAGGCATTTCAGGGATTGATGTTATATTTTGATCTCCAGGACCATCTAGGCAAGCAATGCACACCAAAATGGAAAGTTGAGAAAAGGATTAAAGAGTTCAGACTAAGACTATCAAACCAATGACTGATGATTTAAGGCAGACTATCCACACAATAATAATCGGCATCAGTGGTTGGATACCACCACTTTATCTCATATGACATAGAACTGTTCAGTAATGTAGACAAATTCATTATTTACAATCCTTTCAATTTTAATTTCGTCTATTTTCTATATCTTTCTTTTAATCCTCAAATTTTCATCACTATCATTGATATTAATTAACATTCACGTTCATCTATCATTCGTATTTTTATTTTGAGCAGAGATAGATGATAGACAGCGGTATAATCCAAGACGCGCGTTTTGCTCTGTTTTGAACTCATCAGTTGAATGTACCTGCATCCCAGAGTTGATGTTCACTCCCGGACTGAAACTGAGCACCATTCGCCTCAAACGCCATCCACACAGAACTCACATTTACCAAAAGTGATGGATCGATTACAGTACTAAACATCAATGAGAAAATACAAACAACCAATACATATGTATTTATGTTGTTAATTTCATCTCATCAGATTGATATGGATATGAAGAAATGACTTGGTGATGATGTACATCTGTGCTATAATATAAATTGATTATAACTAAGATATTAAATACACACAAACTATACCCCCCTCGTTATTTTATCACCTAACTAAGTGGACATAATATTCAATTGTTGTAAACCTTAGAAACTTGAAAAAGAAATCTATATCTTTCAATCAATTCTCAAGGTTCTTGAACAATCACATTTCTTTCTAGGGAATACACAAGCATAAACATGTAGGTTATTGATTTTCTACAGTAATGAAAACAGTGAACAATAAAATAGAACCAAGTATAAAAAATATTAGTGATATATGGAAAGAGAATTAAGCAGATTAAACTTGGACTATGCCTAGCACTGAGATCCATGATCTACATTTTATCCTACTTGGGACTCATCAGTTGAATATGCCTATATTCCAGTATTGATATTTACAAATCGAGAGACTCGAACTCAGAACCTTTTGATTCAAACACCAATGGATTATCTATCAAGTTATTACATTTAAATAGCCACTAACTTGTTAAACACGGTGTGGGACGTAAAATGTATCTTGAGCTGCGCCGTTAGCTGTTATCCAATTTTTACTCAACATGCTTATATACCAATAAAGACTAACAAAATGCAGTCCTTAATATCAAGAACAAGAAAACTCAAATCTCCATATAAAGATAAACAAAGACAACAAGTTAGTGGTTATCTAGACTCAATAACTTTGTAGATGATTCGTTGATATTCGAAGTGATTTTCACTATGTAAAAAACAACAAAATCGGGATGCAAGTACAATGGCTGGTGAATCCCGTATAAGACGAAATATATGTTCTGGATTTCATTGTTAAATATAACTCGATTTTCTTAATTGAAACAGTCATTACTGCAACATAATATCAGAACATGAGTTATGTCTAATGGATGACTTATGAAGTAACAATACTCAAAGGGATATTTAAATAGATATATCAGTCAGTTTTATAATCAACCTAGAGTGTGGGATAAATTTTAGTGTTAACCCAAATCGCTATTATCCAATTAACACGATGAGGTGAAATTTGGAAAAAACGGATGGTAAGCAAGTCGAAATGACTATAGTACCAGTGAGAGTAAGAAGGATTAAACATTGAAAGTATAATTCAAGAAAATTGAATGAAGTCAGGATCTTACAAGGAGACAAGTAGTAAATGCATCAGTGACACTGTGATCTGACGTCTTCAACTAATTACTGTAGTTATTGCATAGGCCCTAATCAGTTACTCGACATCCATCAATATGATTCAGATCAACAGTCAATGACTTCATATACTGATACTATTTCTTGGTTTATTCTTCTCAAGTGTTCGTCCAACTTACCTTCACACCAAACAATATTGTACGTAGAATTGTAGACAGTGGTTAGAAAATATACAGCGTCATTGCCAAAGAATCAATTAATAGAGTTCAATACCTAGAACGATAGACCTACTGGAAAGTCTATTTTCTCTAAGCCACTCTTACTTACTTACTTACGCCTTTTATACCCAATGGAGCATAGCCCGCCGACCAGCATTCTCTAACCCACTCTGTCCTGGGCCTTCTTTTCTAGTTCTATCCAATTTTGTTAATTTTTCTCATGTCTGTCTTCATTTCTTGGCGTAATGTGTTCTTTGGTATCCCACTTCTCTTTTGGCCTTGAGGATTCCAAGTTACGGGTTGCCTTGTGACACAGTTGGGTGCTTTTCTCAATGTGTGTCCTATTCACTTCCAACACTTCTTCCTGACTTCCTCCGCTGGAATCTGGTTTGTTCTCTCCCACAGCAGGTTGTTGCTGATAGTGACATTCCAACAGATCCAAATTATTTTCGTAGACAACTGGTAATAAACACCTGTAACTTCTGGATGATGGCTTTCGTAGTTCTTCAAGTTTCCGCCCCATATAGAAGAACCGTTTTGACATTTACATTGAAAATTCTGACTCTGGTGTTGATTGACAGAGTTGTTTTGAGTCCTAGATGTTCTTCAATTGTAGATATGCTGCTCTTACTTTGTCGATACGCATTTTCACATCTGCATCAGATCCACCATGTTCATTAATGATTTCTCCCTGATATGCAAAGGCTTTACATTCTAAGAAGTGTGATTTGATTGGTGCATGCTGTGTTGTATTGGAGAATCTCGCTTTCCCGTTGTGCATATTGAGACCTACCGCTGCTGAGGCTGCTGATACACTGGTCGTCTTCTCCCTCTAATTCACTCAATCAAGTATAATTGACGTAGGATTTAGCAGGCATACAACAGTTCACATTTTAAGAGTAGTTGAAATCATAGTAGTATAAATAATTGTAAAGTAAAAATTGAACATACAGATATATGAATCGAAGAGAAGGAATGAATTTGTTGAATAAAATAAATATGAAATAATATTGAAACATTCAAGAATCTGAATAGGAAAGATAAAATCAAAAACAAAAGGTCAACATATTTCTTATGGGAAAGAAAGGTTGAGTTTTAATGATTTAATCAGTCCATACTTAATCAATGAATCACCAATTCAAATTCCGATAGTGTTATCATTTAATAAGACAACTGACATATTCAATGGTCTCGTGAACTATACACAAATTATTAGACCATAGGCTACTGGGGGAGGACAGTAGATATGTTGAGTAGATTATGAATTTTCATTGAATGATATGGTCAGAGGTTGTGTTACACATGCTAAACATTCATATCCAATGATGGTTGAGGCAGAAGCTAAAAAAAATATAGTGATGAACAATTCGTTTATGTTATCAGCTCATGAAATCATTGTCTGTTGTTATGAATCCAGTTGGTAGGTGTAAAATATTTGGTTAGAGTCCGCCTGATAACCACAATCAGTGATGTTGGGTGAAATGCCTCAGAATCAGTCAAAGTGGTGCAGATCCATTCACTATTTGTCTTTCCTTAGATCTTGAGTTTCAAATCCATCGTATACTTTTTATTCGTAAGTTTATTTTTCCCCTCAAATCTTATTCCGTGTCTAATCTTTTATACTATTGTAGTGACCGGTAGTATGCCAAGCCCGCATAAGCTATTCTAACTTCTGGATAGACCAATTTGTTCATTCTTCTCAAGCCACATTTTGATCTTGTCAATCATTCACTTATTAACCCTGACTGTTTTTACATGATTGTATGTGTTAATTGCTCACCCTATTCATTAGGTGTCTGTAATTTATTTATTCCTCGAGCTTCTTTTAACCTAGTGGCTAAACAGAAGACAAATACAGAAAATAGATCAGTTCCCCTTTATACTTAACTTAATTGTGGCTTAAAACTCATGCAATAATATGCTTGAACTATCTGACCACATAGCAACACAGTTACAAAATCATAAAGTGTACATAGTCCAGCGGTAAGTGATACAAGACCAGAGTAATAGAGTAGTTAATTAACGGCAAGTATGGGATAATGAGACATATGGCAACGATATATAAACCAAATGAAGGCTTAGTAGTAGGAGAATCTAAAAACAGAACAGTCCAAACATCTTCTAACCAAACAATAAAAACATAAATAATGATCCTTTATATGATAGTCTCTAAAGTCATGATTACACGCTATTGGCTCCATTATGCTAAATTCAATGCAACAGTCAAAAATTATTCCGAAATAACACACATGTAAAAGCAATACAAGATATAATTTAGAACAAACCCTTTTAAAATGTGGACTTATTTTCTCTTGCCAACCTCCAGCAGCTTGTTGTTGATCTGGTATACCACTATCTCGTGTAATCCATCGGCAAAACCCACATGCTAGAAAATATGCTTTTTGTGCTGTTGTTCGACCTGGTTCATCGGGCTTTGCATGTACAACAGCAGTTGCTCGTGTAGACAGTGTGTGACCACAACTTGGACAATCGAAACAATTACCACAACGATGTTTACGCATTTTGGCCTCAGCGCTTGCCATATTCTCAAGACAATTAGGACAATAATAAGAATCCACCTGAGCATATAAATGGATGAAAGATTTGGTGAATATATGCATAACAGGAAAGATACAGCTCATAGTTTACATCATAGACTGACCATTGTTAGACAATGGAGTCCGATCATATCAGAATGTGAGAAATTCACTCCACCAATGATATTGGAAATGACTGTGCAATTTCGTGAATTGACCGAAGTCAGAAATATAAAAGAACGGATTCCAACTCAGTGGTTTGAAGGTTGAGTGCTCGACAAGATTTGAAGGTTCTGGCTTCATTTGTTGGGAGGATTGTGAATGCTCACTCCTATGGATTCCCAAACGACGAAAAACAGCTGTTTGGTGGTTCCTAATTTTTATTAGTTGTCTAGATAAGGTTAGCCTGCGATGTAAACCATAAAATACAACAGTCTCCACAAACTTCATGTAGTAAAAGGCACTTCTTAACGCTTAGCTACCACTTACTTCATTTAACGCGAAAATAACTTTACGTCTCTGAGCGTGGTAACACTGGATGTGAGGGTTAGAACGTCAGAGGAAGTAATCATTCACTGAAGAGCTCATATGCAGTGGAGTCTTGGTTTAACGTAAAAGTTTCTTAACTTTCAACGAATATGTGGTCGGTTCAAAACCCATTCTACCTACTTTATGTTTGGAAACCAGTTGGTATCACTAGCACTCATACAATATAGTATGAACTACAGCTAGGTGCAGGAAATACCTACTTATTACATAAGTTACACTACTGCTTAATATTAATTGTACTATCAGCTCTACAAGACACTGGAGTGATGAAACACAAAGTCGACAGTTATTCTCTACCTGTTGTAGGGGAGAAAATACGGCGGAAACGAGTAGGAAATAATGAAACAATATTGTTCGACCCTGAAAAACATACACAGACCATCATGAAAGATCTCTTTGATCACCAATGGTTTGCTCGAAAAATTAGTATGCTTAATATTAAAGCCATCAGTAGTTTACCATGGTGACAAGATGCGTTTTTTAACATTGGCTATTAAAACTGCTAGTTTACGCATTGAAAGCCACTGAGAGCTGAAACGGGGTCATAAATTGTGGTGTTAAGTTTTTGAATTTGCCCCAAAACTACTCTAGACTATCAGGCATTAACGATTATTTCTTTTTTGGTCATGGGGACTGCCCTGTGTATTCCTTTTAACTGCTGTTGGTATCTGAAAGCTTTGTTCGTCACAAATTGAACTGGGATGGAGTACCATTGAAAGGAACGTTTCGTAGGTGCTTCGCTGTGCTATAGGACTACTTAGTAGTGAACACCTATAACCCCACTGAAGACCGAACTCAGGACCTTCAGATCTCGTGGAGAACGCCTGACCATTAGAACCACTGGGTCACCAACTGACAGTACACTGTGATATGGCGTGACAATCATTTAGTTTCATTGGTGACAATTGTGACCAATACAATCCTAAAATTAAACGAATTTTCACAGAATAACATCAAATATATTATTTGTATTATTATTATTATTAAGCTAATGGCTTTTTGTTGGTGAAAGATGTATATTTGATCAAACTCACTAGTATACCGGAATCTAGTTTGTAACAACACATCTTTAATAAGTTTTATTTGTAGTTAACTTGGTACACACAACGTACAAAAACAGTACAAAATATATATAAACTAATATGAACAGTCAAATAAAAAATTCACCTCATGTGAAACACAGTTAGGGCATCGAAGACATAAACAATGACGGCAAAAATACAGTGTACACAATGGATTTGTTTGTTTGCAGGAACACAATAAAGTGCATTTGTCTAACTCCAAGTAGGTCGCCATTTTGCTCAGTTGAAAATACGTATCAACGTTTATAACAAGTTAACGAGCTAAGCCCAAGTAGTAAGGATACTATTAAAAAAAATAATTTGGTTTATTGAGAACCGTATATATGATTGTAACCACGTAAAATACTGTAATACTCGTAAACTGTAAGACAGACATATCAATATAGAGCCTGGGCCAGGTGTGTGTTACCATGTTGCCATACCCGACTACCATGACGAGAGGGAAACGACAAAAGAAGTCTAAAAAATGTAGTAGTAATGCTAAAAAGACAAACCACACATTACGAATATAATTTGAAAATACAGATTCGAAAGGGTTACTAAAATCCTTGATTGAGAGGAATATAAGGAGTGAATGCATCAGGATCACTATCAACGCTCCAGAGACACGTTATTTAAAACCTCTAACTATTGATCGTGGTTATCGCAAAGACCACAAACACATAGTCTGCACATACCGACAAATACATACATCCCAATTGTCTATGACTTCATGGACTAATCTCAGTTTCTGGTTTTGCCGCTATCAGCTTCCTTTTAACAAACTCCCGATTCAGCAAGCATCACGCTTTGAGGTAGGCGATAGTTGATCATATGTAATACATGATGACAATTCACTATTTTGTCAAAAATTTATAATCTTTATCTAGTACCATGCATCTTATTTATTTATTTGAACACGTAAATATTGGTACAGAGGCACCAAATACATATGCGCCACACAATCCACTTGATTTCTGTGTGCGCTATGATACTGCCTGGGTGCCCAGACTGAAGCAGGTGGTTTTCTTAGGGGGCCACATCCGGAGCCTTCTACCTAAAGGTCTGATTCACAAGGCAGTGTTGCAACGTCAGGAGATGCAGTCCTATGGTAGCCGTAACCAACAATAGGTTCATACACCATTTGTTCTCTCAGGAAACTGGAAGCTATGTGCACCATTGGTTTAGAAACAGGGTTTCCCAATTTCTTTAGGTGGACTCTCCGTGTCCACCAACCCGTTTAAAGCGTTGAACATTTGCTTTTCACCCTTTCAATTTCACAAACAACACTCGTGGTGCGAGAAGACGGTGAGTAGGACTTTCCTAGCAGTGGTTGTATACGCGTGGCTATGTGAGAGCATCTCGAGAGGGAGAGTTAACTCTCCAATTTCGGCCGTACTAGGACATTTGGAGGCACCATGCATCTAACCTCAGTATAGCCTGCTTGATAAACTCAACTTATGTGGACAATGCTGTGAAGACACCCATAACGGAAAATAATGATTTAAGAACATCATTCACTCTTAATAGACGTGTATTTCACCTAAAGTCTGAACATCAAGTTATTTTATTTGTACGAAAGTCGAGATGCTTATCTCTGAGATCTTCTCAACCTTACCCGAAGCCTACGTGCAAACTCGCTTCAAACATTACAACACTGTCATCCTTCGGTTAGAAAAAGTATATTCATCTTTAGCAGGATTAGAGTTTCATTGAAGTTTCAGAGATATATGACAAAATGATTTGTAAGTCTGGAACATAAAGCGTGAGGAAGACGACTACAGTAATTTAGGTTGCTTTATTTTAGGTAAGAAGGAAAGAAAATCATACTAACTCATCCTTGATAATAAATATTTACAGAAAAGCCAGCTCCGCTTCAACCTCCGATGACCTTGAGATATCAAAACGTCTTATGCTGTACTACAAACAACTATCAATAACAAGAGCAGATTAAAATGTACCGTAATTTCTGTTTGGTGGTTGATTGATACCGTGATATCAAACTTCGACGACTCATGTGGAAGGGAATAGTTGTTGGCTTGCACAATATCACTACGCTCTAACGTGGAAGCGCTTTTTCACGGTGTATGATTTGACTAAAGACAGTGAAATTTCTCAGCCAGGAATGCAAGGTAAAGTATAAAATAAGTTCACAAATTCGCTGTGATTATTATCAATGAAAAATCTTGAATAACACATACTAAACTTTTGTCAAACCATCAACGGCTTGCAGTGACCCTTTTGTCACGAGAACACGATTGGTTTATTGAAAACAATTATTATTATAGCCAATTGAACCGGTGACTGTTTTAATGTGCTTTTGTTTAACTGTGCTAAAAAGCATCCATTATTCTTACACTTTGATTACGACGTCGCGCGAATTCGGTTATGATCTGTAACCAAGCTTGTATCTCGGTATTCTTTCGATACTGCGAGATAGCCAGCAAATATATCTCGACTTGGTCCATTAATTGCCTTCTGATATTTCGCTTCCGGGAGATTTTGTGGATATCCTGACACGAGTTCCTTTGTAGCGGTGTTCATTGGCAATTTCGACTCGAAACGACGCTACAAGCTGTAGGGAAATAAAAATTGATCCAGTTGTCAGATGAAGTATATAAATTTTATTATTGTAGTGTTTTAACATTCATCATGTTTTCCTTTCTGTTCAATTTATCCTCTAGATAACCACAGAAGTTATGAATGTAATTAATACAAAAGTACATTAACGGGTCGTATCATCGGACTTTATACCATAAATAGTCGTTCAGCAAGATGTACGCGACCGAATCAAAACTAAATCAAGCAGATGCTTGCTAAGAAATGCGACAGTATAATAAATGAGTCCCGGTGTTAGGCAAGGCTGCTTACTCTCACCCTTTCTCTTTCTCCTGGTGATCGACTGGATCATGAAAACGTCAACGTCCGAAGGAAAGCGCGGGATACAATGGACATCTAAGATGCAGTTGGATGATCTAGACTTCGCAGACGATCTGGCCCTTCTATCCCAAACGCAACAACAGATGCAGGAGAAGACGAACAGTGTGGCAGCAGCCTCAGCAGCAATAGGTCTCAATATACACAAAGGGAAAAGCAGGATTCTCCGATACAACACAGAATGCACCAATCCAATCACAATTGACGGAGAAGATTTGGAAGATGTAAAAACCTTTACATATCTGGGCAGCATCATCGATGAACAGGGTGGATCTGATGCAGATGTGAAGGCGCGGATCGGCAAAGCAAGAGCAGCATATTTACAACTGAGGAACATCTGGAACTCAAAGCAACTGTCAACCAACACCAAGGTCAGGATTTTCAATACAAATGTCAAGACAGTTCTACTGTACGTGACGGAAACCTGGAGAACTACGTAAGCCATCACACAGAAAATACAGGTGTTTATTAACAGTTGTCTACGCAAAATACTTCGGATCCGTTGATCGGACACTATTAGCAACAACGTACTGTGAGAGAGAACAAACCAGATCGGAGTGGAGGAAGAAATCAGGAAGAAGCGCTGGAAGTGGATAGGACTCGCATTGAGGAAAGCAGCCAACTGTGTCACAAGACAAGCCCTCACATGGAATCCTGAAGGTCAAAGGAAAAGAGGAAAACCAAAGAACACATTACGCCGGGAAATGGAGATAGACATGAGAAAAATGAAGAAGAATTGGATGGAACTAGAAAAGAAGGCCCAGGATAGAGTGGGTTGGAGAATGCTGGTCAGCGGCCTATGCTCCATTGGGAGTAACAGGCGTAAGTAAGTAAGTAAGTGAATAGCAAGGGATGAAATTCTATAACAAGCATTCAGAAAATTAGTTCACTCAAAAACAGATCAATTTTTAATACTTTTACTGTAAAACCAAACTATGAAGCCTCAAACAATGTAACTGGATACTTGTCAACAGCAGAAGTCTCACTTGATTAAGGAGTTGTGGCCCATTGTAGATCTAACTATAAAGTATGAAGGTAAAAACTCGAACCCGAAAACTCAGGATAAACCAGTGAAACAAATTCGACACAGTTCTGTAGATGCACATAAGTGCAGTGATGAATTAAGAGAACCGAAATCACAAAAATGGATCAATATTAGTTTCATTTAGAGCCAAGAGTAAGGGAAATACACATCGACGTACATTTAAGAGTGAAACAGAATGTTACTAAGATGCAAGACGGATAAGTAAGTTTCCCAAATAACTAGACATGCGAAACCATAAAAAATGAATCCCACGGCATTCTAAGATCTTTCTTCTTAAAAGCATGTATGTGTGTAAAAGTTTCCTCATATGACAAACGTACCTTGTTTTTGCTGATATATAGTGTTTTTCCTCACCTCTCCGCATTCATGCACATCATATCAATTTCTTGACCTATTCAAAGCCATCAACAAAATGTCGCCTGCAATTCCTAACCCTCATAAAATCTTTGATATTGTTTGACTTTTTACAGACTGTATTCCTTTTTGCTTAACATTTTATCATTGTGTTTACCATATTGGCTAACCGTATCCTTGACTTTTGTTTTTCAGTTGATTGACTCTACTCGTCATAAATGCTTATTGTTATTAACAAGCAATAAATAGTGCTACTCAAACCGTTTAATGTTGTATGACACACACAATCACTTCTACCAGTTTTCCTTTTCATAGCACAGCATATTTCTTCCAACGGAAACATATGCAAAACATGTTACTCCATAGAACTGGATTACCATTACAGGATTCACAAAACATCTAATTATAAGTCAATATGAAGTGCTTACATATCACTCCTGACCACAGCAATCGATGTGTTGGGTATCAAACGAAGGAAAATGCAGAAAAATGGGCACGGTGCCTACGAGGAGTGAAAACAGATTTCTTTGAAATGATAGATAGCAAATGCCAAAGCACTCAAACCTGGTCATTATTTGCATTAAATCTAATGAATGTTAGTTCATTTCCCAATTATCTCGTCATAAACCATGAGTTATACAATAAATGTTTGTGGAGAGAGACCTGACAAGCTTATTTTACTCAGTAGGTAATATCAGCTATACAACAGTGTTATATGATAGCCAGGAAATAAAGCATTTTTGAATAGATTTAAACTTGAGACAGCTTTTAATACTTCTGAAGGCTTGACGGATTACTGGTAGCATTCCTTAGTTTCGTAACCAGTTTATAACTAGTTTGCAATTATTTAAGTCTGACAACTAAGTGACGCTTGCAAGTTGTATACGCAAATAGCTTCTAAACTTGTAAAAATTTAGCACTACATTGTCGTTTTACAGAATAAAATGCAGAACGTCATAAGAAGCTGAAATAGTTGTAAAAAAACCCTGATTTTCGCAAGGACTGCATCCTCTAGTCGCTGTAACAGGATATGAACATGACATTTCAAGCCGATAGTTAACATATGTAAGAAATACTCCAGGAAGAACTCAGTAATTAAATTATGAGTCTCATGAGACTTATGTTTTTTCGTCACAACAACCTGCAAAACTGAGACACAAAAGGTCATTAGTCTATCAAAATATGTCCCACCTATCCGGGAAGCTAGTTCAGATGTTTATTGTAAGTTAGTATCCTGTACATTTCAGAGATCGCTATAGCTCCAGCTCCCAAGTATTGAAAGCAGGTCATCCTCCTTTCAGATGAGGAGTTAGATGAACTCGAACTTGTTCTAGACCAACAACGTTACCCTTAACAAATTTGGAAATTATTGTAAAGGTGATATGAAACTAAGTGGGAAAGTGTCGTAGATTTTTTCGACTGACCCAATCTTGTCCTTTCAGGAGAAAGACTAACAAAAAATCTCCAAAGTAGAATATACGAGTCATCTTAAGATTTTTTCCATCTTTATATTTTTCATGATGTTACAGAAATTCTTGATCCTCTGTCGGGCATACTAGGCATAATGCAACACGTGACTAAACTTCACACAGAACGCTACCAAAAACGGTAAAACCAAGAAGAGCTGAAAGAAACCATAAGGATTACACCAGTGTGAATTTAAAATAAGCCAAAGAAATGCTAATAATCCCAGGAAGTCTAGAACTTTGACAAGACGCAAGAAAGACCTCAAATTTAAAGCACACAGTATCAACAACATATGAATAGAACTTACTTGTGTCAGCAATTAATTTTCGTATTATGTGTGAAGTACCGCTGAAGGCTATAGTAGGCGACAAGTCCATTCTTCTGTCCAAATCAACTGGTTTTGAACTACAACCGGTTATTGGGTGAAGAAACTGACTTAGTAAGCGCAAGACTCAAATGCCTGGGGTACGGCCTGTGATATTTATCCGACCGATATGCTTACCCAAAACAACACACTATTTGTAGGTGTTAGCTGATTACTTTTCAGATTATAACAGTCCTTTGTGGAGGCGACAAGTTGAATATCCCAAGGTTTTTCCTGGTGATCCTCCAGTGCCATGTTTTCTGCCTCCGTTTTGGATGAAAATGATGTATCCTGGTCCAAAGAATCCTCCTAACCATGTTATTTTCAAAGTCCACCCACAGTAATTACCCAGTAATTTCTTATCTTAGAATGACTAAGCGCGACGTACAGCAGTATCTAGAAAAGATTTACAATGTTCCTGTTGTAGACGTTCGAGTAAAGATGGTTCATCACGATTGTAAATTCTAATTATTTAGTAACTATTCGTGCAGTAGAACCAGTTGATGTGCCGCCACTCCGTAAAGCTCAGAGATCACTCGATTCCACACAATTTCCCCCTAAACCTGAACGCTATGAAAAAGTTGCATATGTTCGTTTGGTAAGACTTAATTCTGTACATGATTATATTTCTCAACATAAATGCTTATTATTAACAAAACTATTAGAATGTTTGGGAGACTGACAATTTTGGTTTTGCTAGTGTGGTTTTTTCTTGGTACCATTTCGTCGGTTGATTTTAATGGGAGACAGCGTCCATGATGCATTTTCAGTACTTGATCTTTCATGTAACTACTTTGCTCTTTAATGTTTAGTTTTCTTCACAAAAATGTCATACCAATTATTTTAAAAGTGATATATGATTTTCTGGAGTGAATCGTAGTTAAATTGGATTCACGAACTCACCAGTGAAATCGAAGTTCAGTTTGCTAAAAAATCTTGCTAGAATTCTATGAATACACGACTGTAAAAGTCGTTAGTTCTATGGATTAAAGTCTAATGGTTGAAATCACTTTCTGAAACATACTTTTTCATCATCATTAGTGAAGCAATAACTCGATTTTGTGTAAGTGTATGTAGTAGCACAAAACATGCTTTTCTTGATTTTAGGTTTGCACTGATCGGTACTCAGAAACCTCACGAAACTAGTTGTAGTAAGGTACTACGAACGGAAATCTAAGTAGTACTCTGGAAGCTAAGTAATATTTGCTTTCCAGTATTCAGTGTAATTTAAACTGCTTAGTTGTGACTTTAGTTCGGTCGATCTGTGATTGATTTACTAATGGTTTTTGTTTCTATAAGTTTTCTCCTTTATTAATAAACGGACATTAACCAAGCATATATTTCTACCTTGTTTTCTGTAACATATATATGTTCAAACTATTTTGATATGTTTTTAGTTAGTCAAACCGCATTTTATTACGGTGCATTGAGTTATGTAGAAAAATAAGTTAGATGCTTGGTTTACACCAGCTTTGTTGCATTGCGACCGTATGGCTGCTAAATCGTTTCAAAGGCTGGAATGTAAAAGAACAACTGTAGTCGAATATAGAAGCGACACGCTTATGACTAATTTACTAAATAATTCTTCGTTTTACGATGGGATGTCATATGACTTGCATATAATCTACTTATTCTGTTGACCACAGTTGCCCGTAATTATGGCATGCATTTCGCTCTATCAAGGTACAATTTACACTTGCGAAACTAACAGGAACCCTTGCCTTGCCAATAAATCTTCACAGTGTTCAAATCATGTGTCGGAAACATAACCATAGGTTAAAAAACCAAATTGAAAGTTACTAAGTATGAGTGTAATTGATCTCAATCATTTCGGTCTTTTTTCCGTGATAAGGCTACTGGCACTTTTTAAACAGATACCGAAAATCAATTGCTTTAATTAAAAACTAGCGTTCTTGATAGCGAGTGGGTTCTGATTGTTGACTTGGTTCGCTTGTTATGTTCTTTTGTAAATCAGCTTGTTCTCATCTACATAGTTCTGTCGATAAGAATGTTATTATTTTTACATATTTAAGGAATTTGCTTATTTTTGGAGAGAAAAAAGTCTCAGTATAACGTACGTTGAGACTATTTTCTTTTACAGCATTGCAAGGATTCTCTTTGCTTGGTTACTGTTAGTAATTGCGTTAGCAATCAATTATCAATTAGAAACTGTGAATTGCTTTAGTGATACCTTGCTTATGTAACTCGACTGTCAGCTATTATTTAGGTCAATAATTTCACTTAACTCCGTAATTCCTCTCTTATTATCTTGTTTAGGCCCCTGGTGAAGTTTTTGTTTTTCCTGATCTGTTCAAAGACAAACGTCCATCAGAAGCTGCTGATACTCTAATGGATGGCGATGCTGACAAATCTGAAGAAGTCGTTTCTGATGTCTCCAAAAAGGTAGAGAATAACAAACTTCAACCTCTGAAAGGGTGTAGCAAATGGTTTGCACCTTAATGTCTGTATATATTGTATAATAGAATAATTTAGTTCACATATTGTTTTTCCTGTTACTTATTGAAGTGGGATGTCAGCTATGTTTCTCTCGACCAAACAGTTGGCAACTAGATTTTCACGCATTTCAATAAACACTATTTCTAATAGTCGAACAGTTAGCCCCCTTTATAAATGATGCCTTCTGTTCGATCACTATTTCTTCTTTAGAAATATTATTTGTATTCGTTCCCACCATTTACTTTTTATTGGTATGTTGAAAAGTGTGATAGGTTCGCAATCATAGTTAAGTGGTTAGAAGATCCGGTTTCTTACTAGTAATGGGTCACTGGTTCGAATCTCACTCCACCTACTTCAGTTAGGACAGACGTGGGTGTCACCAGTTCTCACACTTACAGTATAGCGCGAAGCTAAGTACATGAATTAGTACGAAGTGAGTTAAATAAATGCATGGCGTGGCCTGAGGTCGGCTAATATAATTTATGTACATCTAAAGTATGAGCTTAGATTAGTGCATATGTGTGCGAGCTCCGAAATTCTCTTTTATTTATTGACTGTAGATGAAAATCATGGGAGTATTGCAACGCTTTCCGTTGGAAATCAGAGATTGGTGATGTCGCGATATTAGTCTGTGTGTAAAATATCGTGTTTAAAGCACTTCTGTGCCCCTTCGTACCAATATTTATGTGTTCAAATAAATAAGTACTCTACAAATGCCATTTTGGCGACTTCCACACCGCCCTTCATTCACTGACTATATGACTGGTTGGAGAAAGTGAAATGGTAGGTTTAAGACATGTTCAACGGGTATGAGAGAAAGCTGTGTAGGACTAACATCTATTGGTCCATCACAAGTCCCTGGTTGGAGTCCGAGCGGTAGTTCAACTCAGTGGCTTGAAACGTAACCGGACATGACTCAGAGAGGAAGCCAATGTAGATCCTACTGTGATTTTCTTCCAATTTCTTCAAAAAAGTAAGAAACTCCTCTACCGAACAGGATTCTTTCCATTGTTCATTTTTTGAAACAACTGTTTCTCTCATTGTACCTTAACTTCACCTAGTTTTTTTATTCATCTATTTCTTCTTTTATTATACTCACTCTTATTTTTATATCTCTTCACAATGTATGATGCACATTTATTTCAATGCCTGTTTGTACCGACATTCGATGTTGGGTGTCTTTGAACCATTGCTTGCATGTTTCGTACAATCAAGTTCTGAGGTTTAACCCGGAGCTCTAAGCGTGACAAATCGATAGACGAGGTAATGAACCTTTATCGACTGAAGTGGTTCGGATATGTATAATGTATGTCCATCCACCGCCTGCTTCGACGCACGATGATGTAGGAATAGGTTGGATTGAGGCTAGGGTCGTCCGAACCAGAACGTGGTATCAATCACCAATGAAAATGAGTATTGGACTAAGCCCTGTAAGTAGGTACAGACTATCTGGTTGGAGTCAGCATAGTGTGACGGCTCAAATTCGTTCACAGTAGTGCGGATACGTCCACTCCTTGTCTTATTTTAAATCTTAAGTTTCTAAATTCTTCATAAGTTTCTTAGTATAGTGATGAAGAACTTGCCGAATTGTACTCCCTATGTAAGTTGCTTCATAGGAACAGTTGAAATGATAATTACAATACAAATACAATTCCTAAATGATCCCACCGAAGAAACACGGTGCAATTCTTTCATTAGCATCGCATACCAGAACACCATCCATCTTGGTTGAGCAAAGGACAGGTACGAGTGATTCAGAGTTGTATTCTCGTTCACTTGGTGAACACAGGACAAATTATTCAACACAATCATAAGAACTTCAAGTTCAAATCAATAATAGGAAAGGAAATCACATTAAATAGTTAGTGTTTGTTAGTCTACGCCCAGTGGTCAACCACATCGGTATTTACTGCCGCACATTAAGATAGTATTCAGAAAAGACCTTAGATATATACAAATCACTGTGGTCGCTCTTACATTTCTAGGTCTTGGAAGTATGGTTGTGAACATCGAGTATCCCACAGACAGTTAAGAAACTCAGTTGGATACATTCACTATTAGTCTATCCTGAGTCTTAATATTATTCCATTCCTTTTGTTTTATGAATTCGCCAACCATATCCTTTATTTTTAATTCTTTCGGCTTCAACTCTCTCTTATATAACCGTGGAATCCATATCATTGTGCTGATGCGGTGGCCGATGCATATTTTTGATATTAGGACATAAGTTGCTGGACTATTCTTACTAGTCGAACTGACATAATGAGTAGTTCAATAAAAGAACTAGTAATTTCTTTGCACTAACTAGCTTAAGATTTCCTATTTCGGTTTACATGCTACCCACTAACTACACCCTTAGGTATTGTCACTTCATTACAATCGATAAAATGCAGGTCGATCTTTATAGGAAGTCCTTCGGCACTTATATTCTACGTTGGAAAAGTAGTGTCACCGAAACCCCGACCGTAGCTGCTACTACATAGTGGTCGGATGTGAATATTAAGATGACCCAAAAGAGTTATATCAGCTAGAATATTTGTTCATTTAGATATTACCATACTATAGAGACTAGTTAAGGAACAGAAACGGTCGACCGAGTAAATAACATACATTACCTCATCTTACGGATTTCCGTCCCTGGCCGCTAAGCTTCGAAAGTACAGCGCTAGCACATCAAGAGCTACTCACAAAAGGCTATATGTGACCGGTCTCCAAGAGCTGTCCCTTGAGTTTCACGGCCACGCTCCCAGATCGTCAAGATCACTACTAATCCAGCTTCTTTTCCAGCCACCTCAAAAAGAAGTGTCCTTCCATAGTATATGCAACCGCCCGCATACTCCCAACAACATTCAAGGTCATACATATAATCTATACTTATATGGGTAACTGATCATGAAAATCAACTACCAAGCACAACAATATCAAATAGGAATAGTGGATTCAAGTCAATAGAAGAATTACAAATGGCTTTTGTTTTTCACTGACAAAACAAAAACAAATAAACCATCTCTCTAAACAGAAAAAGAACATTTACAATGCTTCATAACAACAGTATGCGTACAACTTGTCAAATATATTTATAAAGTGAAAGATCTGTACACACACACACACAATTAGTTTTAAACAAGTTGGTTCAGGGGAATTTAATTTTATGTTTCATCAAGCCTTCATTATGTGCGCGCATCGACTTAGGAGAACGGTGATTGAATAATGGCTTTAATAACTGATGATAATAATCAGGATTTGCATGTGCGTGCGCGCGTTTGTGTGTACATATGTATACAACATTGGAATGAATACAATAAAATGTGAATTCATATTACCCACAATGTGGGAGAGAGAGAAGATCACAGCAATAGTTGAAATAATAGTAAACAAGAAGTAAAGAGAAATCAAAGAAAAACATCCAAACAAGTTAGATAACCTATAATAACAGAATAGAGAACCAATACTGTGCAGTACAAGAAAGACAAATGTTTAAATTCATTTTGTATGCAATATACAATTGTTAGTATGTCTCTCTTATTAAGTAATTAATGAACCACTTCATTAGTGTCTTTCATTATGTATGCCTGTGTGTGTGGGGGTATGTGTGACAAAGATAGAATGGGTTACAATACAATTCTCAATTGTATCTCTCTCTCTACAAATAATACATGTATATATATAGAGAGAGATCTGATCATAGTTATGAATAACAATGAATTTAACTAGCAAAGTTCACATCATCTAGATAGGAAAGAAAGAAAAACAACAACAACAACAACCATTGGCATCAAAGTACAATACAATTCAGTCAAATGGTTATGTAATCAAATAATCTATCATTCAATCTTATCTTTGTTTTCTTTTTTCCACTTTCATTCCTCTTTTCATTTTGTCTATAAGATATACATATGAAAAAAGGCACTATAATTTGTAAGTTTCTCTTGGTTTTTTTTTTAAATCATAAAAAGAAAGTTTTATTCTTGTCCAAAACCTTCTGTTTCATCAATTGCATAAGATAACTTCTCAGCTAATTGTTCATATGATCGATATGGTGGTAGATCTAATCGATTGAAACATGTATGACTTCGAGGTAGCCATGAATCTTTACCAATATATTCAATACAAAATGGTTGTGGACCATTATTACCTAAAACAAATGAAATAGTAAATAAGCAGTAATGAATAATGACATATCGACAGGAGTCAATCATAAATTATATAAGGAAGACAGGATCTAATACTGTATGGATCCGTTCAAATTGTCCTTGATCCTATAAAGAAACTCGATAGGTCAGTAGTGATGGTCAAGACCGGTCAGATAGAATTATGTCTAGTTTTCAGACTTTAAAATTCCATGCACAAATTGTACCGAACCTGTTAAAATATGAACACAAGTTGACAAAGATTGAATGTTGTGTTGCCTAAAGGAAAAGTCTGATTATACCTCCCAGTTACCTAAAAGTATAGATGATCGTTGCTGATGAAACACTATGTTTTCGTGTGCACGATATCAAACCTAGTCTTTTCAGCGCTTCATTTTATGAATACTTGGAAAACAATAAAGAACGGAAATGAGGCAAAAATGTTTTGTCACAAACAAAAAGTAATTCTAAAAGGGATATGTACTATATAATTTGGATTTTGTAAAAATAGACTACTAATGATCTCAATTTGAGCATATAATGAATAGACTACGATATTATTCGAAATCTCCTAAAAACTAAACATAAACCCTGGATTATGATTACGTAACATTTTTATTAGATATGGGCTGGATTGATGCACTAAACGAAAACCGAATATATACGGAGAAGATATATAAGATTGGAAATGTGTAGTATTCCATGTTTTGTGAAAAGTTACCAAAACCGAAAATGGATGGTAGAGAACTTTATTATTTATTTAGGCACATAAACATTGGTATGAGACACCGAATATATATGCGCCACACAAATTATCTGATTTGTGTAAGGGCTGGGATACTTCCTGGGTGTCCAAACCGAGGTAAGTGGTTTTCTTAGCAAGCTACTCCCCGAGGCTCTCACATAGAGGTCTAATCCACAAGGCAGTGGAGCAGCCTTAGGAAATGCCGTTCCATGGAAGCCAGTAACCACAACTAGGTTCATACGCCTTTTATTCTCTCAGGATCCTGGAGGCCATGTGCACCATCGGTTTGTAATCAGGGATTTCCAACTCCCCTACATGGATTCTCCATATCCACCAATCCGGTTAAAGCGCCGGACATTCGCTACTTGTCCTCTCGATTTCGTAAGCAGCACCCCTAACGAGAGAAGGCAGTGAGTAGGACTTCTCTTGGAATGGCTGTATACGCGTGGCCGTGTGCGAGCATTTCAAGAGGGAGAGCGAACTCTCTCCACTCTCGACCGTACGAGGGCATTTAGGGATTCTAGATAAGACTGATCATTCAGTCAATAATGCACCATTTAAAAATTCACCTTTAGCCTAACAAACTAACTTTGAAATATATACAAATGCTTTTATATGTGACGTAGAATAACTACTATACTTCTTGAATGTCATAAACACTTCAGAATCACGAACAAATTAAAAAAATGAGAAGGAACACTGCAAAGATGCTAATAGGGATATACCTATTTAAAGGTAGTGACATGTACGTGATCATTAGTCTCTGCAGTGTTTCTTGTATTCGTCAACTGTCAACTATAATTTTGGGGCTTGACACAGAGATTATATGTTGTAAAGTGGTAAGCTCAATGGTGAAAGCACTCAACTTTCAATAATAGGTTAGTCAGTCGTGAGGAACACAGAACCTAGGACAAGTAAACGTTAGGCCAAGTTGCCATACTGAATGTAGTCTACAACTAACACAAGATAGTTCACTCCAACTCCCAACTATTTCATGAATAGATGCCGCCATTATGTTTAGTTGCCCTATTAGTTTTCTTCAGGCTTACTACAACTAATGGTCCGGTCAACGTTACTTTGCGTTGAGGTAGGCGATAGTTGGACGTATGTGAATTGCCACTAATTCAATATTGCGCTAGAGAAACCGGATAGTATCGATAGGTGTTATACGAATGGTGTAGCTCAAAGCTGGGAGCATTAATCAATATACTTGGTAACTGTGATGCGTTACACTAACTTATATGTTAGAAGTGGCATAAGAATAACACCATAATAAATGTGTACAATATTGTTGGGATTTGAAGTGATGTAACAATGGATTACAATCAGTGTAAACATTAACAACACCGGGATGAAGTTGCATTCAGCTGACGAGTCCCAAGCGGGATAAATGTACTGTAAGTCCCGGATCCAATTGCTAACCACGTACCATATTTACCGAAAAATCTCAGTTTACCCTTCGCAAATAACGATAATTATTATTCAGTGGCTATAATAACATGAAATGAAATAGCAAAACTGACCCATAAGATTTTTAAATCCTCCAACAGGGACACGACATGTGCCAGTGACAAACTGAAGTAATCGAATACGTCTTTGTTGAGTTAAACTTCGAACAAACTAGATTTTCACGAAAAAAAAGAGAAACAACGTGACATTTTTTGGAGAGAACAGTGAAATTCTGAAGAGAGGATGAAGTAAAATAAACGGAAACATATTGTAGTCAATCAGTCAGTATCAACATAGAACCTGGTACCTATGTACATCAGTTCATGTTGCCATGCCTCATTGGCACAGAGAGCTGGAATTGTCAATATATTGTATGCAGAAATCTAATCATTCTTGTCTACACTTCCAAATTACACGTAGAAACACTCACAATAATTGGGGGTCGAGCTCAAATGATGCTTTCTAAGGAGTCGAAAGTATATTGATTGGAACATTGTTTAAGACGATCGAAATGTTGAGATTATTGTATCCTGTTATAAAAACTCTGCTGTTATTGTGTTGCTCTAACATTTTGACTATTCAGTCAGTCTTGAGTGTTGTTAGAGGTATGAGGGCGGTTACCGATTCCCGGTTGCCCAAACCATGGAAGGGTTCTTCTGGAGGTACCTGAAAGTCATTGAATTAGAGGTGGCCTTAGTGATCTGAGAGCGTGACAGAAGTGCCAAAGGGACAACTGCTTGAGGTCGGTCAAACATGACCTTTTCGTGATTAGTTTTCGTGTTAGCTCCGTTCTTGTTGAGACCTTACCGCCGGAGACGGATATCTGTGAAATAAGGTGAGATGTGAATGTTTAGGGTCGACCACTTCTAAAAACCACCCCTCCTAGTGGGAAGGCAACATCGCTGTTATGCTGGTTGTCTGAAAGAAACACCTTACTGCCGTCACATCTTTGTACAGTCAGCAGTACGACTTCGCCCTCGAACCTTTGATTTGGTGCTTTTAGTCTTAGCGCTCTTCAACCTACTTGTCTGGCATAGTAGGATCTTGAGGAACGATTTTTTCAAGCAGCATAGACAGATTGGTTCATCACAACAGGCAATTAAAGAGCAAAACAAACTTGAGTAACTTTTAAGGTGATGATGGAAAATTGATTAACTTTTCTTGGATAAAAACAACAGAACATACATCAAATTAATATGTTTACAATGTTATAACATAATTAACGAGTTTCTCATGGTAATATAAAAGTTCTTGAAATTTAAAATCAAAGAATCATCCATATAACTATTCATCACTATTAAGTTCAAAGCATTCTTCCACTCTAGCTTCGACTAACGACTCTAGAACTCAAAGTAAACTCCTCACCATAATTGTTTCTGGGTTTTTATTCAATGAATTATTTATTCATATTACCTGCATCTTGATTAGTTAGGAACTAGCTTCACTATTACTGAAAGCCATCAATGAAGTATAATCTAACATCACTCATACACTATCAGTTAGTGACTTGATGATATCCTTCTTACTGTTAAGTTGTATTTGTTAGTCAAGTCCTGTTATCAACCAGTAATATACATCGGATTTGTTAGACAGTGACTGAAGATATGCGTAAAATATTTTCACATAGTGTAGGTTTATAAGCTTAGAAATCGACCACTTGACCTTTTCATACTTAATTACTTTATTTACGTCTAACAAACGCCAATATTGTTCAATCGATCATCAGTGCTAGTGAGAGCAATACTTTAGTTAAACAAATCAACACAAAGGAATAAGATTTACATTTGACACAAGGTGGAAACTAGAATGTTCACAGCTTAAATCACAAACCGATTTTAGTCAGACCCTTAATGAGAATCTAGAGATACTAGAAAACCATTTCACCCTAGTATGGCACTAACATTAAATGCTCACTAGTGACTAGCTTCAAGATGAAACTCTTGGAGAGGCCGTGGCCAGTGAAGCTCAACCATCATTATCCATCTCAGGCAATATAAAACGGTCGCTCAATAACTCGAATCAATTGGAGTTTGACGCGAACATCACTACACACCGACTCAGTAGTCTAGAGGTTAAGCGTTCACACTTGAGACCGGTCTTATATTCAATTCCCTTTAGGAGGGTCGTGTATGTACACTACTGATGAGTCCAACACTAAAACGAAATGACCGTCCAGTGCTTTCAGGTTTTCAATAGTGGTTCGACTGAGATCAGTTTGTGATTTAAATGACAGGAAAATACCTCAAGAACTAAAACCAAGATCAAACAACATACATTCCACAACTTTATTTGTTTCTAAGGCGATCATCAGAAAACTACTCAAATTTTGACACTTTGAGTACTTATTTCGTCATATATATATACTTCGTATACCAATTTTCCCTACAATCAGTCTTCTCGCGTTAGTTACTAGAAGTTGAACTCTTGTGCGTTAGTTGCCGTCATCGATTTATTTACACAATAGAACAGATAGTGTAGAGTAGTAGCTCAATCGTTCTAAATTTACCAAGCATTGTGGATTTGTACTGACTCCCTCCCAATATCGGAATTTAACCACCTTTCAAGCGCCTAGTCTTCCAAGTACATGTCTATTAAAAACTAAAGGATCCATGAAAAAAAACCTTCTAGCAAAATCCTACAAATCACATGAGTATCATAGAATTTCTGTTACCATTAATATCTATCTATATATATAATCAATACAGTTATTTAGTTTCTCTTTACAAAACACATGAATAATCAGCATTACTGAATATGGAATAAAAATTTGCTTATATATAATAAGATATATGCCCTGTCAAATGATCATAGTATATATATACATAAATGAGAAAACTTAGAATAATCTAATTAATAATTAGTGCTTAATCAGTTATAATGAAAGTTACAGTCTAGGCATCACATCATCATATCATATCAAAATGAGATGAAATTCACAAGATGGAAGAATAGTAAAGAAGTTGAAATAATCTTTATTAGCAATAATGAAGAGAAACATAAAAAGCAATGAGAATATGGTTCTAAGAGAAGAAGAATGAACAAATATGGGATGTTAGGATATAGATAATATAAAGAGTGAACCCATTTGTGCTATGTCACCTAATATCAGTGTTATCGCACAGACTCAAAATAAGTAGTCTGCACTTATTAAAGTGGCTCAGACTAATAAATAGCCAATAAGTTGGTAGGCTGGTGTCATGTCTAGGTCAAGTTATTCCTAGTTTTTTCTTATAAACCTGTTAATACGACAGCTAACATGAGGATTGAAGTAGGTGGAAGTTGAACATACGTAATACATGTCCTGAACACCAAAGCCAATTAAAATTGATGGTCTCATCAACCCGATTTACCACGTCTAATATAACCGTTTGCCTAACCTCAGCATTGTCCACTTGGTCATTACACGGTCAGTCAGCTACAACGTAGGACCAGGCACATATATGTATCATTACACGGCATGCGATCAATGCTTCAAGATACCTATGATCAAATGATATTCGTTTTTATTTTTAGAGTAAGCAATTGGGGAGGGTGCAACACTTGTCAAACACTATTACTCATGGCGTTCAGGGATTTTGCATAACGCCAGAAATTCTGATACCTAGGTTTCGTGCTGTTTGGCATTCGTTAGCAAGGTGTACCTATAGTCTTGAGGGGAGTGATCCTTCCTTGAGGACTCAATCATGTGTCACCCAACTTCACAGTCAAGCAGGCTAATACTGAGTTGTGGCGCATATATATCTGGTGCCCCCTTGTACCAGTATTTATGTGTTCAAATAAAATAAAATAAAAAAATTGAGTTGTTTAGACGGTGACACACACGATGTCAAGTCACTTAGACTAGTGGATACATTGTACAATGATGATCAATAGAATTCGATCAACCCTGTAGAACTTTACAAATATGACATTGAGCACTATTTAATCATCAATCAAAGTAATTATCTCAATCCTACAGGATGTTAGTCGTTGCTCCAATAGCCCGCTGGTAATTTCTCAATTCGTAAAACCGGATGACACAAATTTGAATCCACCAAGAAGCACACATTTCCTCAAAACTACAAATATGCTTTGCTGACGAGTGGCATCCAGCACGAAACTTCGGTCGAGTAGAAGATCCTCCCAACCACCTCAAAACATCTAACATGATACGGTATTGTCCTCCAGCTCACTGTTACATGGTAAATGCGGGATGTAGTTACAAACAGGCAATAACAGTTAATATGTAGTTTAATTTTGAACGTTAAATTCTGAATGTATGACAACTTTAAAGTTATAATTTTCTCAACATAAAATGTACTTCAGTTCATGTATTAACGAATGAACAAACTTATTACACATTTACTATAACTTTAAAAAGAAAATCTAACTCAACTTACTTTCCAAAACCATAAAACTTGTGGAGATCGAGCATCGTATTTTTTATAAGTTGTATGCGATTGCCAATCATCTACATCGATTTGTTGCATACCACATAATAAAACCTAATTAATCAAAGAAATGAAAAGAAAAACGAGAATCATTAGTGAAAACATCGAAAAGAAAGTGATATACAACATCGAACCAGGATACAAATATTTCATTGACTGAAGAATCATCACATCAGAACAACAACAACAACAAGAGATGAGATCAATGAGATGGGATAGCACAGAAGCCGAATCAATAATGTTATCACCATGGTAATCGATCGAAAGTAAGATTAAATAGTGGAGAATAAGGTTAGGAAATAACGGGATAAGAAATATGTAATAATCTTGATGGATAGTGAATGTAACAGCTACACTTCAACTAATTTTAAATCATGTGATCCCCTGACATTTCTGATCAGTGGTCCCGCTTGTCGCGCTGATTCCGATCAGGTAGTGTACATCTGTTGACAAGGATTAAATCACTAGTCAATAGCTTCATAAACTGATTATCTCTAGGTTATTTCTGCACCAATCAGACAGAATGATGTATCGAGGAAGGCAATGGTCAAGAGTGCCCATTACATGTTCTATCTCCATCGATGCACGTTCATCATCTTATTAACTAATTGGTTATCCTTAACTAGTTGATACATCCTCCATTTAACCTAAACATTACACACACACACACACACATGTCCTCCAGCATACGCTAACAATGCATAAACATATCAACTTTTTTTTGAAGTGAATATTTTGATTGAATAATTTCCAAATTATTTTAAAACTGAAGTAACTGAAAAACAACATTTTCGACTCCTAATGTATTTCAATCAACTCTTCTTCACAATATTGTTTTACATCAAAAGATAGACCTTTGAATTTCTAGTATCTTTTGTAAACTTTGAGGCATACATACACCTTAAATACAAATTAGTGGTTCATGAATATTCAGTTTTGAAGTATATAGGATACGTGTGTATTATCACCTGTTAACTTAAATAGATTTTGTAGGTTGTATTCGTCACAGATTGATCTTAGTTGGAGTATTACTGAAAATTAGGGATGACTGTACAGTTGTTTCGTTTTAGTATAAGACTCTTTAACAGTCTTTAAATACAACTTTCAGATCTTACAGTGACATGAGTTTTCTAAGTTTTGGTGAGAAGTAATGATCCAAACATTTTGGCAGTGAAACAATTATTACAAACGATAATGGATTGTTTCCGTACTGCATTGCGAATTGATTGAAGTTGGGATTGGACAATCAGATAGAGTGACCGCTGCGAGAAAAACACCAAAATCTACCGCTCAAATATTCACGCGATGAAATTTTTAGGCGAAAAATGTTAACATTAGTGAAGAAAACTTGGGTATATATATATATATATATATATATATATATATATGATTTTGCCCAACTTCGTGACCAACAGGCAGGATTCCGTAAGGATAGATAGTGTACAGACCAAATCGCAACTCTACGGATCATTGTGGAACAGTCAAATGAATGGAATTCATCACTCTACATCAACTTCATTGACTACGACAAAGCATTTGATAGCGTGGACAGAACAACACTATGGAAACTTCTTCGACACGACGGCGTGCCTCAGAAGATAGTCAATATCATAGGGAATTCCTATGATGGATTACACTGCAAAATTGTGCATGGAGGACAACTGACAAACTCGTTCGAGGTAAAGACCGGTATCAGGCAAGGTTGCTTACTACCACACTTTCTCTTTCTCCTGGTGATCGAATGGATTATGAAGACGTCAACATCTGAAGGCAAACGCGAGATACAGTGGACATCTAGGATGCAGTTGGACGATCTAGACTTCACAGATGATCTGGCCCTCCAATTGCAAACGCAACAACAAATGCAAGAGAAGACGACCAGTGTAGCAGCAGCCTCAGCAGCAGTAGGTCTCAATATACACAAACGGAAAAGCAAGATTCTCCGAAACAACACAGAATGCACCAATCCAATCACAATTGACGGAGAAGATTTGGAAGATGTAAAAACCTTTACATATCTGGGCAGCATCATTGATGAACAGGGTGGATCTGATGCAGATGTGAAGGCGCGGATTGGCAAAGCAAGAACAGCTTATTTACAACTGAGGGACATATGGAACTCAAAGCAACTGCCAACCAACACCAAGGTCAGGATTTTCAATACAAATGTTAAGACAGTTCTACTGTACGTGACGGAAACCTGGAGAACTACGAAAGCCATCATCCAGAAAATACAGGTGTTTATTAACAGTTGTCTACGCAAAATACTTCGGATCTGTTGACCGGACACTATTAGCAACAACGTACTGTGGGAGAGAACAAACCAGATCCCAGCGGAGGAAGAAATCAGGAAGAAGCGCTGGAAGTGGATAGGACACACATTGAGGAAAGCACCCAATTGCGTCACAAGACAAGCCCTCACATGGAATCCTCAAGGCCAAAGGAAAAGAGGAAGACCAAAGAACACATTACGCCGGGAAATGGAGACAGAAATGGGAAGAATGAATAACAATTGGATAGAACTAGATAGAAATGCCCAGGACAGAGTGGGTTGGAGAATGCTGGTCGGCGGCCTATGCTCCATTGGGAGTAACAGGCGTAAGTAAGTAAGTAATATATATGATTTTGATAAATATCACCCACAAAGAGTATCGTGGTTTCTTCAAGATTGGAGAAGTATCCTACCAACTACAGATTAATGTGACAAATACCGGTAATCTACAACTTAGTTGTTTAAGCAGAAGTAAGTGAATTAGACAGTTTAAATCGACAACCTAACATTACTGATTCAAAGTTGACGGTTGTAACCACAAAGTCTTCGAGCTTAGTTCAACTAACAAAAAGTTTAAGATCTAACAACGTTTTCTATCAAATCTCTTCCACTAACCATTTAACATAATCAAAGATTTATATATAAAACAAAAAAAGAATGATGGACTGTATTTGCAGGAGACGTTTTATTGTCTCATGAAAAAGAAGCCAATCGTATAGACTACACACTACCACTACTGAATATATAGATAGACAGTGAGTGTAACTATTCTATTTCGATCAACTCTGAGTTATAATACCACTTAACATTTCCAACCAGTGATGTCTATTATCCTGTGAATATTAACCAAGAAGCATGAGTCTACTGACACAGATCAGATCAATATTCAATGACTTTATGGGTTAGTCTTATAGAAAAAAAGGAAACAATTGTACAAACTATACACTACCAATACAGTAATACAGAGATAGATAAGTTTTGAAAATAGCCTTGGAAAATCCAATAAAATTATATTGTTATGGCAACCTACTACTACTACTACTACTACTACTACTACTACTACTACTACTACTACTACTACTACTACTACTACTACTACTACTACTACTACTACTACTACTACTACTACTACTACTACTACTACTACTACTACTACTACTACTACTACTACTACTACTACTACTACTACTACTACTACTACTACTACTACTACTACTACTACTACTACTACTACTACTACTACTACTACTACTACTACTACTACTACTACTACTACTACTACTACTACTACTACTACTACTACTACTACTACTACTACTACTACTACTACTACTACTACTACTACTACTACTACTACTACTACTACTACTACTACTACTACTACTACTACTACTACTACTACTACTACTACTACTACTACTACTACTAGATAGATGAAAAAAATCATTTGGAAATATGAACTAAAGGGGAATAACAACAGCAATTGATAATTCGGTCATATGACTGATACTTAAAACTTCACTAATTAGACAAATTTTAAAAGAGGACTAAAGTATTACTGATCAGTTAAATCAGTATATACACAACAACTAAGACTAGTATCTTATGATTCATTTTAGCTTATTCTATCATATTAACGAGTGTTCTTAGTTTATGTAAAATAAGAAAGTTTTATCCTGTGTAGGCTATTACATGTAATAAAACAATGTAAGTATGATTTAGATGCATTTTCCTACCTTTACATATAACAGCCTTGATCAGTTGGCGTCTGATAAAATCTCGGTCTACTTCTACCAACTCAGGTCACTTAAAACATATGTGAGACGTCTGTCTGTCTGTCTATCAACTAGAAGACACGTTCACTGTGTACCAATCTACAATGTATTATTTCATGGTAAATTGATTGACGAAGTAATGAATCCATATTGACTTAAGGGGTTAGAACAAGCGTTATGTGTGCCGATCTGCTATCAAGGGACGAGTACTGGAAAGTTGGAACTTTTGGTGTTATCTTTCGGATTATTATCATGTATCCTCCTGGTTTTAAGCTTCGAATGGACATATTAACTGTCGTTATGCGTCTAACTATTCCTTAATTATTGTTAATTAATTGAGGACCGATTGTTTCACCCTTTGCCACTTATTTCGTGACTATATTCAAAGTATAGTTTCTTATTTACTATGTGAGGTCTGAAAACTCGTGAGTGTTTGAGATAGTTGGAGCTAGCACCTAATTGCTCTTCGAACTCAAGGTTAGCTGTGCAGGTTCGGACGTTTAACTGGTCCAAAATGGATGGAATAAAACCAATGATAACCAAATCAAGACATCGCATTAGTCTATGAAGTCAGTGATTATTCGACGTATGTAGGATGGAGTCTGAGAGATTATTTTGACCAATGGATGAAAACATTAGATGATATGGATCACTAGTGGTTACAATGGTGTTATGAGTAATTATTATCTATTTTGGGTGATTACTTTGTTGGAAGAGTAAAATCAATTAATTTGAATTAGTGAAGATAATGTAGACTTATAAATACAATAGTTATTATGTGGAATTTTTGTCAGTCTATGCTTGATTCATCTTCTTTAAACCAGCTGAGATGAATTTCCCAGTTGGTATTAGTTTAGTGGAGGCTTCTGAGATCAATTAGTTTGTGAAGCGGTAATCACATATTGTGGCACAATTGAGCAACCAATGTTATGAGTACTGAGCAAATAATGACAAATTGGTTCAAGAGGATGTTAACCTCTACTAACTCTGATATTTAAGACATGCGTATTATTTAAGATTGCACACCGTTTATCATAATGCATAGTAGGAGCAGGACGAGGAATTTGTTGGAGGAAAGATAGGAAGGGCCAAACCAGAACGTGACATTAGTCCACCAAATCACTGAGTATTGTGTCTGAACCGTGTGTCCAGATGCAAACTACCTGGTTGGGGAGGGGGTTCATGTTATAATCATGATCAATCGTTGTAGATGTTGGGTAACATGGCTTAGGATCGGTAAAAAATAGCGTAGATCCATTAACTTTTTGTCTTCCTCTACGTTTGGAACGTTAACATTCACAATTACGTAAATACCCTGCAAGACGGTAATTTTACATTGGTTTTTAAGGGGATCAGAGACTATACAGTCTCTTACAGTACGACTTGGACAATATCACTCAGCCCTGTGCCGCAACCATATAGGTATCAAGAACTCTGGTGGACAAAAACTTTAATATTACTCAGTACTTTTTTACTTTTTCGTATTCATTCTTCGTTTTTAATCACATTCTCCAATAGTTAGTCTTTTTAATTCCTCACCGATATTACTGTTATTGTGGACACTTATGCTATTCATATTTTCAGTTTACTTTTCAATCAGATTAATGTGGTCTGGCGACTTATCACATTCTGTGTTGACTATGAATGCAGATAACAACTGGGAGTAATAAAATAAGCTCAAGGTTTACGTGATTTTTATGTTGATCTGGTTGTGTTAACGTACACAATCTTGTCAGTCATATAGTGAAGTAAACAAATTAGGTTTCAAGGATGAACTAAAGAAATATCAAACTGATTTCATATCAATTAAAGCGTAATGTTACGAAGGCGAAATATCCGTCTATCAACTGCGCGGCAGTTCGTTCTGTCCTACTTTACGGCTGCGAAACGTGGCCATTAAGAGTAGAAGATACTCGTAAGATACTAGTATTCGACTAAAGATGTCTTAGAAATATTGCTTGCATCTGCTGGGATCACCATGTAAGTAATAGTGAGGTTAAGCTAAGGGTATTAGGGAATGATGGTAAATCAGTTGATGAGGTTGTGAATCTTCATCGACTGAGATGGTTGGGTCAAGTATTACGCATGCCTAACCACCGATTACCACGACACGCAATGCTGACTAGTGTTGGCGATGGTTGGAAAAAAGTTAGGGGCGGCCAAACCAAAACGTGGCATCAGTGCTTGAATTCACTAACTTCTAGTCTGAGCCATGTTGGCAGATGCAGTTTACTTGGTTGGGGTCCACATGACTATCGTAAGCAATGGTTGGAGACTCTTGGTGATATACGGCTCAGAATCGATCGCAATGGCGTCGGTGTATACACTCTCTGTCTTTTCTTACACTAAGAGATTAAAATCGCTTCATAACTTTCTTTCTACGAACTAATTCTTTCTTCCTGTACTATATCCTTACTGCCATCTTTCTTTTATATATTACCACCTCTGAATTAACTACTTTTATGGATCCGGTGTTCATCTTGTTGTGCTAATGCGGTATAATATAGCAACTTGGACCGATGCTTATATGTGCCTGGTCCTACGTTGTAACTGACTGACTGACTGACTGACCGAATGTTACGATGAGAAATTGTGACTTATAGAATTTCAATCAGATCAATAGAGTGACATGGTAACCTTGATTGATAGTATCCAATAAGCAATCAATGTTCAATCACCAAAACTAGGAATTTTTTTGATTTGAAAGTCCAAAATTTGTTTCCATGTGAATTTCAACAATGTGTAAACACGATTATTGAAAAATTTTTTAAAAATATTTCAATTTTCTTTTCAATGAACATTTACTAACTTCTAATTCACGTTCATCAAAATATTGTAACCATTGAAGAGGAAATACATCTTCGAAACCAGTAAGGAATGCATTTGTTTGATCTTCTACTCCACGAGAAAATCTCCAATTAACCATTAGACTGTGAAAAAAAAAGTTGTTTAATAAATAAATAATTAGAGAAAAGGATAAATATATGATATTAATTATAAGAGTTATTAAGATTGTAAACTGATCAGTAGTAGAATTGTAACCCATGGATATCCGAGTGTTAATACTTATATACATAATATTTTTACTTGAGAGAAAAGATAAATAATAATGAGGAAGAAGGTTTATTCGGCTAAACCGAAGACAATACGAGTCAATAAATTCACATTATCTATAACGTGGGTGATTTTAGATCCTATAGTGTTTTATGGGAGAAAAAGAACCATATATAGAATGAATGAAAGTTTAGAGAATAGAAATCAGTCAGTCAGTCAGTAACAACGTAGAATTTCGTACGTACGTACATCAGTTCAAGCTGCCATACCACATTAGCACAGAGATGCAGTTGTCGATTCAAATCCCGTAGTGGTAGAGGTAGCAAGAGTATAAGCAGTAATCGGGAAGATTAGGGTTTGGAGATGTTATTTAAAGAGTATAATACAGTGAAATAAATTTGGAAAGAGAAAAAAGAGACAAGGAGGAATCAGGAGATTAGAATTTGGGAGAACACAAAGAGTGGATGCACTTGCGCCATTGCAAATGATTTTGAGCCATATCATTCAGGGTCTCTAACCATCAGTTGCTATCATCTTGCGGTCCCCAACCAGGTAGTCTACACCTACCAATATGACTCAGTCCACTTGTCAGTGACTTCATGGACTTGTGCCATGTTTTGGTCTGGCCGCCCCTAGCTTTCTTCCAACCTACTCCTATACATCGCACGTCGAGGCAGATTTACTATTTTTAAGTTATTCCCAATTTATTAGTTACGTTCTCTCTTACTCACAGCCACTTTTGGTTTGATCTTGCATCATTGTTATTTTCTGTTTTATAGTATGATGTAGTCTGGTTTATTTGTATATAAACAGCTTATATCTGACATACATCATTCATACAATGGAAGCTGATATTGTGTTCCGAATTCAAGTAGACAAGGTTAGGCGAGAAAAACCAATAAAGACTCAGGGTTGACTTTACACTACTCGTACTGGTTAACATGTCATTGGTTTGGCATAGTGCATGATATTTGACGGGGCTTAGGATATAACAAATATCATCGTTATAATTGATCACAATCAGGAAAACAAGTTATAAGAAATCAATATCTTAATATATATATATCACTGTTAAGCGAGATGTTGAAGCAAAGCAATGATTGATAGCTGTCTCAACTATAATCATATTAATACATGTAAAATCTATTTCTAAACTATTCAAACAAAAAAATAGACAAATATGATTGAATCACTAGTGAAAATTCCACTTGCATTATTACAAAAAGGATAATACATATCATGCTGAGAGTTGTGATGATAGTCATTAAAATAACTTTGACTTCCCTCACTCCCTCCTCCATCACAACCACTTAGAAACACACACACATACCATACAGTAATGTATATGCATATAAGTGAGTTATTTCCATAGAGTTAAGCTGAATTATGAAATAGAAAGTGATGTCACTTATATTACTAGAATCTATATATCTATTCATTTATATCCATTGAAAATCATACATTATACATTAGATAGATTCATTCAGGAGAATTCCTACAGTTCAGTATATAAAAAGGATTGTTATATGTAGGTAGCATGCTATCACTCTTTCCTTTCATATGAAATCAATACTTTGTCATTTACACTTATATCAATATGGCACTGTATTATAATATTTTCATAATTAACTATTACGAGTAATTTGACCACATTATGATTTACAGTATTATGTCATTAAAACAAAGAAGAAATCAATTAATGATAACTTAATTAAAAGAAGTTAGTTGGAAGTAAACCCTAGATTAAGAGTTTTCTAATGATGAGATAAATATTGTGGATGTGCTACCACTTTGTTGATGATATTCAAACTATTTATTTTAACACATAGATATTGGTACAAGGAGGCACCAAATACATATGGGCTGTGATACTGCCCGGGTGCCCAAATCGAAGCAGGTGGTTTTCTTAAGGGGGCCACTCCCCGAGCCTTCGACCTTAAGGTCTGATCCACAAGGCAGTGGAGCATCGTAAGGAGATGCAGTCCCATGGAAGCCGATGACCAACAATTGGTTCATACGTCATTTATTCCTGCAGGATACTGGAGCACATGTGCACCATTGGTTTGGTTTGGGATCCGGTTAAAGCGTCGGACATTCGCTTTTCGTGCTCTCATTTTCGTAAACAACACCGCCGCCACGAGAAGGCAATGAGTAGGACTTCCCTGGCAGAGGCTATATACGCGTGGCCATGTGAGAGCATTTCGAGAGGGAGAGCGGACTCTCCCCACTCTCGGCCGTACTAGGGTATTTGGGTTTTTCTGTTAACTGAATCGCTGCACTCAACAATATCGTAAACGAGGCGATTGTACTGGCATTTAAATTACGACGGTAATTGCCACTTTTCGGAAGGACGCTTATTCTTGAAGTATCATAAAAGTGTGGTTTTTACGACTTGGGAGCTTGACAAAAATAATTAAGGAAAAGTCGACTGAGACCAGTCCCAAACCTTTTCATTCTTTACTGTGAATGACGAAACCCGCTGGACAAAATAAGCTTTGATATTGTCAAGATGATAAGGATGCTGATTGATTGAGTCAAACATCTTACTGGTTTTACACATCAATTACAGTCAGCAGTACTATTTCATCCATGAACCTGAATCTTTTTTGCCTTTACTCTTATTACTTTGCTTTACATACTTAGGGCAATAGCAACAACCGTCCCAGCTAATATAACTCTATTGTGTCGTTACAACATACATATTTTGGGGTAAAATGAAAGGATAAATTAGCATACTATTGACTTGAAAATTGAAGTTATTCAACGTTAAAACAGTGGATCGGATATTCAAAACATAATGTATCATATGTTATATGGCATAGATAACTGAGTGATATCATTAGCTGTCCTTACAGTGAAAGTTAACACTTTAAACTAAGTAAAAGACTAAGAAGTTTGTAAATGAGGTAGTTTACCATAAGGAAACTGCAAGTCAGTCAGTCATACGCGACAGAGAATTCGGCACATGTGTATATCGGCTCAAATAACCACATCTCATTGGTACAATTAAATGAGGTTATAGGAAAGAAATTCAAGAGTAGTAAAGCTGGTAACAGTATTAGTGGTAATAAGAAAGAGCAGGCATTGAAGATACTATTTGAGAAAATATAAATCGATGAAACGAAAAAATTTAAGATAATTTTATCAACTAAAAGAAATTAAATAATAGACGCATCTGTGCATTGCCAACAACCATGAACCATATCATTCAAAGTCTTGAAACGCTGGTTACGACAATCGCACAGACCCAAAATAAGTAGTCTGCACCTAATTAAATGGATCAGTTAAACAGTAAGAACCATCACCAACTGATGCCATGTTTTAGTTTAACCGCCTCTATCTTTTTTTTACTAACCCACTCCTACATCGGCCATCATCACGCATAAAAGTAGTTGGTGGATGGGTATGCGTAATATATGTCGTGACTATATCAGTCGATAAAGATTTGCCACCTCATCAATCAATTTACCACACTTATCTAGTACTTTGAATCTAACCTCAGAATCGCCAACTCGACGGTCACAACATAATCGAGCATCGCTTTTTTTCACAAGGCGGCCTGCTTGAATATCTGGGCTACATGTTCCTGCCATCTGGATATTTCAACAAGTTATCCACATGCGTTTGTGAAAAGTTTACGACATTTCGCTGTACAACTTACAAAAGAGACCAATCAGAGACATCGTGGTTACTGGCAATATGCATTGAAAAGACTATACATTTTACTCAGATGTCGATCTCTGAACTGCTAACATCTAACTCAATATTTATCCTAATGATTAATCAAGAAATAAGAAAAGGAAACTTGTTGAAATACTTTGTGCTGAGAATTCTATATTGTACCAAAAACATAATATTGATTAAAGCCACTAATAATAATATGATTAAATCCTAATAACCTATGAATATCCTCTACCTCTATGAACCACGTTTGACAGATGTCAGTCATTCAGTCACAACGTAGGACCGGGCACATATATGCATCAGTCCAAGTTACCACACCTCATTAGCACAACAAGGTGAACACCAAATTCATAGTAGTTACTTCAATGGTAGTAATATATAAAAGAAAGATTGTGTATAAGGACATGGTATGATATGACGTATTGCAGTTTAGATTGGTGCACAGTGAACGTGTCTTCTAGCTGATAGACAGACAGACGTCTCACCGATTTTACAAATGACGTGAGTTGGTAGAAGTCGACCGAGATTTTATCAGACGCCAACCGATCAAGGCTGATGAGACTTCTAAGATAACTGAATTGGTCAATAGATGACTTTCTGTGTTAATAAATGTACCGTATCGTTGAAAAGAAACATTATTTTCTCTGATTGACTCAGTCTTATTTTCAATGTTTACTCTAAATATAAAGTTGCTGATTTAACAAGATGGTGGATTGGCGAGTTAATTGTAGATTACAGTTGAAAATCTCAATTGTTGATATGGCTTAAAATCGTTGGAAGTTGGATGATACTTCATCTCCAGTTTTTCTATCTCATGTTTATATCGACATTAACTGCTAGTAAGGCAGTTGGAAGAAAGCTAAGAATGGCTGAACCAAGACAGCATCAATCTATGAAAACACTCTGTTGAACTGAGCCATGTCGGTAAATACAGACTACGTGGCTGGGGTTCATGTGATTATCGTAAGCAATGGATAGTGATGTCAAATGGGATATGGCAACTTGAATCAATGTACACATTTTTTAGGTACTATGTTGCATTCAGCTGACTGACTCATTACCTCTCGAATATCATTGTTTTTTTTTAATACTCGATGACTCTCATATTTCTATCATTATTAGTAAGGATTTAATATTCAAGAATAAATCTCGATCAATCTTTGTTGACATATATGCCTGAATATGTGGATCCATATGATACAATCATAACTCAAACCCTAAGTAATAATGATAATAAAATCATGATCGTTGAACGACTGAATAGCTATTGGTACTCAGTAGCTTAATCGATAACTCGTTGTTAGCATTCGAAGCGCTAAGAACTACGTTTGATGCCGAAAATAAACATCAACACTGGAATGCAAGTACATCGAGTTGATAAGTCATAACATCATGTAGGAAGAAAAGTGTTTCAACGATTTCGCTCCTTTTTTTTATAGATTATAACATCAAGTTGAAGCCATTAACGCTACAAATTAGTCTGTCTAACAATAAAATGACCTTTTCTATAAATGATCATTAACAAAATGTGATCAGAACAGAAAGAAAAAGAAACTATTAAACATTCAATATACATTCATATACATGTATATTAGTATTGTAAACGTGACTACTAGGGTAAAAGCAAGATATTAATCGAAAGAAATAAACGGCTATGAGTACTATATGCGAATAAATACAATTGATTAATAATTGCACGAGTACAGATGATGATTTCACAGTGCATTTTGTACTTAATTCAAAAATTGGCTGATACTATGATAGAATAGAAAACAAAATTGTGGTATATTTTGTTAATTCATTTTTATATTGTTTGTTTGAATCTTCCCATTGACATTAAAGGAGTGCAATTGATCAGTATCTTACTTGCATATGTGTATCCTGTGCGGATTGCCTTAAATCACAAGCACTATAAGTAAAGATGGATGATGGCTGGCAGTGGGATCTGGGATGCGCGTTTCGTCCTGTTTGGAACTCGTCGGTTGGATGTACCTGAATCTTAGGGTTGATGTTCACTTAGAGACTCGGACCTATTACTGTTCATATTCAACAGAATAGGATGGAATTAATCACATAGGTTGTGGAAAAGTGATTAAAGTATTCACCCTTCGGATGTTCGGATCAGAGACTTAAGGTTTCATACGGTTAGAGGGAAGCAGATGTTACCTCGACGTGACGATCGAACTAGGATATCGTAATAATCAGGTCCATCAATACTGACTGGAACACTTTATCCTACATGCATCTGTTGGAGAGCAGTAAGACTAAGTGTAGAAAGCTTAAGATTTGAGGATGAAGTTATACTGACAATTGTATGGCGATGTGACGATATTAAGTGGAATAGTGAATTTATAAAACCTTGCCTAAGACTATTACAGGATTATAATGCTGAGAAGTTATTTTCTTTCTTTTTTTCTCAACATGACTAGGGTGTTTTCGTATAGAGCCTTCAAGATGTTAATAAACTTTTCAGATATAATGTCCTTTAACAAAAACTCACTAACTGCAATCCTCCAACAATAGCTGAGGTTGTAGATAAGCACTACTGAACAGTCCCAAACTAAAGCGATATATCTATTCAATGCTTCCTAATTAATTGACTCAAAAAAACCACAACCAATTACGAACTGAATAAATTAAGACGAGTTGAAATCGCATAAAAAGTGATTATAATATCTAACTTTACTCTTATCCACATCCCATGAATTGTGTGAAACAATGAGAGAATCTTATCAATAATACGTTATGTACCACAACATTCAATGAAAAACTGGTTTACATTATATGAATTACTACTATTATGACATTTGTCAATAAAATCAACAGCTTGAAGCACAAAGTAACATCACAAAAAAAACACAATCCGTTTGTTAAGAGAAAGATATATATATATAAGTATTATTGAATGAAGTGTAATACTCAAGCTAAATATAGCAGGATGGCATATAATTATTTAAGAAGACATGATTGTTGCTATGCAAGAGAGAAAAACAGTCTAATGGTAAATTATTTGCATGTATACTTATGAATATTTTAATAATAAGGGAGTTGGTAAAAAAAAATTTGTTAAATCTTCACAGTTTAACAACATGAACTGATCTGAGTTAGAAAGTCATCAAAAGAAAAAAAAAACTTGGGAAGCACTGGATAGTTGATATTCAATGACTGTCTAATTAAGATCAGTTTCTAGTGTTAACTATGACAATTCTAATATCACCATAAATCACAAAGACAACCATCACACGAAAAACAATCATGTAATCACTAATCAATAACTTTCACAGACGATTTCAGGAGTTCTAGTCACGAACCGTTAGGAGTGGGGTTCAACTATGTCGAGTGTGAGACAGTTATCTGCTGTAAGTGATGGAAGATGGTTGCCCCCGATATTGCGAAATGATTGAGGTTACACATGGACACTATTAGATGAAGGTTAAGTGGTTAAAAGACTGTTTCGATATCTGATGCTCCTGGAATTGATGCTTGAAAGGGTATTGGGTGCCCACTAGTGACAAGCCCCACACTTATTACCTTACGAATGGAGGAAATCATACACTTCCAGTCATCTCCCCCTTAGTAACTAACAGCCGGATATATTTATTGCTTCACCGTGATGAGCTCAAGATAATTCATGATTAGATTATCCTTAGCTTTTTCATCGCCTCTTTCAAACAGAATCACATATCTTCATTTTATGTGGTGAATCTGCCTAGATTATTGATATTATTGGAAAATCATTTTGAGTAGCTGGAAATAGTCAGAATGAAAGTCTGTTCAACTTAGGTTTTATGCTAGTTGAAGAACGTCAGCAAGGTGTACCTGGAGTATAGAGAAGACGAAAACTCCCTGAGGATTCGAAACCCGTATCAATCAGCTTCATAAACTGAGACATAACCCTTAGTCTATTCGGGCCGCGATTAATATCCTGTAGTAGGACTGAGATGTCATTTAAAAGTGCCAACCCATAATATACGCTCACTGATATAAGAGCTCTAGAAAGACCTCTATAGATTTATATCAGTAAATTTATCATTTATTGGTAGCTACTACTTAGAAAAAAACTAGAAGAGACCTTTGAATGACATACTATCAACTGAAGGACTAAAAATTCACTACATTTACTTCCATTTGACCAGTCTGATAGTATTAATGACTATCATTGGAGGCTGAATCAAACGTTCTGATGGTCAAGTGTTAACTGAGAAACCAGAACGTTATGGATTTGATAGCTGCTAGGAGTCTATGATTACAAACTGTCGAGTAGACCTACATTTAAAAAAGGCTATCCTCTACTGAGATCAATCTGTGACAAATCTAACCTAAAAGTTGGACGAGTCTCTTCAAAAACCTCTTTAACTGAATTCTATTAGTGAGTACTAAAATGTTTTGTTCAATAAATATGTAAATCAAGACAATAAGATTCTTTCTGGTGAATTTATCTTTTAAAATTTTATTTGAACATAGATATTGGTACAAAGAGGCACCGAATACATATGCGCTACACAAGTCATTTGATTTGTGAGTGTGCTATGATACTGCCCAAGTACCCAAACTGAAGCAGGAGGTTTTCTTAGGAGGCCACACTTGGAGCCTAAGTCTTAAAGGTTTGGTCCATAAGGTAGTAAAACAACATAAAGAGATGCAGTCCTATGGTAGCCGGTGACCAACGATAGGTTGATACACCATTTGTTTCCTTAGGATCCTGGAGACCATGCGCATCACTGATTTGGAATTAGGGTTTTCCAACTTCCATAGGTGGATCCTCCATATCTACTAACCCGGCTAAAGCGCCAGACATTCGCTTTTCGTCCTTTCAATTTTGTAAACACACCCTCCCCATGAGGCGGTCAGTAGAACTTTCCTGTCAGTGGCTGTATACGCGTGGCCATTTGCGAGCATTTCGAGAGGTTAACTCATTTATACTGGTTGTTTGAATTTTTCCGTTGATACCGACTGCATATGATCAGTTTCTTTAGGCGTATATACATTCTGTGTGGATGGCCTCGATATATTGACTACGCCACAAGTATTGAAACAGAGTTGGATGGTGGCTAGTAATGGAATCCAGGAAATGTATTTCATCCTATTTAGGAGTTTTCAGCTAAGTGTACCTGCACCCCGGTGATTTTCACACCGTGATTCGAATTTAGTCCTTTCTAACGCTCAACGTTTTATTCAACTATTTGATGAGTACAGATACCCACTTGTTTGTGCAACGTGGTGAATTTTAATTAATTACAGCATTATTTTGTGACAACGGTGAGAAAATCGAGAAAGTGGTAACTTTTGGGCCTATCTTACATATCATCATATATGTATTTATTACACAATTGCTAAAAAAAAATATTGTATCGTTATATTCCCTGTATTTTAAGCTGTGGTTACACGCTCTACTGTTCATTCACTAACCCTCATTAATTACCAATCCATTTTCCTCGTGGTCTGAAACATATGCCTTGATTATGTATAAATAATAATTTCTTATTTGGTATGTGTGTGTTGTGATTTGGTAATTTATGTATGTGTACACATTCATGAGTGTTTGAGTTATAATGATAACTACAGATTGATCACTGGGTAATGATCAATCAATTGTAAATTCACCTTAGTCCTACAGTAGGTCTGTCGAGGCTCGAGTTGGTCAGTGGTAACGTCTCTGACTGTGACTCTGAGTGACACGCGAATGAATCGGCCAAGGATCATCAGATCCATCAAGATTACAGGTACACCTTGCTGACAAGTCTCAAATAGCACGAAACTTAGGTCTAGGGTTTCCTGTTGACTACTTCCAACCATCATCTAATCTAATCTCATCAATAATTGGACAAAATAATTAAACCAGACCACTTGGAAACGACAAGAAATGGCAAAAATTGATTTAAAATTGAATTAAAATGAATGAAGCTAAACAAATGATGAAGTGCACAAAACAAAACTTACTCAATATACTCAGCTTTATTTGCATCAGTCAATAGAATATCTCTACCGCCTGGTTTCAATTCATGCGTTCGTAGTTCACCCAATACTTCATAATCCATAGCAAAGTAGACATCTAATCCGCATTCATCGATATTATTCTCTCTATTTGTTTGTATGTGTAATGAAGACGAAATAAAAACAATGACGAAAGTTATTATTCAGTAGCACAATACTAATAAATTGAACAATTAAGACAGATGAATTCGGAAATTAAGAAGGTGAATCATTGTTATATATGGATGAATAAGTGAAAAACGTCGAATGTTACATATAAGTTTATAGTTTAAATCACTAAGTGATTTTAACCAGATCCTCATTAAAAACTCTGAAAGCACCGGACAGTTGATATTCAATGACTGCCTAATTAAGTTCAGTTTATGGTGTCAACTATGACAATTCTAATATCACCATAAATCACAAACACAACCAGCATATGAAAAACAATCATGTAATCACTAATCAATAACTTTCACAGACGATTTCAGGAGTTCTAGTCACGAACCGTTAGGAGTGGAGTTCAACTATGTCGAGTGTGAGACAGTTATCTGTTGCAATTAATGGAAGATGGTTGCCCCCGATATTGCGAAATGATTGAGGTTACACATGGACACTATAAGATGCAGGTTAAGTGGTCAAAACCTCGTCCCAATGCCTGAAGCTCCTAGGATCGATCCTTGAGGAAGTGTTTTGTTCTAACCATAGAATTCTGAGTATGCATTATTGAGCAGTCCTATACAAGGACGAAATAGCTGGTTTACACCAATGGTCTATTTGGATAAGATCAGTTCATGAGATAGACTATGAAAATGCTACAATCTCCACAAACTTACCTATTTTGATATAATTTTATCGTGAGTTTATTAAAGATCTGGTTTACAGTATTTCTACAAAGCCATAGTAGTAAGTTTTCGTTTGAAGGCATTACATATTGTTAAGTCTCTTACATTAAAAAAAGTTACGGTTAATACATCATCCATTTGTGTTGAGGAGGTTCAAAGTATTCCTTGAAAAAAACCTAGAGGGACCCTGAGGACACTGGGAAACATTTTATCCAATCAGTATTCAATAGAAGTTTGTCATAGACATCTAGAAAGTGAAGAGTTACATGTCACATTTCTGATTAGATGATCACCTATTCTGTTACTATGTTTAGTAGGGTTCCAGAAGCCAAAGACCATCTGAAATGCTATAAATAACCTCGATTTTCCGTACGTAAATTAATTTTGAAGTAAAGCGTACTTTCCACACTTCATAACTTTTCTCTCGTGTTCAAGTGTTCAATTACATTTAGCATGGAGGTCATTAGAGGAACTTAAGTAACCGATTCAAGCGTTCAATCAGAAAAATTAATAAATTTGTTACTTGGACTTTGAACTATAAAATGACCTAATTATGTACAGATTTCGATTTTCTGTTCGTGGTTGCTTATTGATTTTGTAAGTGATGTAATATTATCATCATATGAGTTTTTGAGTTATAATAATAGAAAAAGGTAAGTTAGTTTGCTGTTTTTGTGTTACAATTAAGAAGTCTAAAAGGAAAACAAACTTAAGTGGATCATTAAATTTCAGAATATCTGGTCGTTATCATACAGTGAACTCCTCCCTCATTAGTAGACTCTGTACTTTTAATGGCCTCATCGAAATCAAAGCTAAAACAGAGAACATGTCATCTCACAATGGAAATGATCAAGTACATAGAAAAAATGATACAATTTAGCGATAGTGGATAGATAAAAACATTCACAAAACAGGTACTTATCGTGATTAATAACACAGTTGTTTTTATTCGTCCTATAGACTTTGGGATTCCTTTGAATTTAACCGTTAGGATTATCTAAGATTGAATACAAGACCTTGACCTTAATGAAGTATAACACTAATCCAAACAAACGTGATAATTTCGAAATGTCAATCAATATGAAAAGGATCACTGAACGGAATGATTTGAAATTTTCATTTTACATGTCCCTATATGTATGTCCCTGTTACTAATCATAGTTTCCTTTTAGCGATCTATATTCAAAAGAAATAAGGTTACTTGGTCACATCGATTGAATGTTCTAGGAGAAAAAGACCAAGTTGTCAGGTGAGATAATCATTCCGCTAATAATAACTTAAGCAGTAGCACCAATGATTGAATTAAACGATGTAAATTGCGTGACAACGACCAATTTTCATTTGTAACTAACGTACAGTGAACAAACTACCGGTCATTTAGAAATGTGACTTTTGAAAATAGAGGATATTCGCAGGCTACTGGCTTTAATCATAGATACCTTTGAAAGATTGTTCAAGTAGGTTAGGATCATCGAATGAATAGTGCTCAGGTTAAATGCAGGGTATATCAGGTATAGATGGAAAGCTGGTTGACTAAGTAGTGAATCTTCAGTTGGTGAGTTGGATGGGACGTGTATTGTCTACACCCAACAGATACCTACTTCAACGCGAGACATTTGCTAGAGCAAAAGTAGGTTGGAAGAATGGTAAGAGCGGTCAAACCAACACATAGTACGAACCCATGAAATCGTGGACTGTTGGTCTGAAGGATGTTGACTAACACAGACTCACTTGGTTTGGGTCAATGTAATTATTAAAGACTTTGAGTCATATTGGTTCAGATACATTCACTCTCGATCTAAATCTTGAGTTAAAACGTTCCATTATACATGACTTTTCATTCCATCTTTTGCAATAGTATTCTTAATATTAAGTCGTTTTATTATCGTCGCTATTACAACCCCAATGTCTTTCGCCTTTTTAATATTATCTTGTCTTAATTTGGTAAATCAAGCTAACATATTTATGTGAGAAGCCGTGACCGATTGGGTAATCCATGTCCAGTGTGAGACAGGTACCCAATCAACATAATCGAAAATCGTCGTGCAATATTGTGGATTGATTGAAGTTAGGCTTGCACACCACTGGGTCCCGGATCAGTGGTCTAAAGTTTAAGAATTCACGAGCTAGACTGAAAGGTCTTGGGTTGAATTCCCAGTTGAGAGATTATGGATGTGCACTGCTGAGAAAATCCCAAACTAAGATGAAATGGCCATTTAGTGCTTCCAGGTATCCAATGATAGTCTAACACTGATCGGTTCATGATATCAACTCAACAATCTCCATAACCTTATACTACTCCTACTACTACTAATAATTACAGAAACACACATATACAACAGACTGACAAGAAACTTACTGAATAAATTTCAATGAATTATAATATTCCACATCAACTGTTTCAATATCAGCTAAAGTGATATTTTTATTTAACATACGTTTATAAAATGGTAAAGTGAAACCATTATCAATAAATCTAGAATGATATAATGCTAAAGCAATAAATCGTCCAACAAATCTATAGAAAAGAGAAGATAGAATGAAAATAAAACAATGGTGTAGATTATTTGATTTGGAGTAAAATTGAATGTAAAACATATAGTCAACATACGCATATTATTTTGTTGTGGAGTGGGCACAATGATTAAAATATTCTCAACTGTTAACCATTAAATTTCAGGTTTGGAGCCCCTACTTTCATGTAGTGGGGGTATTGTTTTTATAAAACTGAAACGACGAAATGTGAACGTTCAAAGCTTAAATCGGGTTGATGAATATGAAGTTTATATGGGTGGGTTGGGAAACTGATTATAAACCAATGGTGTGCATCTTAACAGGATCCTGGAGAAACGAATACTGAACGAACCTATTTTTACCTACAAGCTAACATGGGACTATGTTTCGTGACATTATTATTTATTTAAACACATAAGCATTGGTACAAAGAGGCACCAAATATATATCCACCATACCAACCAATCGATGTGTGCGAGAGCTGGGATACTGTTCGGGTGCTTAACCCGAAGCAGGTGGTTTTCTTAGGGGGTCACACCCGGAGCCTTCACCAAGGGGAGTTGGAAAACCCTGATTCCAAACCAATGGTGCACATGGGCTCCAGGATTCTGAAGGAACAATTGGTGTATGAACCTATTTGTTGGTCACCGACTACCATGGGACTGCATCTCCTGACGTTGCTCCACTGCCTTGTGGATCAGATCTTTAAGTCGAAGGACTCTCCGTGTCCACCAACCCGGTTAAATCGCCGGACATTCGATTTTCGTCCTCTCAATTTCGTAAACAACACCCCCGCTGCAAGAAGGCAATGAATAGGACTTCCCTGGCAGTGGTTGTATGCACGTGGCCATGTGAGAGCATTTAGAGAGGGAGAGCTAACTCTTCCCACTCCCGGCTGTACCAGCGCATTTGGGGGCTCTTCTTCATTGCTTTGCAAATTAGAAATATAATTCAATGGATAGAAGTATCAGTCAGTCAGTCAGTAACAACGTAGAACTTCGTACGTACGTACATCAGTTCGAGTTGCCACACCACATTAGCACAGAGATACAGTGGTCGATTCAAATCCCGTAGTGGTAGAGGTAGCAAGAGTATAAGCAGTAATCGGGAAGATTAGGGTTTGGAGATGTTATTTAAAGAGTATAATCCAGTGAAAGAAATTTGGAAAGAGGAAAAAAGGGACATGAAGAATTCAGAAGATTAGAATTTGGGAGAACATAAAGAGTGGATGCACCTGCGCCATTGCAAACGATTTTGAGCCATGTCATACAGGGTCTCTAACCATCGGTTGCTATCATCTCGCGGTCCCCAACCAGGTAGTCTACACCTACCAACATGACTCAGTTCACTTGTCAGTGACTTCATGGACTTGTGCCATGTTTTGGTTTGGCCGAGATAGAAGTATGGTCTCCTAAGAAAACCATCTGCTTTTGCTCGGGCGTCCGGACAGTATCTCAACCAGCCAACAAACAAACATGGTGAGCTGCTAATCATTTTCTGTTCGGACGGGCAGATTTCACAAACATGAAACAGAACTGCTCTCATGTTTGCGTTTTAAAAGCAAACTTTACTTTTTAATATCACGACAATAACAAAGATGGCCCAGATACTGTTGGTGCTGTTTTGTCGAAAATTTCCAAAGTCACTAACAACTTTCCCTTTCAAAAGGTCTAAAACACTGAAATACTGAGTACTTTCTAAGTAAACCCTAAATTCCTGTAACACTTGCAATTTGAATACACTGAAAGAAACTAGAAGGTAAAAATACGTAAAATAATCTACTTACAACTTTAACAGTTCATATACAAATAACAAAGGGATTATTCACATAGAAGTGAACTCAGAACTGTCACAAGGTTAGAGGTGGGTAACAAGAAACCATGTTCGACTTAGGCTTTATATTAATTGACAATCGTTAGCAAGGCATGAACCTTCAATGTTGAGAGGACTGATAGTCTACCAAGTGAGATTCGAACTAGTATCATTCAACTTCAAAGCCTGAGACGACACCACTGGTCTACTAAAGTCAAAACTGGCATAAGAAATATAATAGCTTCTAAAAATAGGTTACTCAAGTAGGTTTCTTCAAAAAAGTTTCATAACAATACTCCATGATACTTATGATATAGTGAAAATGAAATATAATTATGGGGATTTGTGGAGACTGTAGTATTTTTCCAGTTGAATTCGCGAATCGATCTAAGCGAGACCACCATTGAAAACCTGGAAGCACTAGACAGCTGTTTTGCTCTAGTATGGGATTCCTCAGTAGTGCACATCCGCGATCGCGTACTCAAGACCGAGGGTTCTTGGTCCAAGTCCCACGTAGTGGTCTAAGTCATATCGATTCGAGAATTCAGCTGAGAACTTTAGTATTTAGTATTATAAATGAAACAATTATCATTATTTAGAAATTTCCACAAAAAATACTATTGTGCATACACATTACATTGATTTTAAAGCAAGGTATTTTTTTTACCATATTGACAAATTTCACTTTCACTTTTTATCGATACATATAGTTAGTTTTGATAAAAAGAAGGCCTATATTATTATGCATAGTAATCCCAGACAGAGAGATCATAAACATCTATATATAAACGATGATTTGTCTGTAAAAACACCACCAATCATTAAATTGATAAGAGAATAAACTATTCAAAGAGAACTATTATATTCTCAATGGTTAAGACCATGAGTCAGTTGAAGCTAGACCACCATGGAAAACGTGGAAGCACTGGGCGGCCGTTTCGTCCTATTGTGAGACTCCTCAGCACTGCGCGCTCACGACCTCGCCCCCTGCGGGATTCGAGCCCAGGACCTGCCGGTTTCGCGCCCGAGCACTTAACCACTATACCGCCAAGTCGGCATCCAACAGTGGTAATGTCTAACTTCAACTAATCCACGAAATTGAGAGACACACTCACCATTGTCTTCAGTGAGTTACTATCTCACAACAGACCTGGTTGAACCCCCCTGGTCACTACTTCTCACTAGAACTCTAGGATATACCTCGTGAAGCCAGTCACTAGTGAGCATATGTTGATTAATATCAGATGGGTTTTTGTGGAGATTGTAGTAATTTCAATGGTTAAGATCATGAGTCAGTTGAACTATTATATGTTTCTGAATTGACTTGGAAAAACATGTAAAAATGAGTTCTTGGAACAATTCAATACAAAAGATATCTTCTACTTTCTATCTAGTTATTCTGTGGTTTTAATTGTGAAGCTATAAGCATAATTATTAAAATAGTCGACTATCAACAGATAGATCAAAAGTTTTAATCCCTCGCTCTACCTAATTTGAAATAAGCAGTAAGTAAATTGTTTCTTTACAATTGATTATCTCATAGATTGGTCACAAGAAATGAATAGTTGAGTGTATTGGTATCTTATGCAATATTAATACTTGTGTTAAAATTGTGAATCTTCATTGAGTGAAATGAATTAGACATGTGATACATTTGTTCAATCACCGTTTACTTCGATCTATGAAATTAGCTAGTGAACAAACAGGTTTGAAGAAAACTAAGTTCGGAAACCAGTTCATTAAATCATTGACTGTTGATCTGAGCCATTTAGGCAGAAGCAGACTACTTGGTTAGGATTCATGTGGTAATCAACGTTGGATAACATGGCTAAGAATTCGTCAGTGGTTTATTTATTTATTTTAACACATAGATATTGGTACAAGGAAGCACCAAATACATATGCGCCACACAAATCTCATTCGATATGTGTGAGGGCTGTGATACTGTCCAGGTGCCCAAACCGAAGCAGGTGATTTTCTTAGGGGGGCCACTCCCCGAGCCTTCGACCTGAAGGTTTGATCCACAAGGCAGTGGAGCATCGTAAGGAGATGCAGTCCCATGGAAGCCGGTGACCAACGATTGGTTCATACGTCATTTGTTCCCGCAGGATACTGGAGCACATGTGCACCATTGGTTTGGTTCGGGGTCCGGTTAAAGCGTCGGACATTCGCTTTTCGTCCTCTCAATTTCGTAAACAACACCACCGCCACGAGAAGGCAGTGAGTGGGACTTCCCTGGCAGAGGCTATATACGCGTGGCCATGTGAGAGCATTTCGAGAGGGAGAGCGGACTCTCCCCACTCTCGACCGTACCAGGGCATTCGGGGGTGCAGATGCATTTACTCTTCTTATTCCCTCTAGATCCTGACTTCAAATACTCCTTGATATACATCTTTTTATTCGGTCTCCTCGAATTGGTACGATGTTATTTCGACTCATCTACCATTCATTGAGTTGATTTCATCTGTTTGCTTTGATATGGTATACCAACTTGGGTTAAAGCATATTTACGCCAAGCTCAACATTAACTATGACTGACTGATACATTCACAAATAAAATGAATTGAATATAACTTACAGACACGATAATCATAAAATACATGGAATATGGCTAGCAATGTAATCCAGGACGTGTATTGCGTCCAATAAGGGACCTGTCAACTGGATGTACCTACATCTCAGAGTTGATATTCACTCTGAGATCCGAAATAAGTACCTTTCGCCTTAAACGCCCAATGCACTATCTATTAAGCTGCTGAGTTCACTTTGTACAACGGATCTGGACTGAATGGTAATCATTATCAAGCATCTGTGATTCTCTACATAAGACAACCAAAAATTAACAGATTACACACAAGAAAAACACAATTTAAACATCACACAACACCACAATCAACATGATAGACCTACCGAAAATATTCCAAATGTTCCGGATTAACCGATGATGCAGGATTAATTTGTAATGCATAATTATTACCACCGGCGTATTCAAATAAACAATACATTGGATTTAATAATTCTGTAGATAATTTGAAAAACCACTCTCTGAAAATAAATTAGAGAAAACGAGAAATTTATGGTGACGAAGGTTATGGATCGGGAAGGAATTAGTCATTTTACAATCATATTAGAAACCAAAATACTAACCCAACCAGAAATCGATCAAATGATAAGCATATGCAATTGGCCAAGAAATGATCTTTATTTCTAAGGGGTGGAATATACAATAGTGATTTGATTTTCCAAGGGATATATATGTGTATATATCTCTTGAGGAGTAAGTGTGGCTCGTTACATGAAGATTGTATGTCGGTATCAACTCTCAAACGCCACATGTCAAAACAAATATAACTAGACGCATATAGTAAGTGAGTCGATGGTAAGCATGGTGTATATATTGAATACTTTGTTAATACACTGACAACAATGTAATATGAACAATAGTGCAAAATACATGCCAGTTAGTTTATAAGAATCATCAAATCAATACAAATTATTAAGCAGCAATAAATATAAATTTAAGTTGACACTACTGAAGAAGGCACGATTTCCAAGTTACTTCGAAATGAGCATTTTTGATCGCTAAAACATGCTGAAACATGAAGAACTACAAACAACATAAAAAACTACAGGTATGTATAAGCAATTGTCTACGCAAGATATTCAAGATCAGTTGGCCAGACACTATTATCAATCGTCAGCTGTGACAGAGAACACAACAACTTTCACTTAAAGAGAAAAAGAGACTGGAAGTGGATAAGATACACATTACGGAAACCACCAAATTATATCACAACAAACCAAACCCTAACTTGGGATCTCCAAGAGGAAAGGAAAAGTAGTAAACCAAAGAATACATGACTCCGGGGACTGGAAAGACATCTAAAAGATGTATAGTACTTGGCAAAATCTAAAAAATAGCCCAGGACAGTTGTCTGGAGATTCCTGGTCAGTGATTTATGCCCCAAGAGGGGTAACGGGCTTAAGTAAGTGGAGAATATATTCCTAGTTCAATCAACGTAATAACAAGATGAACAAAAAACTTTACAGGTGATTTAAAAAATATACATAAGCTTGATGAAGATTTTCCTTTACGAATTACACATACCGTGATAACCCGCCATAGTCTAAACCTTCTTCGCCAGTAAATGAAATGAACAAACGACAACGTAATTCATGTGGTTTCAATCGCATAATTTGTTCAAATGAATCCACTAGAAGATTACTACGGGACACAACAACTTTCACATTTTTTGTCACCAAATTTGAATGACAAAGATAATGGAAACTGGCAACTTTATTTTCAAATGACCATGCTTGTTCAATATTCCCACTGTTGACATTTGAATAAAGAAAAATGGACGGAAAATTAGGAATAAGATAATTAGATCTAATATTATTGATATCACAAACCGATCTAATTTAGATATTTATTTAAAACCAGAAAGTACAGGACATCTGTTTCGTCTTGGTATAGGACTTCTCAACAGTGTTCATCCATGACCCTGCCACCGAGGATCGAAACCAGGAGCTTGCAGTCACTTAACCTTTAGACTATTAAGCTGGGATAAAATGGTTTACATGCCTAACGTCAATCAATTGCTGATATTGAGAGATCACCTTCTATTGTTTTCGGTTAGTAAATGCTGTACACCCGACATGGTTGAACATCAGTAATCACAACTCACTAGGACTAAAGCAATTATCTCTTGGAATCAGTCATTAATGTGCACTGAAGAAAAGTCATATATTAGAGCGAGACAGCTATTCAGTGCTTCCTGGTTTTCAATGATTGTCTAACTTAGGTCGGTTTACCATTTCAACAATATTCAACAATCTCTACAAACTCCTACACTGATAATTAACTGTTTAAAAAATTTAATAGCAGTGATTTTATTAGTACGGGCTTGCGATTTTTCATTCTTGATATTAGGGACTCCAATTGGTAAGTCTCTATTCGCATATGTCCATGTTCAGCGAGTTACATCGATACTGCCACAATGGTGAAGGTTAATCCTAGCTAGCAGTGACAATCAAGACTCGCATTTCGTTCTATTCGGGACTCGTCAGTTTAAAATAAAAGCATTATCCACTGAGCAATAGCTACTGGGAGTACATCAACACTAGAGTCTGGATGTATCCAGTTGAAAACTCGCGAAAAGAAGAAAAGCTCAAGATTCCACTGCTAACCTCATAAGATTTTGAGTCTGCAAATCACAGATTGGGAGATAAGTATTTGATCAGCAATTAAGTCCGTTTCTCAGCTAGCTTGATATAAGTGCGTCTAGAAAGCACCAGTTTCGGATGCTTTGGTCCTAGTAATGAATGTTTATACAACTACAACGCCAACATATAGGTCTTCATACTAGTAAAGATCTCCTCGGCCGAACCACGTGAAACATTACACAACCAGTCCCCCCCCATGAACTCACTAGCAACTAGCTTTAAGATATAACTCTTGGAGTCCTAGTGACAATCCGTGACCAGTGGGCTCAATCCGTACCGGGTTTGAGATGGTTATCCACCTCATACAATGAATGAAGGATTCTACTAGATGATGGATTGATTGAAGTTACACCTTAACACTATTGGATGCTTGTCCAGTGGTCTGCAGGTTAAGCGCTCACGTGCGACACCGAAAGGTACAAGAATTAAGATTGTCAATACACAATGCTGAGTCCCATACTAGAAGAAAATGGTTGCCCAGTACTTCTACGTTTTCAATAGTGGTCTAGCGTAAATGGACTTGTGATTTCAACTGTGAAAATACAACGATTTCCACAAATCCCTTATACTAAAAACGAAACAACGCGGTTATGACTGCCTGGAAGTATTTTGTTTCAAAGCATAGGATTTAAGAAATAAATAATAGTGGAAAAAAATAAAAGCAATAACCTTGCATCTTTTCGTCTGGGATCATTGAATGTCGATGTTTTAGTATTATGATCAACAAAAAATGGAAATCCTTCAGTTGTATAACGAATTTCCCAACCAGGAGGTAATGGATGACCTTGTATACGAGGATCTTCCCATTGAGAGATTCGACTAACATGATTAACAAAATACGAACGGCCAGATATGTCAACACGTCGTTCTAAGAAGGTTAAAAAAGGATTTATAAACACACTACCTAAATAATGTCGATTTTTCGGATTTTAAAAAAATATATAGATGTAAAACTGGATTGTGATTAGCAGTGGAATCTATAATGGTCATTTTGTCCCACATGGGAGTCATCAGTCGGCTAGGCATACCTGAACCAGAGTGTTGTTGATGTGCACACTGGTCAGTCAGTCAGTCAGCTACAACGTAGGACCAGGCACATATGTGCATCGGTCCAGGTTGCCATACCGCATCAGCACAACAAGATGAACACCGGATTCATAGGAGTGGTTAGGTCAAAGGTAGTAATATGTAAGAGAAAGATTGCATATAGAGATATAGTACAAGAAGAAAGAATTAACTCGTAGAAAGAAAGATATGAAGCGATTTTAATCTCTCAGTTTAAGGGAAGACAGGGAGTGTATACACCGACGCCATTGTGATCGATTCTGAGCCATGTCACCAAGAGTCTCCAATCATTGGTTACGATAGTCACGCGGACCCCAACCAAGTAGTCTGCATCTACCAACATGGCTCAGACTAGAAGTTAGTGACTTCAAGCACTGATGCCACGTTTTGGTTTGGCCGCCCCTAATTCTCTTCTAACCATCTCCAATACCGGATAGCATTGCACGTCGTGGTAATCGGTATTCAGGCATACGTAACACGTGGCTCAACCATCTCAGTCGATGAAGATTCACAACCTCATCAACTGATTTACCATCATTCCCTAATACCCTGAGTTTAACCTCACTATTACTTACCCGGTGATCTCAACAGACGCCAGCAATACTTCTAAGGTATCTGTGGTCAAATACTAGTAGCTTACGAGTATCCTCTACTCTTAATGGCCATGTTTCGCTGCCGTAAAGTAAGACAGAACGGACTGCCGCGCAGTATACTCGTCCTTTAATTGATAGACGGATATCTCGCCTTCGCCATAGGTGACGTAAGTTGGCAAAAGCCAAACGAGCTTTTCGAATCCGTGCTGAGATTTCGTCCGATACCAGCCCATTAGGGCTGATCAGACTTCCAAGATAAGTGAAGTTGTCAACGCGTTCGACCACTTCACTCCCTATCCTTAGTTCAGGTGTTAACGCAGACCAGTCCTGAAGCAACAACTTGCATTTAGAGGGAGAGAAGCGCATTCCAAACATTCTGGCATTGTTGCTCAGTGCTACCAGAAGACTCTGCATTTTGTCAGCGCATTCACCAAACAGGACTATGTCATCTGAGTATTCTAAGTCGATAAGTGGACCTCCTGGTAGGAGATCAATACCCGAGAACTCAGTCGACGAGAAAGTTATTTCCATCTGTAGAATCCAGTATTTTCCGATTTTTTCGGTATGGTTTGAATCCTCTGAGCTAGATGCTTTGACTGCAGAGCTTTTACTGTTGCTTTAGACATCATCAGCATCTTGGTTATTCCATGAGTTTTAGCCTAGTTTGTTCTGGTATCCTTGAATGTTATTGGTTAACCTATCAGGTTTCATTATCTTTAGCTGTCCTAATACTTAAGTCAACTATTTTGTTCCGTTGACCTACAACCAGGTTGTTGATTGATCGTTTCAGTTCAAATGCTAACGAGTTATCAGATTAGTTACACTTACAGTGTTTGAATCCCGGAGTGAACGTCAACTCTGAGATGCAGGTATACTCACTTGGCAAGTCCCAAATAGGACGAAATGTGAGGCCTGTATTTCACTACTAGCTACATTCCATCTATTCTATGCAAACTATTTTGTTACGACTAAAATCAAAGTCGCTAGGAATTTTTTTGGTGAGATGATTGTACGGCCAAGAACTTATATTTGTTGGTTTCATGCTATACAAGGATAAATTTAATATTTAGGGAACTATTTTTTAGTGCAAAACACATTGTACAAGTTCGTCCACATCTCATACCAGTCACATTTTACATAAATCCTCGAAGGTTAGTGATTGGTACTAGTCAGCTGCCCAGACCACGGTAGTCACACTCGCATAAGAGGTTCTGAATAGGTCAGTCAGTCAGTCAGCTACAACGTAGGACCAGGCACATATATGCATCGGTTCAAGTTGCCATACCTTATCAACACAACAAGATGAACACCGGATTCATAAAAGTAGTTAATTCAGAGGTGGTAATATATAAAAGAAAGATTGCAGTAAGGATATAGTACAGGAAGAAAGAATTAACTCGTAGAAAGAAAGATATGAAGCGATTTTAATCTCTTAGTTTAAGGGAAGATAGAGAGTGTATACACCTACGCCATTGTGGTCGATTTTGAGCCATGTCACCAAGAGTCTCCAACCATTGGTTACGATAGTCACGCGAACCCCAACCCCAAGTCCGAATATGTGCTATACAATTAATTGAAAATGGAGCGAGCGTTACTCATTTTATTGATACACAATGCCTTAGTGGTTGAAGCAATCGAATTACACTTTGGACAAACCAATCATATCTTCTCAAACTTTCATAAAACTAAACTATTTCTATACATAGTCGGCAATTTAAAAAAAAGATAAATTTACCCCAGTTAGCTGGTAAAGGACCTAATGGATCCATTACACCACCAGTTGAAGTATTTGTTCGTGAACTAGCGTCTAGTGGTTCTGATTCACCTAAATTCCAAACAGCATTCGCATAACGTTCATTCATTCGTTGTTGCATAATACCATTTCGTGAAGCAGTCATTTGTTGATAATTTTGTACTGTATTTAAAAGTGTTTGATTTGGACAAAGCCATGTTGTAGTTCGAGTATTATGATCGATATAATATACTCGTCCAACATTATCTGTTCTTCGTTCCCATCTATAACAAAAATGAAAAATATGTCTCTTCTAAAAGAATTTAAATGTTAATTTTCTCAAATTATACAAGTTTCTTTTTAACGAAATTCTATTCAAAGTAAAATTGGGCTATACTGGGAAAGGACTTTGACACCTCAAAACGTCTCAGCCAATCAGAAGATAGATACAGAAAAAGAATGATTTACGATTGGTTTGGAATCAGGGTTTTCCAACTCCCGCAGATGGACTCTCCGTGTCCACCAACCCGGTTAAATCGCCAGACATTCGCTTTTCGTCCTCTCAGTTCCGTAAACAACACCCTCACCACGAGAAGGCAGTGAGTAGGACTTCCCTGGCAGAGGCTATATACGCGCGGTCATGTGAGAGCATTTGGAGAGGGAGAGGGGAATTTCCTCACTCTCGGCCGTACCAGTGCATTTGGGGGCACGAGCAAAGTTAGGCGATGTAGTCCCATGGTAACCGGTGACTTAAAGTAGCTGTAAAAATCTGGTTTTTGGACCAATGGCGCAAACAGTTCCAGAATCGTGAAGAAATGAATGGCGAACGAACCTACTTTGGCCACATGTTACCATGGGACTATATCTCCTAATTTTGATCCAATGACTCATGAATTAGTCTTCTGTGTCTAAGGCATGGGTTTGAGCGTCTGGGGAGTAATCCCGACTCACATACAAATATGACGATGATTATTAATAAACGATTGTCTAGATTAATACTGAGGTCAGGATGTAGGGAACTAAGTAAAAGGTGACAAATTGATTGACGAAGCCTATAACCTTTCATAAACTGAGTTGTTTGGAACAAATGCTACATGTTTTATCCAATTTCCATATGTTACAAGTGTTCATGTCGAGTGTAATTCAATAAAAGCCGAACACACAAAACCTATATATATATATATATATATATATATATATATATATATATATATATATATATATATATATATATATATGTATATATATATATATATACGTATTTATGGACCATACTGGCACACTAACTACTTCATATAAACAAACACACACGTGATAGGGTAGCACTTTGTCAACCAATTATAAACCCTTTCGCAAAGAAAAAAACTAATGGTGAACTTACCCAGGCGGAAGTGGAGTAGGTTTACACCATGTTGTTGTTTTTGTTAAATGATCCACATAATATATTCGTCCTTCTGAAGTATATTTAGCTTCCCAACCAGGTGGTAACGAGGAGTCATTGGCATTCTCTGTGTTATTATTATTACTACTGTGATTAGCAGATGGGTTTAAAGTTGGTCCAACCCCGCCACCACTGTCTACCAAGTGATTATTCATCGTACGGTCAGTAGACGGTGATCTTACTGTAATACTTGAAGTTGATTCTGATTGTGATCCAGAAGTATGACGACCATTAACCTTGGACAAAGAAAGATTAGAATACAATTATTAGATCACCATAACAGATGAGTAGATTTTTAATTAATGTTTTTTTCAGTACACATTAGCTAGTTCATTTAATACCCCAATCAAAACACTACATATATAGGGCCAATTAAAATTATATGTAGGAAATATCGATCAACAAATGAAATCAATTTATAGGCCATTACAATTATAATAATAAGTTGATCAGCAGTCAATAAATTCACATGACAACAAAAAAGGTGAACGAACTGATCAATTAACAAACGCACACACGTATGGAACGTGTTATGATGGTCGGTGTCCGAGATCTGATACTATACAACGTACTATGCACTAACCGACCCCCTCCCCCCCAAAAAAACTGACGACTTGAGCGAGAACACAAGAATGGAAGACGAAGCCTCTTGGGCTACAGGACAATATGAATAAATTCTCGTTTATATGTGTTTACATTTGTACCCCTTAGAAAACTGATCCACTTCCTAGCCAATGATATGCATTTGTCCACTTCAGATTGGCTCACTATATATATCAGAACGAATGTGATGCAAGCTTTGCGCTGAAGTTATGAAACACTTATAAGCACCATTACTGCGGTATAAGGTGATGGGCAGAAGAATTTTTTTTCTTGTGACAAATTACAAAGCCTTTACATAATACGTATACGTAGCCTTCGATCGTCCGTTTGTACCTTGAGATGTGTTCTGCAATCAGAACTATCTTCTCGTCTGGTCATCATTAGGTGTTCTGTCTGCACAGTGCATTCGATATACAGAAACTTTACTCTACGTCTAAAGACCGTGGCAACTTCGACGCCACGTTCTGCTACATACTACTTACAAGCAACCTTGTGAATAGCATCCACCAAACGACCACTACCTATCTATCCTATGACAAAGTGATCGAAGTGATATACGTAATTATTTTAAAAACGTGTGTTTATCATAGGTGAATGACTCAATTGAAATTTAATGGATTGATTATTGAGTAAACGTGATGACTGAAGTCATGATCGTTCAGTTATTTGGTGCTGATCTAATTCTATCAATCAAGCTGTAATGAGGCCAGTGATTTAAATGACTTGATATTGTACACACTGTTTTGATATGAAGTGATTGGGATTACTCGAAAGGAAACCCTTTCCTTAAACCGGATTGGTACTCGTTACATCCTTAATGACTGCAGGTACGTCTTGTTGGCCAGGGAACATGAATATCTCAGTTCTACAGGAGGTTGGTCTCGGCCCTAATAGAATACACTGTGAGCTGTGCGATACGAGTTTGAATCTCACAGGGTGAAGCACCAAGCTGCCTAGAAATTCTAGGTACGGTTCAATGACAAGTAGTGAACATCACGAAACATGAAGTCAAAATTATGACATCAGTTTATGATAGCAATCATCCAGTTAAAACCATGCATTTTGCCATATGATTTAAATGAACATCAAAACATTTTTTGTTTGGTAAAGACCAATTATTAACCCATACAAACTATTGATCAGCATAAAATAACTATTGAAGTACAAGTTTATGCACTCAGCTTTAAATCACGCTTTTAATGTGTAAGAGTCAGTGATACTCATTACAACTACTAAGGTACCTAAATCAGAGCGAGTGAAACAGGATTTAAATATTTAGCTTAACGGTTAAAAGTGGCGATTTTTAATGATTAAGCAAAGCCTCATTTCACAGCTCGATCGCAGCTACTAACTTGACGTTATGGTTGGGACAGGATATCGTAATGACTCAATCAAATTAACGTAGATGTAACACCTATTGATTTAGGCACTACCACAATCCCAGGTAGACCATTCAGAGAGAGAGAGAGAGGCAAAACTAAAAGCATCAAAATTATGGTACGACAGCGGATTTGTATTACCGATTCTACATGGATGTGATATCAATAGTGTTCCCCTTAAATACCTAGCATCCTCAGCGATACTGTCTTTCCACAATGGAACAAAGGAGGTTAAAAAGGCTCTAACATAAACCACGTTTTTCAAAACTGGTGACCAATTTATGGTGAAAATAATGTAGACAACTTTCTGGTTATCAAAGACGATAGCTCAATTGACTGTTGTTACAAATTAGAAGTAGACTTATTAATCTAACCAGTTAGTCATAGATGATGTACAATCTTGGACAATACCGCATTGATTAAAGTTGTCACTTAACATAATAAGCAGATAGATGAAATTATCAAGACCAATGTCAGAGTAACAGAAGTTTATAAATAGACAACATGATTCGAAAAGAATGAATCAATGGCATAAACAGTATGAAATGATTCAAAAGCTCCACATCTAAAGGACAATAAGGAGTGAGTACATCTGCACCACTGTGATCTATTCTGCATCACATCGCATAACATCTCTAAACATTGTTTATGATAATCAAGTACTCTTTATCTACCAACATGGTTCATTCCTACAGTGAATGACTTCGTGGACTGATCCTATGGTTAATTTTAATTCCGCTTAGTTTTCTTCTAACCCACTTCTAATTCAACCGATATTGTGTCTATTACATGAAAAGGATAGGAATATGGGTTCAATATAAATTTTCACAACAACTAAATAACTGCTATATATTTGATTAAGGATTTTTAAATCAGTTTCAGTAGTACAGACACATTTATTTATCTTCCTATAAACCTTGAATTTAAACAATATTATTTCACCCTTTTTATTCATATATATATTGTTCGAGGCTTGATTTTTTGCCCTGGTACGGCCAAGAGTGGGAAGAGTCAACTCTCCCTCTCCAAATGCTTTCACATGGCCATGTCAGTCAGTCAGCTGCGATGTAGGACCAGGCACATATATGCATCGATACAAGTTGCCATACCTTATCAACACAACAAGATGGACACCGGATTCATAAAAGTAGTTAATTCAGAGGTGGTAATATATAAAAGAAAGATTGCAGTAAGGATATAGTACAGGAAGAAAGAATTAACTCGTAGAAAGAAAGATATGAAGCGATTTTAATCTCTCAGTTTAAGGGAAGACAGGGAGTGTATACACCGACGCCATTGTGATCGATTCTGAGCCATGTCACTAAGAGTCTTCAACCATTGGTTACGATAGTCACGCGAACCCCAACCCCAAGTCCGAATATGTGCTATACAATTAATTGAAAATGGAGCGAGCGTTACTCATTTTATTGATACACAATGCCTTAGTGGTTGAAGCAATCGAATTACACTTTAGACAAACAGACAGAGAGTGTATACACCGACGCCATTGTGATCAATTCTGAGCCATGGTTATGTGCATACAACCACCGACAGGGAAGTCCCATTCACAACACGAGTGCTGTTTACGAAATCGAGAGGATGAAAAGCGAATGTCCAACGCTTTGAACGGGTTGGTGGACACGGAGAGTTCACCTAAAGGAATTGGGAGACCCAGATTCTAAACCAATTGTGCACATAGCCTCCAGTATCCCGAGAGAACAAATGGTGTATGAACCTATTGGTGGTCACCGTCTACCATAGGACTGCATCTACTGACGTTGCTCCACTGTCTTGTGGATCAGATCTTTAGGTCGAAGGCTCGGGGAGTGGCCTCCCTAAGAAAACCACCTGCTTCGGTTTAGGCACCCAGGTAGTATCACAGCCCTCACACATATCGAATGAAATTTGTGTGGCGCATATGTATCTGGTGCCCCCTTGTACCAATATCTATGTGTTAAAATAAATAAATAAGAAACCACAAACACACCTTTACATGTTAATGCGATATAAAATATTACACAAATGAGATTAACCTTTTCCCCTAAACTCTATATTACGGTGTACTTTATTCAATGTACGCAAAGAAAATGGACACTTAAATCTATTGAAGAATACTTAAGAAAAATGTGATCTTTGCTGATGAAGTTCCTGATCATGATGATGACGATGTCCTCATAAATGTTTATCCATTAAATAGTATTGTGAAAAACCTTTTGTGCAAAATTCCCAGTTGATCTTCAGCGTGAACTAGATATCCTATCTTGAGAACAATTTAAAAAACTAGGAAGAGCTGGATGGGTGTTTGTTACAGTTGAACAAAAGACAATGCGTCTAAATGATCATTACACATGACCGAATCTAGGACGCTTATGGACAGTCAGTCAGCTACGACGTAGGACCAGGCACATATATGCATCGGTCCAAGTTGCCATACCTCATTAGCACAACAAGATCAACACCAAATTTATAGAAGCAGTTACTTAAATGGTAGTAATATATTTTTTTAAAAAGAGATTGTATATAAGGATATGATTCAGGGAGAAAGAATTAGTTCGTAGAAAGAAAGGTATGACGTAATTTTAATCTCACGGTTTAAAACAGAAAGTGTATACACCTACGCCACTGTGACCGATTCTGAGTCATTTTACCCAAATTCTCCAACCATTGGTTACAATAGTCGCGCGGACCGTAAACAGGTAGTCTGCATCTACTAACATGGCTCAGACCAGAAGTTAGTGACTTCAAGGGCTGATACCACGTTTCGGTAGACGCTTATGGAATACATGCTCACTTCACTAAATTCATGATAATAACAATTGTAATGTTTCTTATTTAATGGTGGTTTATTGTTCCATCCTCAATTGATATGACCTCACACATAACAAACACACCTCAAAAGAACCTCAGAAATATTTGTACCTAACGTGAGGGTAAATTTCTATCGCCAGTTGAAATTATCTCTATGTTTTTCAACTTAAAATTGGATCAGTCCGTAATTTCAATGATATTCAACAACCCCACTCTGACCAATACCATACGCACACTAGTGACTATCTTTGAAAGGAAATTTAGGGAGTTCTAGTGAAAAGTCATGATCAGTGGTGATAATCCATCTCCACTATGAGACATTCGCCCAACTAACACAATCGAAAATCATCCTGCAATATTCTTCATTGATTCAAGTTACACTTCTACACTCATTGAGTCTCGGCTCAAAGGTCTACAGGTTAAGCATTCACGTGTCAGATCGAAGGTCTTCAGTTTGATTCCATGTTGTGGAGTCGTGGATGTGCACTGATGAGGAATTCCAAACTAGGATGAAACGGCCGTCCAGTGCTTTCAAGTTTTTAATAGTTTGATCGGTTCGTGGTTTTATTTTAGAAATGAACTTTCAATGCACGATAAAATTCTTTTAACCACCTCAAAATATATTAGTAATCACAATCTGTAAGAAATAAGAAAGATGGGTAAAATTCCTTCCTACATTATGAAATGATTAACTTACAGAATTGGCTGTTATTCTGGATATTGATCTAGACAAATGTTGAGCTAATAATGCACTGCTTAAATCACGTATTGGCACAGAAATTGACAAATCAATACTGCCTAATGAACTCGATGAAGAAATAGTAGAATTATGCAACCATGGAAGTGGTTTAATTGGTTGTGAAAATGCCAAATTGCTCACTGAAAGAAAACAGAGAAACAACAACTAATATGTAGTTGGCAAGAATAATGCAACTTAGAAAAATGTGAACAAATTCAAAGAACTAAGTAATTATAAATCAAATGTATGGTGTGAAAAACAATGAGACTAACCAACTATTACAACTACTATTATTACTATCCTAGTGATGTGAGTTAGAATTGTAGATGTACTTAAGTTGTATCTCCCCCGTTTAGATTTCGAATTCCAGTATTCCTTCATACGAACAAACCATTTATCATTATATCTTACTAAATTATAATTCAAATGTTTAACATGGTTAAACATGATTCTTATTATAATTGCTCGTACGTCTAGTTCAATTTATTAAATATTCATCCTTATTTTAATGTCAATTTATAGTGTTGGTATGGGATATGAGCTACTTGGACTGACTAAAATGACTATCATGATCAAAGTAATTTATAGACATTCAAGTCTATGAACATTAAGGTATTCAAAATTGAATATCCCCACAAAGTAAAATTGTTGATTTGTTAAATAGTAAATAATTTAGCGATTACAGGCACATATATGCATCGGTCCAGGTTGCCATACCTCATTAGCACAGCAAGATGAACACCGGATTCATAGGAGTGGTTAGGTCAAAGGTGGTAATATATAAGAGAAAAATTGCATATAAGGATACAGTACAGGAAGAAAGAATTAGTTAGTAGAAAGATATGAAGTGATTTTAATCTCTCAGTTTAAGGGAAGACAGGGAGTGTATACACCGACGCGATTGTGACCGATTCTGAGTCATGTCACCAAGAGTCTTCAACCATTGGTTACGATAGTCACGCGGACCCCAACCAAGTAGTCTGCATTTACCAACATGGCTCAGACTAGAGGTTAGTGTCTTCAAGCACTGATGCCACGTTTTGGTTTGGCCGCCCCTAATTCTCTTCTAACCATCTCTAACACCCGTTAGCATTGCGTGTCGTGGTAATCGGTGTTCAGGCATACGTAACATGTGGCCCAACCATCTCAGTCGATGAAGATTCACAACCTCATCAACTGATTTACCATCATTCCCTAATACCCTGAGTTTAACCTCACTATTACTTACCCGGTGATCTCAACAGACGCCAGCAATACTTCTAAGGTATCTGTGGTCAAATACTAGTAGCTTACGAGTATCCTCTACTCTTAATGGCCATGTTTCGCTGCCGTAAAGTAAGACAGAACGGACTGCCGCGCAGTATACTCGTCCTTTAATTGATAGACGGATATCTCGCCTTCGCCATAGGTGACGTAAGTTGGCAAAAGCCAAACGAGCTTTTCGAATCCGTGCTGAGATTTCGTCCGATACCAGCCCATTAGGGCTGATCAGACTTCCAAGATAAGTGAAGTTGTCAACGCGTTCGACCACTTCACTCCCTATCCTTAGTTCAGGTGTTGATGCAGACCAGTCCTGAAGCCCATTCCAAACATTCTGGCATTGTTGCTTAATGCTATCAAAAGACTGCATTTTGTCATCGTTTTCACCAAACAGGACTATATCATCTGCGTATTCTAAGTCGATAAGTGGACCTCCTGGAAGGAGATCAATACCCGAGAATTCAGTCGACGAGAATGTTATTTCCATCAGTAGGTCTATGATGAAGTTAAACAGAAATGGAGAAAGTGGACAGCCTTGACGGACACCACTTGAGGTTGCAAAAGCAGATGACAGTTCGCCATAAGCTCTGACTCGACTGGTAGTGTTCGAGTAGAGAGCCTTCACAAGGTTTATCTACTTCTGAGGTACGCCTTCCAATGACAGACAATAAGTAAGACAAAACAATGATTGTAAATGTGATTTAAGCATAAAATAATCAACGTTTTCATGGTGAGTTTTCTTCCTTTTTTTCAGTTCCATCTAACAATCTATTGCAAAGATATGGATCTCAATAACTGATATAATTGGGTGAATCATGTTGAAATATAACTTTTGAAACTATCATACTGAGGTGTATTATATTGGTTGTTCGAATTTTCCGATTGATGTTTAGGACCGTAATTGATACATCCTGTACGGATTACCTCGATATTACCACTAAGTCACAAGCATTTTAAGCAGAGATGGATGGTGGTTAGAAGTGGAATTCAAGATGTGTGTTTTATCCTATTAGGGACTTCAGCTGTATGTACCTCCATTCTAGAGTTGATGTTTACTAGGGGACTCCAACGCAGTACGGTTTGCTTCGAACGCCACCACGTTATCTACTTAACTATTGAGTTAATATAGCCACTGGATTATAATATTAAGAATTATTATTTAAATTTTTTATTGTTTAATAATTAGAGGCTTAAACTGTTGTGTTATAATCATTGCCGATTTCTAAGGTTTCGTTCAACCTATAAATCATTATCATACCTTTAATTGTTCTAGATTGATCAATAATTAATTATTCCCCTATTACTCCGGTTTGTATCATTTATATCTTAATTATGCACATAGTGCAATTTTCTAATAATGTTGTTATTTGATCGAACATTTCAAGTATATTTTTGTATGAGCTTTGAGTCACAATTGAATTGAGTACAACAGAGAATTGATCTGCTTTTTACCTTTGTCTTTTGACTGGCCACTTAGTTAGGATGAACTTGACGATTGATTAGTGTTAAAGTTGTTGCTGTTCATTGGTAAATAGGTCACCGGTTCTCCTGGCAATATAGGTGAACTAGCCGATAAGTCGGACTGGAAAAAGAAATCATACTACTGCCTGCGAATTCAGATAACAGTAGTAATATGTCCTCACCTTAACTAATACAGGTGAGGCAACTAATAAGGAAGATGTACTTTTTAAGAGGTGTTATTACAGAACAAAGGCAGAGAGAGACTACACGGTGAAACAGATGCTATTGTGAATGAAAGTATCATGAGTACCAAAGATCATACAGCCTATATGTCCCAGTCAATCTACCCAACTAATATACAAGCATGAGCTGTGAACAGCATAATAAAACTTTCCCACGCAGCTTTTAGATTCTTTCTCTGACATTCCACTTGATCACCGAAAAACTCAAGTGATCTTAAGCCTAGACATTTTTACTTCCGTGCCACTACATTTCTTTCGTAGTACCCTCATCAAAAGTAAAGGATGTAGCCATGGTTCCAGAACACGAAAAAACAAAACCCACGATAGTTGAAGGAACAGAACGTCGTCTAATTTGGTTTGAACAACCGGATGTGATATCATATAAGGTATCACTTAGAAAACAATTTTTGGGAACAGGGTGAAAACAAGAGATCAACGTTATACTGACTCAATGTAGTGGGTGCTTCCCAGTCACATATTATTGATCGTTTCCTGATATATATCTATGGTCAACAAATTCAGTAGTTCAGTTCGTATATTTATTGAAAAGATGATAGATATAAAGCTTTTTTCTTAGTCATTTTACGGGTAAATTTCTCAACTGAAGAATTTACAGCAACGACAACGTCATGGACACTTGAAGTGATTAGAAAACTGTACATTATTACGTATTAATAGTATGAGCTACATTTTTCGCATACTACAAAATTGATTACAGGTGTTTTTCATTGAATTTGACTCAGTCTAATTTGGGATATGCATGCATCCCTCAATATAGTCATTTTATGACAAGTCTATGTAGAATAGATGGAATGTAGTTAGTAATGAAATCCAGGACGTATGTTGCGTTCGATTTTAAACTCGTTAGCTAAATGTGCCTGCATTTCAGAGTTGACGTCTACTTCAAAATCCAAAATAAGTACAACTCGCTTTAAACAATATAAAAACTTATGACGCAATGGCCATATAGAGGCAACCTACAAAGTATGCATACATGTGCGAACTAAGATGGATTAAAATTAAAACACAATATCAACAATGGGAAAACTTAAAAACGATTACAAATTGATTTGCGACAGTTTAGCAAATTGACTGAGTTTCTGAAACCAGAAACTACTAAGTAGTTGTTTGAATATCATGTACATACAACACAAAGAAAATAAGAAATGAAGATGATAGACACCGATGATAGTGACAAGGGGCAGTAATTGAACTTACATTGATTCCCATTGGTAGCTGCAACACTGCGAACAGTAAATCGACCATATCCAACTTCAGTACCTTCATCACGTTTACTATCACGTACAGAAAGACGAAATTCTATAATACTATCAACATCAGCTTTGAAACTGACAATTTGATCGAAATAAGGACGTGGACCACGTACAATAGGAGTTACATAGAATGGAATAGAATTTATAGCTGGTATAGCAGATGTTCCTGGTGGTAGGACTTCAGCAGTAAAATTAAATTTACACTTGTTTAGTTGTACTCTAGCCAATGAATTCCAATCCAATGACTGATCAATATGTGCACGTTTAACTGAAATAAGTTATACGTCATTAAAATACAAATTGGTTGAAAAAAAACTTAAAAGCAACGTACACCAAAAGTTACAGCATCAATTGTAACCAATATGACATTGGTTGACTACTGAACTGTGTGACCTGAATGGGTTCATAGAGAGGGGAGTGTCAGTGTTCACTTGAAAACTGTAGATACACATTTCGCTTATTAACGAGGGTCAGGACGAAAAACACCTGTGTCCTGCTAACAGTTTTTCCAACAATCTAAATGAAAACTAACAGTTATACATACACGCACACAAATGCAGATCTGGCTGTTAAGGGGGAAAATGAGAAAGGGATAATATAACAACTGAATAACGGTAGTAGTAATTCAGGCGAATAATACTGATAAGTGATTAAATCAAATACTTGTTTAATGAAAATCTCATATAAGCCTAACTGTCAATTGTACCCCTTTCCGATTTGTTAATTATTGTTACATCATTTAACGATCGATAACTGAGTTAATTAACAATGAATAAGTTGCTCACTTCTTGCAATAAAAAGTCAACCTACTTATCTATCTATTGGAATTTATAGATTTTGGTACGTTGTAATTATGGTGTTTTATGTGAATTAAAAATCGGAGAAACGCATATGAAATAGATGAATAATGGTTAATAGTGGAATAATGAGAGTGTGTTCCATTCTATCGGCGACCAAGATTGTAGTGTTGATGTTCAGATCGGGACTGTTAGTCATAATTTATCAAACCCTTACACAAATAATGACGTGAAAATTAAACATTTGTTATGGGATTGTGGAAATTATTAAATTTCATAGATATCATGAACTGATACAGGTTAGACCACCACTGAAACCCTAGAAGCACCGAACGACTACTTCGCCCTAGAATGGGACTCCTTGACAGTGCGCATCCACGATTCTGCACACAGAAACCGAACGCTTGATTTCTAGACCACTGAGCTGGTATCTAACGGTGTTGACGTCTAACCCCAACCAGACCACGATACCGCACAACAATCTTCTATTATCTTTTCATGTGCTCATTAGTGACTAGTTTCGAGAGGAAATTTAGGGAGTTCTAGTGAAAAGTCATGATCAGTGGTGATAATCCATTTCCACTATGAGACATTCGCCCAACTAACACAATCGAAAATCATCCTGCAATATTCTTCATTGATTCAAGTTACGCTTCTACACTCATTGAGTCTCGGCTCAAAGGTCTACAGGTTAAGCATTCACGTGTCAGATCGAAGGTCCTCAGTTTGATTTCATGTTATGGGGTCGTGAATGTGCACTGATGAAGAACTCCAAACTAGGATGAAACGGCCGTTCAGTGCTTTCAGTTTTTTAATAGTTTTCGGAATTTGATCAGTTTATAATTTCGATGAAAAATTAGATATTTGTAACTATATTCTTAATTAGTTATTTTTTAAAATTTGATTGCCTCACTCACCAAGCCAAGCTTTAAATGTGAAGGCTAACGATATTACCTAGTTAGCCGAACCGAAATAGGTGAAGAGGGACTTGATTCTGATACTCAGTAGCTAAAAGTAAACGCGTTTGAGAATGTTCGAGCGACGCTATTTCAGACAGTACTATTAAAGACTGATGACTTAATTCGCTTTTTTTCAAACGAAACGAACTGTGACAACTCGGATCGAGACATATATATATCACATGTCACGTTGTCTTCGATAAAATTTCCGGAGTGATGGTACAATCTAATTTATAATACATTTGATGTGAAGTAAGTGCATAGCATATGTGCAAAAATGGTACCTCAAACTTACCCACAAGTTTAATTTGAACTTCAGAAAGGCTTCCCCTCTCAGATGACATCTAGAGGAAAAATTATGGAAAACAAATTACTCTGCTAGATATGATGAGAAAACCATTAATATCTAACTTGTATGTCACTATGCAAATACGAGAAATGGTTTTAGACCTGGTTGTGGCTGCATCGACTACACATTCACCATTCGTCAGATTTTAAAACACAGGCATGCTTATCGGCGTCTAATAATGATAGTTTTTCTTGACTTAAAAGCAGCATTTGAATCTGTAGACCGTAGGCTCTGTAGCGGTGTCTGTCGTTGAAAGACATACCTCAGAAGTACATAAACCTTGTGAAGGCATTTTACTCGAACACTAATAGTCGAGTCAGGGCTTATGGCGAGCTGTCATCTGATTTCGAAACCTTAAGTGGTGTCAGGCAAGGCTATCCAGCTTCTCCATATTTGTTTAACTTCATCATAGACCTACTGCTGAAAATAATGTTCCCGTCTGAATTTTCGGGAATCGATCTCTAACCAGGAGGTCCACTTTTCGACTTAGAATATGCAGATAACGTAGTCCTGTTTGGTGAAGACGCTAATAAAATGCAGTCTTTTGGTAGCACTGAGCAATAATGCCAGGATGCTTGGGATGCGTTTCTCCCCCTCTAAATGCAAGCTGTTGCTTCAAGACTGGCCTGCGTCAACACCTGGACTAAGGATAGGGAGTAAAGCATTGACGACATTTATATTGGAAGTCTGATCAGCCATAATGGGTTGGTGTCTGACGAAATCTTTGCACGATTCGATAAGCTCGTTTGGCTTTTGCCAACTTACGTCACCTATGGCGAAGGCCAGATATCCGTCTATCAATTAAGGGACGAGCATACTATGCGGCAGTTCGTTCAGTTCTACTTAACGGCTGCGAAACGTGGCCATTAAGAGTAGAGGATACTCGTAAGCTACTAGTATTCGACCACAGATGCATTAGAAATATTGCTTGCATCTGCTGGGATCACCATGTAAGCAATAGTGAGGTTAGACTAAGGGTATTAGGGAATGATGGCAAATCAGTTGATGAGGTTGTGAATCTTTATCGACTGAGATGGTTGGGTCAAGTATTACGCATGCCTAACCACCGATTACCACGGTGCACAGTGCTAACTAGTGTCGAAGACGGATAGAAGTTAAGGGCGACCAAACCATAACGTGACATCAGTCCACAAACCTTAATTTACCCGATGGATTACCTTTGCCGCCTGTAAAGCCTTAAACATACGGAAACTCAAATTATCAACAATTACTCCCAAAAAAGACCCTGGGTGATTGGCTTCAAGTATCTGTCCTTTTACTCAATAGTTATGCTATCAGATTGCTGACGCTACTGGTAATCCAGTTTTCGCCCTTACTAGGTGAAGAAGTGTTCTTCCACGTGTTTGGCAACCAGGAAGAGACAATCACCTACATAGCTCTAACAGCAACCTAAACCACCTCGTTCACGACTGAATTCCTCTCTCACTTCCTAATATTTCTCCTCTCCTTACTATCAACCCTTCTCCTACTTCCTCTCTACCCGAAACGTATCTTAAGACGTTGGCTCAGTCTACACACCCACTGACTGCAGTTTGGATGAAGTGATAAGTTCTACGGAAAGCCTTCAAACCTTCAGAGGCATAAACCGTCAAACGTAGTAATCGTAGCAGCTAATGTTAATGTCCGAGTAGGTAGTTTAAACCAAACTGAAAGACATTCAAGTGAGTCTTAGAGTGTCCCACTTCAGCGAATAGACACTTATGATCGCCTGGTACAAATATACTTAAATAACCGTTTATTTTTAGCAACCACTGACTTTGGGCACAGACATCGTCTAACATGCAACTCTCTGTCGGTTCTTAATGAGGCTGAAGCTAACCTAAACCGAGAGAAATTGGCGGCTTCTGATAGGCAGAATTTATAGGTTTTTGAGAACAGTAGTCCAGTCTTGGTAGCCAAACTGAACAAAACGGCGAGACTATAATTTATGGACGAAGCAATCATATTTGGGATAACAGATCTTGTATTTCGGCGCGAAATCTATCCGTTTATTTGGTTAAAGAGTGTTTTGGCATTTTATCTTACGTCAGTTCGTGATGAAAATTCTAAATCTAATTCCTAACCCTAACCATCAACTGTAAATCATAGTCCTTATTCCTCACATGTTTATAACTCACATTTAGCCCTAGCAAGTAGGTGAACATCCTCAAGGTCACTTTGGCATCGCTCCGAGGTAGTCCATAAATTATAGTGTCACCAGAGAAATACTAGCTATGGTCTGGAAAGTGGACCTAAGGATGGGAATTTTCTTATAACTAGAAAGGAGTTAGTTTTGTGAATGACGTCTTGAAGATTTTCATAAAATAAGGCTTGTGAACAGAAAAGTCTGAGCTGAATGGTTTGGTCGTAGAGTTTTCATCGTTCTTCTGAACAACATCATCAGCACAAACTTCAAGTAGAATTGAAGCGTTCGAATTTCTTTACATAAGACTCCCAGCCTGTCCTGTACACCTTAATCTTAATTGGTTATTGTTTACCTTAAACTTGTCGTTGTCTACTTTATTTCGACCGTATCTCCTATTGATTTGACTTTTTGGTCTTATATTTGTCCACAATTTTCCTGATTGGTTGATAAATTGGCTAGATTTCAATGTGTTTGTTGATTGCTGGTTGACCTGAGTGCCAATCTTCTAAAGGTTCTCTGATGATTTTAGGATTCCCTCTAAGATCCCAACATTTTCCAAGTTGAATGTATATCCACAGTTGTCCATACAAATTGATATAAGCGGGGATATATCATGGCGTTTGACCGCTAATTGATGTTCGCCTGCACGAACATTAATTGTTTCAAAACCAGATCCGAGTGTGCAATTATTTGTCTCACACTAAACGTTTCGATACATTCTACGGTTTGAGCCACTATCAACTACAGGGTTATTACCAAACCTCAAAGTTACCACCATTTTCGCAATATTTGCGATCCATGTGCAAATAATGATACAAAAGTTGACTTGATGTAATCACTACACAAACATACCACAATACACTGAAATTTCGAGTTCCATTAACAACACTGTGTAACCGGCCTACACCGATTCATTAACACTATAGAACAAACGAAATGAACGATTTACTTCCACGTAACAGTTTAAGACAATAAACAAATACACAAAATCAAAGGACGAAATGAGAGATTATTTACAAGATAAAAAAAATTGGTCCGTCTTAATCACTGAATTTCGTGTTTCGGAATTCAGCTACCTCATATATATCAACCAAGAAGCTAAATAAGAGAAAGGTAATTTTGCATCGGGACAACATCGTAGGACTATTAACGACATTGTGATAATGATCGCTCATTATATGAACCATTAAAGATCTAAATTTGCTTCAACACTTTGTTTCGGATTCAAAGTCCCAAAAAAAGGAGCATCTGAAATCCAAGAACCTTTCTGGTTACGAAAAATATTGCTTACAGTACTGAAAATTAGGTACCACTAAGTAGAAAGTTCCGAAGGTCTTTCAACAAAGGGCTACCATCACAATAATAGAGGAAAATCCTGTGTACTATGTGAGAAAAGATGCCGTTTTGAATTGCAGGACTATTTCAGTAACTTTCTTGAGAATATGATTATCGAGTGATGGAGTTTTGCACGCCTATATATTACGGAATTTACAACGTAAGGGACAGATAAACCCGATCACACCAATTCCTTTAAAGGCCATGATTATGAACAGTGTGAAACGTACCGTATACATCAGAGTATTATTTGTGAAGAATGCTGGTGGTGCAGAAATCTATGGACGACATTCAAATGACCCTTAGAAGCTTCAATGGCCTAATAAGTCTACAACAAATTTAGAATTAGTATTAGGAGTTAGGAATGAGGGTTGAAGCTTTTTTATTTACGAACTTATACAAACTATATTGGTATTTAGCAATATGGATGGACGTAATTACACACAACTTAATCCCATATGGGATTATTTACAAGGCCTAAGGGTATTTACTGTTAATAATCCCCGCATTCCTATACAGTTTAATTGGTCGGCATGTGAAATATGGCAACAAATAGGCTTCAGCGCAAAAGTCCTAGATACTAGAATTACTAGCCTTCATATAGCATGATGTTTTGAACAATATTATTCAAAACACGCTATGCATCTCATCAGGAATTAGAGTAAATTAAGTTGAAAAGTAGACAACTACCTCTTAGTAGATTGAATTCAGTTAAATCCCTTAGTGTCCAGATAAACGTTGAAAATTCCCAAAAAATTTTAAAACACTACCTAAATCAAAAGCCCACCATATCCAAAGTTCAACCTCCGTCAATTACAACATTTAGTACCATAACCCGTCAACTGTATAATACATATGCAATTATTCGCTCTAGCAGCCTAATTCGAATGAGCTTTCCGTGCATTTGGAAATGATTTTCGATTTTCACATTTTTAAATAGGGTTTTCGACGAAACAGGTTCTTCAGGACCAGTTGTAACGTTACTAAGTTCTATGGTCACACATATTTGATGTGAAAGATGTAAAACATTGCCAATTGTAGGTGGATTTTGGTTATTTGGTGCTTACAAACGTCACTTGTATATGATAGATAAAACAAAGGGTTGTGTAAAATACCTTGAAGCAAGACGCTATCTGGTGGAAGAGAGGCTTGCATCCATTAGGTTCTTCGTTGTCCCAAATAGAGGTAAGTATATATTTGATTTGCACGGGTATCCACAACTGTTCAAAGTAACCTATGGAAGAGGCTGTGGTTCGTTCTAATGGAAGAACTTTCAAGGGAACGCTTATGACACGGCTTACTCCAATGACATTCAAGTCCTAGGTTAGAACTAGGATATAGCAACTGACACCGATCCAGTCTAGGGAAAGCGACATAAAGAGGCTTCTTACAAAATGCATATGGATACACGTTACGAACAACTTCTCGAATATACTGAGAATTACTATTGGGAAGAAATATGGCTCATTTGTCACATACTTTCCCGATAGATTTACGTGGGTGAGTGACTTTTCAAGTGAATCGATCTGTCCCATCAAAACGTCCACTGTGTGGCTGAGCAACCAAGGAAAGGGGATGGGCGTGGATTGGGAAACGAAAAAACATGTGAGGAGAACGAAGAGCAAGACAACATTCAAGATGCAAATAAAAAACATTATCAAATTCAATATTGTTGTATTACATCGGTCCATGAACTCACGACGAGTTATTTTAATTCTGTCAACTATCCATTGGCAAATTTATGGCTTTGTTACCTTCCAAAGCACTCCATGACCACAGGCTTAAGATCAAAAGTCTGATCTGAATTTTCTTATAGCCTTTTGATGACCGATCATGCGGCGGCAGCCTCTTCAATAACTGAGAGGACCTAGTTTGGTTACTGTTTCAAAGTCTTTAGTATTACTGAATATGTCCTTGATTGTTGGACCATTCTCTAACTTTCGGAACTGAATTATCATTGTCTAGATTTTTAGCCAACAAGGTTACAGCTGGACAATCACAAATTACAGTGGCTGTGAGAACATAAAGCAATCATATGAGAAAAAACTCTGCATGTTTTAATGTATTTATTGACTAAACGAAGATGGCATAACCTTTCCCATGGTGTTGATTCAAATATTTACCATGTTGACAGCAGAACACGACCACTATTTGCGTAATAACTTGGCTTGTAAATGTTATCTTCGTTGTTTAATGTAAAATACAGCTAAGGAAGAATGGTCAGTTGTCTGGAAAGTGTTTATCTTTTAGATCACATCACTGTAGTCTAGCATTTCAAAACACGTTTCACACGATCAACTCGCCCGAATTTTCGGTTTTTTAGTCTCCATTATTGGCTTCATTAAGATGAAACGACGAAAATACTAATAGTATATGTTTTCTGGATAACTTTGAGTATATTACGTTGACTATACATTATAGTCCCATAAATTACTTTTCAGATATGCATATTACATACAAAGGGAAATGAACACGAGGTATCATGGCGGTATAAGCCTACTCAATGAGAAATATGTGACTCAGATTTTACCTAGGGTAAATAGCAGATAGCCAACTACAGCACAGACGACAGACACATACTAAACAAACACATAGAGATCACATTATGAATAACAGGGCTACGAAGAAGCAAATGCACATGGGAAGGTCAATAAATACCAAACAAGATTATAAACACACATTTAATTGGCAGAGCTAAGTAGGTAAGAGTGGACTGGACAGGAATGTAACATGAACTGCTACAAGTTCGACTGATCAATTTATCACACTATTTATCTTTTGGTTTGTGCTATAAAAGTCTAAAATCAACTAGTCTCTTTCCGTTTGTTTACAATTTGTTATTTCAATGAGCAACCAAGTTCCGGCTTTAATCTCATTAATTCTTTTATCAGTCCCTTTCTTTTCAAAGTTGGTACTTTGAAATCGCCAGAAACTACTAATTTTCACCTGTCAGTTAAGGTAATTAAGAAAACTCGGAAAATTAGTTGCGTTTTCTTTCGCTGGTAAACAACCACATTAGTAAACTTTGCAAACATGATCAAACAAAGACTAAAGCACTGTATTGTGAGTTTAGATGTGTTCATCAACTACCCTCATAGTTAATGCAACTGGGACATCTCTCCGTCCGATCTCTAACAAACACAGGCCTCGCAAGACATTTACTGTAGCCACATGAAATCACTCACCCGGCCGGTTTTAAAGGCTTTAATGCTTAGGATCCCCAATGCTACACTCTTGTATAATCTTCATTTACTTGCCTCTTTGAATACTGCCTTCTGACAGTTCCACTTTCGTCTCTCAGGCTCTATTTGCTACATGAATCCTCATGAACTTCTAATCCCCTAAATCGAGGATGGTCCACCAGTCTGGACCGAGAGATACATTTTACTCCTCAATAACGTGATTGGTAAAGTTTCCGAACTCAGCTGAAATTCAAACCTCAGAATAGTGCCTAAAACATGACCGGACAAAATATGGCGAAAGTTAGAAGAATGGTGATACATAAGATCTGAAGTTGCCGCGCGATGTCGCTGATTAGATACGTATCTTAGTGGCTATCATCTCATCTAGCTGTGCATAAAACAACAGCACCTAACCTCTGCAAACTATCTCATCCTTCATATGCTAACCCAACTAGTCCTTTGTACTTGGTAAACACCCACTTCAGAAGCATCGAGGACCTGACTAGTAGGGGAATTGGAATTTTTGAGACAAAGGAAGTCACCAGAACCTGACAAAATTTACTTTAGTGTTTTTGATACGATACGTGAAAATCAGCTGGATGCTGGCATATACCATGTTTGTGAACTCAGCATAACTCAGTCAACCGGAAAAAGAGTGTAAGCACTCTATTACATTGTAGCGGTAAATAAATCCCCAAAATCAGTAGCTCTGTTATTCCTCGACATTTGATGCTGACCATATTAGTTTTAATGGTCTCACCTAGCTCAAGGCGCTCGGTCACGCATTCGCGCCAGATCACAGGTGGGAATGCCGTGCTCAACTTCTCATGCTACAGCTAAGCAGTTTAGATCAGTCACTTCTCAATATATTAGTGGCCTATCAAATATATGTTCGAGGCTCCTCACTTCTGACTTTTGATTTCACTGGGTGGGCACGATCCAATTATGCAATGTGTTGCTGGGTAAAGTGTTGTCAAATTACAAATACGTGTGGCATCCTCAATGTCTTTAATATTCAAGCTAGATGACATTAAAGGCCCAAGCTGAGAATAAAAAATTATATTGTTCCCAAACATGTTCAGGGCTGGTTAAGAATTAGATGAAGGAGTGAATGGAGAAATAATGATTTGAATGAGGTTTAATATGGGTCTAGAAAGGTAAATATTGAGCTCTCACTGTTCTCACAGCACAGGAAATCCAGGAAACATACTACGAACAGAAAGTAACAGTTCATGTAGTATTTCTTGCATTTACATAGGCAATTGACGACATTGTAACGAAGATTTTGAATATGGGCTTCATTGTCCTATTTTACATATAGTTCAGTTACTACTTGAAGAACCAAAGGCTTCTTATCATGGTAGACAAAGAGCACAAGAACTCGCGTGTCTCAACATCCATAATCTCGCAAAGAAAATTCTTAGGGCTCTTTATTATGATTTCATGAACGATCTTACCAAAAAATTCTTTCTCTGGCCATTATCTACGAGTGTGCAGTCAAAATCAGAGAACACCTTATATTCGAGGATGGCTCACTCTGGCTGCAAAAAGACTGCTTGTTACATGGAAACAGGGAAGAAAAAATGACCCAAATTCCAACATGACATAATACCTTGTTATGGACATTCGAACCTATGTGTCACAGAAAATTTATGTCATTCTTAAAATTCTGTTCCAACACGTACAAAGAGAGCGAACTTGTAGTTGTATTAGTCCGTAACCACATGGTCCTCGAGGTTGGACGCATAATCACTGAGAAGTTTCACTTTCAACACGTAACATTAAGAGGTCAACAATGGCGAACGCAGGAACATACGTTAAACAAGATGGCATGGCTCTACCTTGCGAACGTGATCGTTCTTGCACAACTTATCTCTTTTATTCTTACTAAATATATCTTCAGCCTAAATGTGTTTATCAGAAATGCTAAACATTGTATTGCTGATTGTTATGTACGACGAGTCAGAATAGATAATGGTGTGAATTCTATGTGAGATCTTGTGGATGAGGTTTTCATATCATGACTCATCTACAATTTAAGGATCGAGTCTATTGTAATAGAAGTACTAATAACGAACGAGACCACAGTTCTACAAACGTAGTCCATTAACCACATAGAACTTGAACACCAGTACAAAATACATTGCTGATCTAGACAACACAGTTGCAAATTTTCATTTCATATGACGACAGACTGAGTGAATTTCACTCTACAGCGGTTTCATCACTGTTTATAACATACACATAGCATCATCCTGAGACTTGAATGTAGTATATTCTATCTCCTCAAGAGATATAAGTCTCATAGAACATACGCAAAGATAACCAACTAGGTGAATGACTGAACTGGGGCAATCATATGAGCAAGGAGTTTACCGTAGACGAACAAGAGGTAATCTGATAATCTTATATGGCATCCTAGGTATAATAAGTCGCTAAAAACCATTCTTCTTAAACCTAATCGTTGTATTTCACAAAGTGACCTCCAAAAAATGGCATATCTGAGAGCGAACACTCAAAAAAGCGTCATGCGTTTTCCAATTTTGAACTACTGGCATATGTAATCCTTTGCTAACCAAAGTGACTGGTACGAGA